TGGCATCTCAAAAAGCTTCTCCATCTTCGATACCCGCAATACAACAACCTCTCAAGGGCTGAAGATGAGTGGGATAGATTCTGTAACGCGCTGAAATTGTGCTGGCGGAGTATCCCCAGCGCTCTGATCAAGTCCCTCATATTGTCTATGCCACGCCGCCTTAAAGCTTGTATCAAAGCCAAAGGGTGGCATACAAGGTACTAGCTATCGACAATGAAATCCTGCTTTGAAACATTGAAAAAAATGTTGTTTTGGGTGAGTTATCCACCCAAAACAGCATTGCCCAAAATGGTGGTTCGGCGCTTCGGCAGCTTGGCGTTGCAAAACTTTTGACCTAGTACTGTAGTTGAATTGATTAGGTAGGTTGGAGCTTTGGGGTAAGTTGAATTGGAGCTAACCGATTTAGAACAAGCCGAGTTGGAGCTTGCTACCTAGGCATGTAGCCGAGTTGGAGTAGGCTGTTTTGAAGCATGCTACACAACAACTTTGTAGCCGAAGAACTCGTATACAAGGTGAAATGCTGTCGTCAGATATATGCTGGTGCCATGGAAAATACCGCTTGTGTCACGGAAGTCCTCTCAAAACGGGTATCTTCACGAAATTGAGATATGATGACTGAATGCGCTAGCTTCCAAGAGTATTTAAAACCAATGTGGCCTTACGATTCGTTGAACGATGATATGGAAACTAAACGGAACCCCCTGAAAAGAACTCTTGTGAGAGTAATATGTCGAGTAGGTCGACGAGACCATTGTGTTCTTTACGCGGTCACGCGATGATTGATACGTCATGGATTCGACCACCTAGGTGACATCACGACTCCCGTAAGTACACATGTACTTAAAGTTCTGGAAGTAGTTATTACAGTGCGGAAGTGTCACTACTTTCCAATAAATTCATACTTAATCTCGAAAGCCATGTCGTCGCCTTTAACGATAGTTGTCACCGGCTCAAATCGTGGGATCGGACAAGGCATCGTCCATCTCCTTGCCAGCACACAGCACCCACAACCCCTACACATCTACGCCACTTCTCGTGGTGGCATAGATCTGAAAGCCCAAGTTCAACCTCCAAACGAAATCAAATATGCAAAATTGGACGTCTCAGACAAATCATCCATAACGTCCTTTCTCAAATTAGCGCTTCACAACAACGGCAAAATCGATGTCTTGATTAACAATGCCGGGATAAACAACAACAGCAACGAGACACCAGAATCTGCAGAGCAAACAGTCAACGTCAACTACCATGGTACCAAGCAAGTGTGCCAGCTATTCCTCGAACAAGGCAAGATGAAGAGCACACCAGGTGCGCGCATCGTGAACGTGTCCAGCACGGCCTCTGTCCTGTCAAACTACCCGCCAGCAACACAGTCTCGCTTTCGTTCCGTAACTTCCATCCCAGATATTGATACACTTGCACAAGAATACATCAAATCTGTTCAATCCCAGAATCAGGAATCTGCTGGCTTCGGCGCACCACCAAAATCTTACCAAGTCAGCAAAGCGCTTATGAATGCTCTCACGGTGGTTCTTGCTAAGGAAAACGAGAATGTGGCGATTAATTGCTGCTGCCCGGGATGGGTGGATAGTGATATGGGCAATCAGATTGGAAGGCCACCTAAAACTTTGGAGGAGGGTGCAAGGATACCGGTACGGTTAGGCATAGGACAGTTGGGTCATAAAGGGAATTTAAATGGTGGTTTGGGGGAGGAGACAGAGCGAGTTAGTGGTCGGTATTTTGGGAACGATGGGGTTACGGATCGGGGATGGGGAAAGGCGAGGGATTGGTAGGATCGTGGGAAGGGAAAGACGTGAATCTCAGGTTGTCTGGAAAAAATCGAGCATCAAAATAAGCAGACCACTTCCACGTTTACTACTCTCCATCTTCCATCAATCCAAGAACCACTTCGGGACCTCAGGCCCCCACACGGCTAGCGATTCGTCTCCCGCTTCACCCCATCCTACTGGCGTCTCTTCATTTACCAAATCACCATCGGCGTAATGCTCAATCATATTCCCTGTCGTATCCCACCAATAGTCAAACAATTGACTACCCAGTATATGTCGTCCCACACCCCACACGCTCGTGTACCCTTTTTGCGCCAACCACTCGTGCCCCAAATTCTGCGTATCAAAGTCGTGGACTTCGAAGCTGCAGTGATGAACGTGAGATGCAGGATTTGTGCTGAGAAAGATTGTGTGGTGGTCTGTGTAGGAAGGACCGATGTCGATGTGGGCGAAGATTGCTACGTCTTTCTGTTGGCCTTCGGGGGTATTGATATATAGGAAATCTGTAGGTACAATGTTGAAAGTGCGCGTATACCATTGCATTTCCGCTTGGAAGTTTTGTACACAAAGACCATAGTGGCCTAGTTTGTGCACTGCGGCCGGCCCCGGTTTAAAGCGCTGGAACCGTGCGACTCGTGGCTTCTCATTTTCGTAATTCGTCGTCAGGACTTCCGGAAAGGGACCGGGTTGTTTTTTAGTTTGGCCGTGAATGAGGTTGATGGGAAAGCCTTCTGGGTCATGTAATGTGATCATGTGGCCACCTCCTGGCGCATCAATCAATTCCTCAATGGATCCTGCCCCTGGGACTCTGGAAGCCTTTTCTAGCTCTGCGTAGCTTTCCACTTCAAAACATCCGCCTAAGAACCTCTTCTCTCCCTGTTCAACGTAGTATACGTATTGGTCTTCGCCGTATCCTTTGAACCATTTCTTGCCTTGTGTTTTGTGGGCTACACTCATACCAAAATCACGCAGGAAAGTGGTTATTTCATCAAGATTGGGATGTTGGTAACGCATATGCACAAGTTTGGTGAGTTTTATCTGCGCTTCGCGGTCGATGTTTTGTTCTTGCTGCCATTGTCGGAGTGGTTTGCAAGGCTTGGGTATGGCAACTGATTGGTGGACGGAAGAACCGCGGTTTGGTGAAGTTTCCCGGCTAGGGTTCTGAGACAGTCGTCAGTAAAGTCCCGATAATCCGGTTCTTCCCGCAGTAAAAAGGTGTATTTTTATGGGCAATCTGATGTTCTTAAATATACCAGAGAGCAATCACAAAGGCGAATGTGGGGCCGATGCATGTACATACTGTAGGTGTGACTTTGTCGTTGAACTCGTCAAAAGCCATATCGCATAGAGCTTGAAGTTTGGTTTATTGAATGTATTCACAGTGCAAAAAGCGCAAAAAGCAGATCAGTTCCTTGTTGCTATCACAGCCGGATGGAAGCGTATATAACGGATGTGGGGTAGGACATGGAACTCATGCCGATGTGGGGTCCCGGCATGTTCGTAGGGCTGAAGGCAATCCATCAGCGCCACTGGTTCGCATTCTCGGTCAGTAGTGGCTGAGCTGTCATGTGGAGAGAATCAAGATGACGCAACGTGAGTATGATACGGGTGTAATAATATTCCCGAGATGCCAATCCGAGTTGTTCAGTCGCCATGTCAAAGCTCCATCACTTCGGATTCTTTCACAGCACTCTTGGCCTCTTCTACAAGCTTGTTCAGCCAGGTACCCAGTCTGAGCGCGGCTTTGCTGATCTGCAGCTCTACGATGGGTACAGCGCCTGTTGCATATCCGCTGGTACCAAGATCGGTGCCGTTCACCACGCGACTATACACATAATCGCAATCCCACCTGTTGCTCTCTTTTGCCCAACTCGTAGCGCACTCCTCGGGTGTTGATGGATTGGTGCAAGCCAGCCACATGTACGGCGCCGAGTAGAACTGGTCTTTACGAATACGAGTAACGAGTCCTGAGAAGAATGGGTCGATCGACTGGTTTGAGAAAGGCTGCTGGACATTGGCCGCGAAATATGGTAGATAGCCGTCCCAGACCTTGCTTGTTAGCATCTCATCTCGCCATCAAGAAAAGACACTTACGGCATGGAGCTGCGTCGATACTCCACCAAACACCACCCTGAACGTATTGCCTCCTACAGCGCGACCACTCGCATGCAAGGGCTGGTGGATGTCGCCCAAGAAATGAGCTACCCACTTGAGTGCATAAGAGCATGTCAGGTTTTGGCTTCGGATCAAATCATCAGCATACACTTGTTGTACACATTCCTGTAGTATCTTGGTCTGATTTGCAATAGCACTGACAACACACCCGCCCTTGGCGCAATCCTGTGTATAGTCTAGACTGCAAGATTCAGGCTGGCGGTCGTGCGTGTCGATCCAGTGCCACTGATAGGAGAAATGACCTTCGCTCGTGTGCGCATACGCGTCTGCCCATGCTGCGGAGCGCCCGACTGAGCCGTTGTACTTGGGTTCAAGGATCTTTGCCAGGACGGACGTCGTTTCGGGTGTGAAGAAGGTCTCTGCCATGAAGGCGATCTGGTTATGAACTATATCGACTTAGTATTTTCCATGCGAAGAGGGTATATGTCGTACCGTCTACGTTCCATGCTGCAGTTGTCGCTATGAATACAGCTCCTACCAATGCACTTCCACGCAGCATCATAAGGACAGTCAGTAAGTTTGCGCGCTGAGCAGAATGGTGGAGACGTGTAGGTCCGAATGTGCAGAAGCAGCTGATGTTTATAAGTGCTAGAGTTGTGGCTGGGTGGATGCGAGCTGAACACTACAGCTGAAAGTCTAGATTCCAGTTCGTGTTGTATGGGAAGGCCGGATCAAAACACACCGAGATCTGTGGATGGGATCTCAAACCTTGAGTACATGTGCAAAGACAACATCGACAAACTCCAGTTCACTGACGCGTGATGCACCATGATGACGCGCCAGGCTCACGTGGGGAGATTACTGCAGGGCGATCAGGCTAGAGCTAACACGGGAAAGCGTATCACGACTTCCCCACCCGGGCACAATCGCATCACAGCAGGTTGTGCCTCTAACTTCTGAATTATTCCCTGATGTATATATCACAGGACCTCACCTGGCATCGAGTTAGGTCAGCTCACACTCTGTCATCCATGGAGATCATGTTTGACGGGATATAAAGCGTGAGAAAGCAGTACCAGACGGGAGCCTTCACGATTGCGACTTCCTGCCGTTACGCTCGAGTGAAGGTTGTTTGCGCATCGATAGCCGTGAGCTCCTTCTCAAACAGAAATGACCTTCACTTCCTTCTCTGCGACTCTGTCGCTGTCTCTTGATCTCGACCTACTCACCCTTTTCTATTTCTTCACTCGCTCGTATCTCATCGGCAGTCATCACGCACCTAAAACGCGTCTCAACTTCCTACAATATAGCATTGTCGAAAAGCTTTCCAAACCTCACAGAGTCAAGCTACCATGTTCAAACTCCCTCTTCAGACCGTGCGCAGTATTGCCAGACCTAGATCACTTTCCTCCAAGCGCCACCTCAGACAAAATTCCAGCTCGGCGTCCGACCGCACCATGTGCGTTAATCGCGCCATTAATGAGCTACAGGCTGCACAGGGTACGACAACTACCGGCCGCATTGTCAACAAGATATGCACACGTCTCGCCAACGATAGGGCGACGACGCGTACGGAGCAATTGATCTGGCTCGCCAAGCATGCTCTTGAGACATCAGCAGCATTTAACCAAGATACCAATCGCAGTGATGATTCTATATCTCACAAGCGAAGAGAAAAGGGCGGAGATGGACAGAAGGCAGCCGCTTCTGAGGCGAAGGCCAAAACATCTCACGAAGGCGTTTCCGTGTGGCCATCTATGTGGTAAGTACAATGGCGCTCCCAAATTCCCGAATGATGGCTTAAATCTTTGTATGAAAAGGTAGAAGTCGGCCGGTAGTACCCATGGCTTCGTGTATCAGACGGAGAGATCCTTGTTGGTTACAGGTGCTACTCTACCATCCAGAAGCCCTTTGTGGACGTGGTTGTGCGCAGTGCACATGGGCTCTCTGAGTTGCTATGTGGACCAGAGTACCCTATGTGGGCTTTCATGACAACACGAATTACGCGCCTAGATACGCGCGAATACGCGTAAGGTCGCACTAATGAGGTTGCGATGTACGCGGGCGGCCAGCAAGGCAGACTTGAGGTGGTCTTGGGATTGTCATATTCCGAAACAGTGCTACGACATGGTTACATATGATAATCTAATCATTCTCTCGTCCTTGATCACGGACGTATGCTCGGTGAATTCCAGCCCACTAATTCTTACCGGCCGAACAGGTGAAAGGACGCTGGTGTAGAATGCACGACCAGCGAGTACAGCATGGAATCATGACGGAAAAATGTTGCGAGATGCAAATGGCAGGCCTAGGTAGGCACATGGGGCTGAGCGATGACGAAGCCCCAAGCAGTGGCTTTTGGGGGTATCCGCGGCCAATCACAGGCCAATAAACTCCGCGATGTCATAGCGCATGTGCATCCCCCATGCGAGTAATACAGGCTTGCAAGTGCTACAACCCTTTCTTAGTTCTGGCTACCTCTTCCGACGTTGTTTCTAGTAGCTCTGCTTCTACAATGCGCTATTTCTGATCATTCTTCTTGCAACCACCATGGCGAGCTCAAATAGTCCTGGGCAGGGCAATGACGCGACCCGCGACGATGCCCCACTAACACAGCAACATGCGCAAACGCACACCAAGTCAGTCCACCTGCTCAGATAGACGTCCCATGGCGACCTTGGGCTGATTACATGATAGCGCACCCTCGAGTTCTCAAAACAGCTCAGACATCAACCGTGTTCCCGCCCACGACGCACCGAGTCTCGAGAACCCACCACCCGCGTACACGGAGTTGCCAGGACAGGTCGATAATGAAGAGCTGGGCACAAATGCAGTCGTGGCCGACGATGGTCGTGTCAACATTCGAATAGACCAAAAGAGCCGTGCCCTTTCGCAGCTCATCCTCCCACAGATCCAGCGTCAGCTCACCCATGCACAAGAAGACCCCGAGCCGCCTCCACCTTACGTCCCAGAGTTCCTCGGTGGTGCACCCGGCCAGCAGCCTCCACCCCCGCTAAACGTCGTCATACAAGTCGTGGGCTCTCGTGGTGATGTGCAGCCATTCGTCGCACTAGGCAAGGTGTTCAAGGAAACATACGGCCACAGAGTGCGTTTGGCGACACACCCGACCTTCAAGGATTTCGTCATTGAAAATGGATTGGAGTTTTTCAGCATCGGCGGTGATCCAGCCGAACTCATGGCGTTCATGGTGAAGAACCCGGGCTTGATGCCCGGCTTCGACACATTGCGCAGTGGTGATATTGGCAAGAGGAGAAAGGGTATTGCAGAAATTCTGAGCGGCACATGGAGGTCCTGCATAGAGACAGGAAACGGTCTCGGCGTAGATCCTCTCCAGCAAACGGTCGAAGAGTGGATGGGCATCGAGGAACAACTGCCAGAACAACTGCGGAAGCCATTCGTCGCCGATGCAATCATCGCAAACCCTCCCAGCTTCGGACACATACATTGCGCCGAGAAGCTGGGCATACCTATACACATGATGTTCACGTGCGTCTATCCCCCTTCAGCGGCATCTATATACTAATTCGGACAGTATGCCATGGTCGCCTACGCAGCAATTCCCGCATCCGCTTGCCAACATCCAATCTACAAACGCAGACCCAACGATTACAAACTACATGTCATATATCATGGTCGATGTGCTGACATGGCAAGGCCTGGGAGATGTCATCAATAGGTTCCGCAAGGACAGTCTTCGCCTGGACCCCATCAGCGGAGTTTGGGCACCTGCTATGCTCGCGCGACTGAAGGTCCCTTTCACATATTGCTGGTAAGTTCATCTAGACGGTCGTGGATGATTTAGCTCATACTGCTCAGGTCTCCAGCACTCATTCCAAAACCCAAGGATTGGAACCACCACATCTCTGTGGCAGGCTTCTACTTCCTTAACCTCGCTTCAAACTACACACCAGATCCAGACCTTGCAGCTTTTCTCGATGGAGGCGAGCCACCCGTTTACATCGGATTTGGTTCAATCGTCGTGGACGATCCAAACGCCATGACTAAGATGATCTTCGATGCTGTGAAGATCACTGGAAAGCGAGCCTTGGTATCTAAAGGCTGGGGTGGGTTGGGAGCTGATGACCTTGGAAAGCCTGATGGTGTCTTCATGCTTGGGAACTGCCCACATGACTGGCTATTCAAGCGCGTTTCTGCTGTCGTACATCATGGTGGTGCCGGGACTACAGCAGCCGGTATCGCAACCGGAAAGCCTACCGTTGTTGTGCCATTCTTTGGAGACCAAGCCTTCTGGGGGGCCATGGTATCAAGGGCAGGCGCTGGGCCTGATCCCATCCCCTACAAAGATCTCACTGCAGAGAAGCTCGCTGGAGCTATTAGTGAGGCGCTTAAGCCGGAATCACTTGACCGGGCCCAAGAACTTTGCGACAAGATCAAACAAGAGAACGGGACGCAGAAGGGTGCCCAGTCCTTCCATCAGATGCTGAACTACGACGAATTGCGATGCGCTATCATGCCGAACAAACCTGCGGTCTGGAGGCTCAAACGTACTGACGTTAAATTGAGCGCCAAAGCGGCTACAGTACTGGCCCAACAAGGCGAAGTGAATTTTTCCGAAATGAAACTGTAAGCAATCACACAAGTGTACTGTTCCATCTACTTACAAGTATAGTTATCGCCCTCGCGAGTATGTTCCGGATGAAGGCCCTTGGGATCCAGTCTCTGGTGCAGCTGGTGCTCTAATGGGCACTGCAACTTCGGTCATGATGGGTGTTGCTGACATGCCTATTCAGACCCTCAAGTTGCTCAACATTCACCCTGATGCTAGATCTAAAAAAGGAAAAGAGAAGAGAACGGGCACTGGAACACCTTCAATAGGTGAAGGAAGTAGCAGCGGGCGTCCGGTGACAACACGAAGTGGAACTGGTGCCTCCGAGCGCTCAGGCAGAAGTGGTGCCTCGACGCCAACGGCTGCCGATGCTGCTGCTGACATAGCCCGGATGCAGGCCGACAATCCAGCAGTCACTAGCCCCGGCTCTCCTGGTACGCCTTCACACAGATCTACATTCATGTCCCAAGCACTTGCTGAATCTACACAAGGCTCGAGATCACGATCTAGAAGTCGTTCTAGATCTGCGGCTACTTCGACGGCTCCCTCTAACACAGCGCCTAAACCGTCCATGGCAGAAAACGTTGATTCTGCGGTAGACACTGGAAAGGGTTTAGCTAGGATCATTGGTGCTGGCTTCAAGTCTCCAATGGACTTCTCTCTTAACGTTGCTAAGGGATTTCACAACGTACCGAAGCTCTACGGAGCTGAAGTACGACAGGTCGACAAAGTTACTGACTTTCAGAGCGGCATGCGGACAGCTGCCAAGGTACGTTAAGTGGAATGTCGCGTGCCATGTGTACTAAGAACGTTACAGGAGTTCGGCTATGGCCTATATGACGGTATAACCGGCATCGTTACGGATCCTTATAAAGGCGCCAAAAAGGAAGGTGGTATTGGCTTTGTCAAGGGAGTTGGACGCGGTATTATGAGCGTTCCATTCCGGGTCATGGGTGGTGCTTGGTCTGTGCCCGGCTATGCTATGAAGGGACTTTACCAGGAAATGGTCAAGAGCAAGGGAAAGAGTGTACAGAATTACATCATCGCAGCGCGCATTGCACAGGGATACGATGAAGCATCCGAGGTGACGCAAGAAGAACGTGACGAGATCGTCAAGACTTGGGGCCACATGAAGTGGGGCATCAAGAAGAAGCGGAACGTCGGAGCTGAGCAAATGGACTCGCTTCATTCACTGGTCCAGCAGAAGAGAGACAAGAAGAATGAGCGCTCTGCCAGGCTCAGTTCGCAGACTGGTGGTCCTGGAGTTCAGCAATCGGCACACGCAAACTCTATTCTGCAAGGCAGCATAGCAGGTCCATATCCTGATCCACCAAGAAGGCGTGGTGTCGAGCCAGAAATTCGGTCAACAGTTCCTAGTTGGCGTCAACAAGAAGCCGAACGAACACGTGCTTTGAGGCGACAGGACACTGCCACTTCGGGTTCCCCATCGGTCGCACCATCCCAGCAATCGCAGGCTGATCTTGAGGCACAGCTCAGGGCGGAAGAAGAAGAAGATCAGCGTGAACTAGAGCGAGCTATTGCCGCATCAGTTGCAGAGTCCTCTCGAGGAGACCCTGAGGAAGACCGACTAATCGCCTCTGCTATTCGTGCATCAATCGCTGAACTCGAACGTGCCCCAGCCGGTAGCAACCCCTCGCAGCATGATGAAGAGGAGGCACTACACCGCGCCATGACTGCCAGCATGGAAGAAGCCGGCAAACTCAACGTGACTGAAGAGGAGCAAAAGGCGCTCGAAGAAACATTGAGGAAGAGCCTACTCGAGACGAGCAAGAAAAGACAGGTTGGCAGCGATAACGAATGGGACTCTGATGCCGATACGGAAGACGACGAAGATTACAAACGTATCATCGCCGAGTCTAAGCAACTCGCTCATGTCCACGCGAACCACCCGGGCGAGTACGCCAATTCAGCTCAAGGCGCACAGCAGGAGCGTGGAGTTATGGATGCCATGAGCCAGGCTATTGGTGCCGCAGATGATGACGAATATGAAGATAGGAGTCATAGGATAGAGATGCGAGATGATGACCATGAGGATGATGACGCGGAGCTCAAAAGAGTGATGGAAGAGAGCGAGAAAGCGGAGAATGAGCGTATGCAGAAGCTGGAGAAGCAGAAGACGGAGGAGGATATCGTCATGGAGTATGTTCGGAAACAGAGTTTACTCGAAGAAGAACATAGGCAAAGGGTGGCCAACGGGAGGGACGCGAATGGAGGAGGGAGTAGCGCCGGTGCCGGGAGGTAGATTGCGTGAGGAGCGGGTGAAGGTGGTTTTCTGCAAAGGTTTCAGTGATACCCTGGTGAGCACAATAAACGTGTTTGTTCTCCTCTTGTTCCTATTGACATGCATGCTTTCGGGGCTCTAAATCTATATGATGATAATTAATGTGTATATACAAATTAAATGATGGTAACAATTACACGGGTATATTCCCTACGCCGTCTCTCCCAAACACCCAAAAAGAAGACAAAATTCTGTTCTCTGTACATTGACCCAACTTACCCAGGCGCTGTGCCAACACCCGTCAGCACCCTGACACCCCACCGCCACCAGCCCTCCCTTTCGCCCAAAACTCTATCCAGATCGTCGACCCTCCCTTCAACAAACTCAACTTGTCTCTCAAACTCACCCACTACATCCTCAATGTCCTCGACCTTGCCTCTTAGCGCACTAATCTCGTATTCTAGCTTATCGCCAACATTACCCAATTCTCTGAGACTCGCCGTAAGCTGCCCGCGATTATTCGTCACAGTAGCGTGTGTGTCTTCGCGAAGACTGTGGTATGTATCGAGACGAGGATAGTAGATGGATTCAAGGGTTTGAATATCTGTGTCTGCGGAGTCTGAGAGGGCAAGGATAGACGAGACTGCATTTTGAACCCAAGCTTGGTCTTTGGAAGAGAGACTGTGAAGCTGGCTGTGTAGGCGTTTGAGCTGTGTCGAATGAAGGTTTTGGATCGCATTGCGGGTGGTAATAGTATCCATGGTGGCAGCTTTGTCGTCCTCTGTTACAGCTTCTTCGTCGCTGTCTTGGGCGTTGATGGTTGTCCAACGGAGGACGCTTTCTTCGGCGGTGCTAAAGGATAGATGACGGGGCCACCAGTCGTCGTTGCGGGATGGCTGGCGGAAACCAAATTGGTCGCCGGACTGGGTACGGCGTAGGAGAGGCGGGATTTCATTTGCTTGATCAACGGGGAGGTTTTCGTTGAGATCAACTCCGTGATATACAGACCCTGCAAGAGAGCTTGCTACGGTCGGTAGTTCATCGGGCTGATCTGAGACTTCGCTTTCGACTATAGAACTCCGCAAGTTTGATGCATGGCGGCCACCGACTAGCTTGTTGTCGCTCAAAGAGACGACAGAATCACCCGGAGTTTCGGTGAGCTGTTTAGTAAAGGCTGGCTCTTCGCCGGCAGTGCTCTGGGGTGACGTAAGGGAATAGGGGTCGTCGGACTGGCTTTCATAGTAATCCATCGAGGTTCGTGAGTCTGTGTATTGTGCTGTTCCGCTCTTGGTTCGATGTAACCCATGTCGTCCATGTTCTTCTCGCGATACTTTGCTCGCATGAGTACGCAGACTGACAGCATTCTTTATGTGATGGAAGCCACTACCCGATTCCAGCTTTGCTTTGATGACGGCCCGCTTTGAAGATGGATCCTTGAAGCTCTCTTTTTCCTGGCCATCCGGGGTAGAGGTGTCTACTTTCTTCATCTCCGAAGACCCTGTGTCGCGCTTCGCAATATGTTGATGATCGAGCGTTGTTTCCCTATGGACCAGTTTCGTTGTGGGATCGTGTTTGTCTGGCGATGTTGAGCGTCCTTCTCCACCAGGAAGTCGATCGAACATGCTGTCTCCCGATACTGTCTTCCTAGGCTTTCCATGCCATAACCACTTTGCATGCTCACCTCTCACAAGCTCCACAAATTGGTCGATGTCAACCGTCTCTACTTCAGCGATGCCGTCCTTCTGTCCAGCCCCAACAATGCCCATGACCATCTCACCTCCCTTGCCTCCTAGCTCAGCCACTGTAGATTTGAAAGCTCGAGGAACGGCCCAGCCCTCTTTACTGGCTGCCTTTGCAGAAGCTCTTCGCAATTTGTCAAGCGTGTGTCGATCGAGACGTCGGGTTCTGGGTAGATGTTGCGACTTCTGAAAATGTGCGATACCACGCTTGGTGGCTTCTATGTCAAAGACATCCTTTGCGACGGCGGCGCTGCATGCACTCAATCTATTTCGTGCACCCATTAGCATGCCTAGCAATGCAGCGACTGTGGTAGGACCGAGAATGCCATCATGAGGCTCTACTGTGTAGTATTCCGATCCGAAGTCTATCCACCAATCATTAATAGCTTTCTCTGTCACATCGCACAGCAGGCCGTCTGCATATTCGGGCTCTAGTTTCCCAAACAAGACAAGTGCAACTTGACAGAGCTTCACAAGCTCAATTACAGATGCGTTGAAGGGGATTTTCTCGCTCGTTCGGTACAGTTGTTGGAACTTGGCCTGCGTGGCACTGCTTGGTGGCGTGAGCTTTATGCCCAGACGACCTGAACAGCCCAATCTCTTCAAGTTTTCGTTGACAAAGAAGGGCTCGCGGTACTTTTTCAAATCGCCGCCAGGGATCGGAATCACAGTGAGGGAAGAGGGAAAGCCACTGAGGTTTGTCACCATCAGAGCGCCATAGGGCGTGTCCTTTCTCCGCGCATGGTACTCGGTCAGCGAGCGGAAATACAGACGCATCTGCGGTGACCATTCCTCCTCATTCTTGGGTACGCTTATGATTGTGGCCAGCACAGTATCTTCCGGGTTCCCGGTATAGGTTGTAATGAGGAAGGTGGGGTGGGTGCGGGAGCATGCCCACTGCTCGACTAGGTATATCTCGTAGCCTTGAATCTCCTGACGACGGGCGAGGACATGGCATGAGGTGGTCGGGTCCTCCTCGATGTATCGCGCAGCTACCACGTCGGTCAGGACGAAGCGCTGATGGCCGGCGGGCGACGTGGGGGACTTTATTCTCGCCTCGTCTGGTATCATATCGGAGGTGGGAGCTTTGGAAGCTGGCTGTGGACGAGATTGCGCCGTGGTCTTGCGATGGGTTGACGTCGTCTGCAGGGGCGGCATCTGGTGCCGTAGCTCCCTCTCCGAGTGTGTCCGCGACGGGGACATTGGTAGTTGATGCGCCATGCTAGCATAGGGAGAGTGGGTTTCGGCTACGGGGTTTCGGATACACTACAGTGCGCTGTGAAGGCAAGCTCTTCATGGTAGAGAGGTAGGCGCAGAGTCTCGCCGGTGCCCGAGCGCGAGCCAACGGGCAGAAGGCGACAAGATGGCAGACGGCGAATCGAGCGGCACTCTATGCATGTTTCCAGCAGTCGCCAGCTCCGTGTTGCTGCATCTGGAAAGCTCAAAGGCGTCAGTACAGGCCAGAGTTGTTGTGCACAGGGTCGGAGCTTGTGATGGGCGCGGAGCATCGGTCGGCGGCGCTGTTTCCCCACACGTCATGCCCGCGGCAACAGCCATCGCGAGCTCGACAAGAACCCCGGCCGGCCCAAACCCACGACGGCCATGGACAGTGGGAAAGCGCTCTGCTGGCCAGACAACAGCTATTCACTGCCAGCTGAACCTTGCTCTGCCAGCCCCAAGCTTCACGTGCCATCGTAACCATCGCTCACGCGCATACTATTCACTATCACCACCACCACCATCACCACCGCCATGGACGACCTCCGCGAGCAAGTGGAGCTGCTGGAGAGTAGCGCCAACCTCTCCACCAGCATCGACCATGTGCAGAGGGCGCTTGACATGCTCACTGCGGCTCGCGCCAAGATCGCAGCGGGTAGGAATTCTCCTGTAGACAGGGCCATACAGCTTGCTAACCAGTGCGCGACCAGATCCCAAGACGGCGCCCTTGACCCTCGCCAAACTCCAAGACCCCTTTAAGAAGTCTTTGGACACGGTGCAGAAGGACCTCAAGCCAGTCTACGCCGGCCTGAACAAGTACGGCAAGGCACTCGACAAGGTGCGCTTCCCTGTTCGCGCAACCCTCAAGATAGAGTCCTAACAATGTACCAGAAATTCAAGGACAAGCCCTTGCCCTCCGCCGACAACGATGCGCTATCATCGCACCCCTCGCTCATCAACCGCGCTATTGCTATGCACCTTCTCCGCGAAGGCCAGTTCGACGTAGCATCCACCTTTGTGCAAGAAGCCAGCCGCCAGCCGCCACATCCCGAGCCCACTCTCAACACACCAAACCCCTACATTCGAGAAGCATGGGAGAAGGATCTCGCAGAAGGAACCTTCAACTCGGAGAAGCTGCAACAACAGTTCGCCGACATGTACCACATACTGCACCAACTGCGCAATGAGCGGAATCTGCAGCCGGCAATACAGTGGGCGCGAGAGCGGAGTGATGTCCTAGAAGCGCGTGGCAGCAACCTTGAATTTGAGCTGTGTCGCTTGCAGTTTGTCTGTCTGTTCGACTCCCGTGGCAGCCAAGACGAAGCAATGGACGACTACGATAGTCCTAGCGGTCCCTTGCATGCCTGGGCATACGCACGTCGCGAGTTTGCTCCCTTCCAGAGACGGTACCAGAGAGAAATTCAACAACTGCTAGGTGCAATGGCGTTCTGGCAGAACGTTGAAGACTCGCCATACCGCCGCCTCTTCTACAACGACAGTGCCTGGGAAGAAGTAGCACACTCATTCAACCGCGAGTTCTGCTCCTTACTCGGTTTGAGTGCCGACTCACCCCTCTTTATTGCCGCGACGGCTGGCGCAATAGCACTCCCTTACCTCCTCAAGATGCAGTCCATCATGAAGGAGAAGCGCACCGAATGGACGACCCAAGACGAACTACCCGTTGAGATACCACTACCGAGCCAATACCACTTCCACAGCATCTTTGTGTGCCCAGTATCCAAAGAGCAGAGCACCGATGCAAACCCACCCATGATGATGCCTTGTGGCCATGTCATTGCACAGGAATCACTTGAGAAGCTCAGCAAAGGATCGCGCTTCAAGTGTCCATACTGTCCAAACGAGAGTCATCCGCGAGATGCAATGAAAGTCGTGCTGTAGGGCAGCCCTGGTAATGATTTAACCATTAGGAATGAGAAGAGGTACATGTCGGGCGTTTGGCGTAATCTGGAGAGACTTGCAGACGTGTATGCATTTGATCTTAGGCTTGATGAGCTCGAGCCAAGTCTTGGTTTCGAGCCTGACGTATAGAGGCTGTCAGCGCCAGTACCACCAGATACTGAGGATTGGTTTGTCGTGTTTTAGGGCTGCGGCGTTTGTCTCTCTCCGGTTTTGTCATCACATCTTTATCATTATCATTTTGTCTTTATCATCGCGTCTTTGATATCAAACGTCTTCACTATCAATACGAATGCCATCACCAATACCAATACCGATTTGACCGACATGCATTGGGCTCGGAGACATTTCACGTAGCACACCACTGCTTTTGTCTATACAACACAGCCATATATGACAATATATCGTCAAATTTCTTATTATCTAGTCAGTCGACCAATGCTTGTGCGACTCGTATCTGAATCTCCTTCCTAAAGACTGCCACTCATCAAGATCGCGACCTCGTCTCGTTTCCTCGACCAAAAAGAACTGCGAAAAGCCCCTTTGCGCAATTTGTTGCGGGCTAGCAAAAGGAAAAGATTTGTCTAAACGTGACACTTGCAAATGGTCCATCTCTTGAAACCCTCCGATTATGATGAAAAGGCACACACCCAAACGCCTCGCAGTTTTGTGCTTGTTGCAGATATGTTGTGTGAATCAAAGCAGGAATGAAAGCAAATGATTAAACGCCAGACTACCCCACTGAACTTGAGGGTGTGTATGCAATCTTGAGCCGCGTGACAAGAAGAGAAAACAGGTTTTTGGTGCCGCCAAAGAGTGCAGCTTCGGTAATAGTGGTGTTGTACAATGAGAAAAAAGAAGCCCATCAGTCGTTGAGCAGCATCATGCGATAGAAGCGAGGCGGACGTGGGCCTAGTCAAAGGAACGACCACATTGCAGACATGACATGCCGTACGAGACCAGCCGTGATGGGGTAGAAAGGATCGAGTCAGGTTGAACTCTTGACGAAGGGAAACAGGCAGAGTTGACGGCTTGCTCGACTTCACCAAAGAGTTCACCCGGATCATTTCCATGGAAGAGGAAACATTTTCATACACAACTAAGAAAAGATGAAACAAGTCTGCCTACATCATCAAGCCAGCTATTGCTTTGGAGATCTGGAGCCCAGTTAGCATGTGCTGTATGGCGATGGTGTCTACAACTATGACCAAAAAGACTTACGTAGGAGAGTAGGCTGGGCCCGGAGAAGTTGGGCTGTAGCGCGGAGAGGTCGGAGAAAAGGACCCTGCCGGACTCGTTGGCGAGTAGCGTGGCGACGTCGGGCTGTATTGCGGTGACGTCGGTGAAGTCGGAGAACGCCTGTCGCTGGTGGCCTGGTACTGAGGACTTGTAGGACTGTACTGCGGCGACGTCGGGCTGTATTGTGGTGATGTCGGACTGTACGCTGGAGAAGTCGCGCCACCCATGAACGTCGGGGACGTTGGGCTGTAGTTGGGCGACGTAGGAGAGTACTGAGGCGACGTCGGGGAGTAGCCAGCCGGAGATGTGGGTGAGTACGACGGTGATGTAGGAGATCCGTATCGAGGCGAGGTTGGAGAGTAGTGCGGGGACGTAGGCGAAGCCATGTATCCGGGTGATGTTGCGGCGAAGCGAGGGCTGGCGGTTCCTGGTGAGGTGGGCGAGTAACCGGGCGAAGTTGGCGAGAAACCCGGAGACACCGGGCTGGTGAAACCGGGGGACATGCCAGTAAAACCCGAGCCTCCTGGACTTCTACCTCCATCGTACGGGCTGAAGCCACCACCTCCGTAGCTGCCTCCGTAGGCAGTGAAGCCGCCTGGATCATCACCTCCACCAGCCGCAGCTATAGGAGAGAACGAGACCTGATCATATGAGCCCACGCCCATGCCACCCTCGTATGTGGGAGATCCTAGGTCGTACGGCGTGGCAGCACCGTTGTCGAGGTAGTTGCCAGCGCCAGCAGCACCACCCATCATCTTGGAGTTGTCCTCCACCATGGTGAGAAGCATGGCATTGTCCATGACGACATCAAACTCTCCGGTACCCATAGGCGCCAGCTGACCGAGCATGATGTTCTCAGATACACCACGGCAGTCGTCGAGCTCACCAAAGCCGGCCGCTTCGAGAAGAATCTCAACAGTCTCTTCGAAAGAACAACGCATGAGGGCACCAGTGTCGTTACGGTTGATACCATGACGGGTGATGGCCATGAGAAGACCACGCTGGCACATGATGTCGACGAGCAATGCCATGTGACGATGGTTGACGTAAGAACCGTCAAAGGACAAGACCATACCCAGCTCCTTGAGTAGACCGGCACGTGCAGCTTCGATTCCAAGCACACCAAGAATCTCAATGAAAGAGTTGGAGTAGGTTTTGGTCGCATCCACACCTTCAATGGCCAGCACCTCGGCCAAAGCAGTACCAGTGGTATCAAGCACCCACTCTTTGCATTCGTCCTTGCTCTTGGAGTGTACCAAAGACCTGTCTGGCAATTCAACTGTGACGATGTGGTCTCGAATGAAAGCACGCTCAATACCACGTACACCACGTAGCGTAACATCGTCAAGCAGATGCTTCTCAAGTTTGCGCATCCATCGCTCGTCACGCTCATCTTCATCCTCATCATCCTTCTGGAGGTTCTGATCCCAAATGAAACGAACACGCATGACCTGCTCATCGGCATTCTCGTCACTAAAGATAACCGCCAGATTAGGTTTGAACTCTTCCTTGATCTTGCCAGCAACTTCGCCGATAGTGATACTCTTATCCAACAGCTTCTTGCGGTCAAGGATGATACGGAGCAGCCACTTGGACTGTGACTCGATGACCTCGTCTTCTTCAGGCAGAATGAAGTATGACTCAACCATGTCCTGATCTTCCTCAACAAGCGTTGATTGGATGTCAGGGTCGTAGTAGAGTTCAACCGCTTGCGTCAACGAACGGAGAGTCGTGAGCTCGATTGTGCTTCGCAGGCGCTTGGCGTCCTGTTGGGTGGCCTTTGTATCTGTCTGGCGAACCAACATGGATGGGGTTTTGATGTTGGCTGCAATGTTCAAAATTTCCTTTAATCGAGGTACACCGAGCGTGACGTTCTTAGAGGACACACCGGCAAAATGGAAAGTGTTGAGCGTCATCTGTGTGGCGGGTTCACCAATGGACTGCGCAGCCAGAACACCTACCATCTCACCAGGGGCAACAGCTGCCTTGAGGAAACGGTCTTCGAGTTCTCCGAGAACGTAGTTCAGAGCCTCCTTGCTTAGGCGGTGCTGAACGACAAGCTTCTTGAACGCAAGACGTGCGCGAAGATGGGATTTGAACAGATACGTTGCACTGTCTTGAGCCTCTCTTGAAAGCTCGTCGGTACCACGAATGACAACCAGTCGCTCGAGAGTTTCCTTGACTTGCCTGATGGTCTCGATAGGATTAAGGTTGCTAACGGCCTTCTCTGGGTTGATGCCGAACCGCGCCTGAGCTGACCGGATCATGCGCTGGATGTTGAGAGGCAACTGGAAAGACTCGAGGTCCTCGTCGCTTGCAGTGGCACGGAGGTATTCACGATCGATCTTGATCTGCTCAAACTCTTCGTCCAGAGCTCGCTGAACCTCCACATCACCCTGGAACATGGTAGCACCCTCAAGCTTAGTAACTGGGATCTCTGGGTGATCGGTTCCAAGCACGTCGAGCTTGTACCCAGCCTCAAAGTCGGCCTCCGATGCCATGATGATATCCATAGATTGACTCTCAATGTGGGCGCCATCCAGACCATCTTCACCATAGATGAACTCAACAATGTCACCCATGGAGTTACGCACGGTTCCGTCGTACTTGACCATAACATCTTCGAGCGCCTTGACGAGACGACGTTGGATGTAACCAGTCTCGGCTGTCTTGACTGCTGTATCAATCAAACCTTCACGACCAGCCATGGCGTGGAAGAAGAATTCCGAAGGGGTGAGACCGCGAAGGTAGGAGTTTTCGACGAAACCACGGGATTCTGGCGAGTAGTCGTCCTTTGAGAAATGCGGCAGTGTCCTGTATTTGAAGCCATAGGGAATACGCTGTCCTTCCACAGCTTGTTGACCGACAAGGGCAACCATCTGAGAGATGTTGACGGTAGAACCCTTGGAACCTGAGACAACAGTCTGCACGACGTTGTTGAAATCCTTCAAACTCGTTTGAGCTGCAGTACCTCCGCCCTCACGACCTTCGTTGAGGAACTTCTGTACCTTGGATTCGAACGTACCGCGGATCGTCATGCCAGGCATAGGCTCGAGCGCATCCTTGGTAGCTGTTTCGATAATCTCTTCGACCTTAGCCTTGGACTTTGCAATCTCGTTGGCAATCTTGTCTGAGGTAGCCGGATCCGGGATGGTGTCACCCACACCGAAACTGAAACCATAGTGAAGAAGCCACCAGTTGCAGATGCGCTGGCAGGCGTTGAAGAATTTGACTGCTGCATCCGGTCCAAGCTCGTTGAAAATGATGTGGATAACACCGCCTGCAGAAGCACCGACAATCTTCTTTGTGACCTGACCAAAGAGAAGTTGCCCACCCTTGATGCAGAATGACTTGTCGACGAGGTCATTGTACGCACTGGGCTTAGAGTCGGCCTCCTTCTTCTCAATGTTGACCTCGCGCGGGAAGGCCATGCTGATAATCTGCTTACCAGTCCAGAGTGGTCGAGGCTTCAGAATGGCTGGCTCTGGAACGATGCCATCCCAGTCAGGTACCCACATGAGAATAGGCATGACCTGTTCAATAGGAATGAAGTTGTCACGACGACTCATCTTGTAAACACCGAGAAGCGTGTCCTGCACGATACCCATCAAGGGCTGGTTCTTCTGCGGCGATACAATCTGCTTGGGAACCATGCACAGGTTTTGAACCTCAGCGCGAGTCTCATCACTCTGGGGAACGTGGAGGTTCATCTCGTCACCATCGAAATCGGCGTTGTAGGGTGATGTGACCGACAAGTTAAGACGGAAGGTGGAGTAGGGCATGACTTTGACACGATGTCCCATCATAGACTCTTTGTGCAGAGAGGGCTGACGATTGAAGATGATGACATCGTCGTCGTCAATATGGCGTTCGACCTTCCAGCCGTATTGCAGCCGCAGGTCGTCAAGGTTCTTGTTGTGCTTAAGATCAAGACGAACACCGTCGGCTTTAATGACGTAGTTGGCACCAGGGTGCTGGTTGGGACCATTGCGTACCAAGTTTGTCAGCTTGCTGATATTGAACTTGGTGACAACCTCAGGGTAGGTCAGAGTGCGTGCAATGGATCGGGGCACACCGACTTGGTCCAGAGACAGGTTAGGGTCACCAGTGATGACAGTACGTGCGGAGAAATCGACACGCTTTCCCATCAAGTTACCACGAAGACGGCCTTCCTTGCCCTTTAATCGACCACGAATAGTCTTGAGCGGACGGCCGGACTTCTGCATGGCCTGTGGAACACCATTGGCGTCGTTGTCCATGTAGGTAGCAACGTGGTATTGGACCAGTGCCTCGAATTCGGCTGTTACGTGAGCAGGTGAACCCTCCTGCTGACATTCTGCAACACGACCGTTGGCACGGATGATATCTCCTAGCTTGTATGTCAAATCGTCCTCTCCACGCATACCCTGGCCGGTACCATCGACGGAGATACTGGGGCGAACCGGAGGCGGAGGCACTGGCAGAACATCGAGGATCATCCACTCAGGACGTGCGTAGTCGGCGTTCAGGCCGAGCAGTGCAAGTGTGTTGTCGGACATGAGCTTGAAGATGGTCTGTGCCTGCTTTGGTGTAATGACTTCTTTGCGGTCACCTTGGCCGTCATCGTCGTCCTTCTTGCTCTGTTTCCAGGTGCCTGTGAGCTTCAAGCCCTCCTTGCGGATGGAGTCAGGTTGCTTGCTGCCACAGCCGCCGTGAGGAATCTTGGGGATCTTGTTTTTGTCACTTCCGTCGTCTACGTCCTGCATGCACACGGTCTTGCCCTTGGACATGCGCCAGATCTTGTCAAAACGCTTCTTCGCATCCTTGGTCTTGGCGGCAGCGGCCCAGTCAGGATGGTTCTGATATTGCAGTTAGCACAAAATCCAGGAGTCTGAAGTCTCTGTCTTCACGTGGGAAGACTTACGAAGTCAGCCTTGATGAGACCACAGGTATGGCACACGGTCTCGAGGAGCTTCTTGATCTTCACAACGAAACCGACGTGAAAGACGGGTGTGTGCAGCTCGATGTGACCAAAGTGACCGGGGCAGGTCTGGATATCTTCCTTGCACGTGGCGCACGAGTACATGCGGTCGATAGTGCCGAGCTTGGGGTCGTTGAGACCTTGCTCACGCGGTTTCTGCTTCTGCTCGTCCATGGTCTCCGGGTAGATGATGTGGACGACACTCATGGCCTTGATCTCCTCGGGAGAGAGCAGCCCGAACTGGATCTCCTTGATGGTCCGGAGCGGACATTTCGACACCTGGGGCGCGCCCGGAGGCATGCTGGCGGCAGTGAAAGGGTTTTGTGGGTGAGAGGAAGCCTAGAGACCTGTCTAGCGGTCGACGGTCGCGGTGGCCACGCCGGGCGGTTCCTCCGCGTATTAAGTAGTAAATTGGGCTGCCGTGGTAGCTATGTCGACGGCTGCTCCTGATGTTAAATGGAGTAATGCGCGCCGCGCGCGAGAAGAGATGCGGTCGGAGAGTGGCGCCCGTGTAAAAGGGCTGTACGGGGGTCGGGGGCTCGCTTGGGCGCGCCTCAAGACGGGAGTCTTGCGCGCGTATTAAAAGCGCTCCGGTGAGCACTATTGGGGTCGGCGAGGTAGAAGACGCGCTCTAAATATGAAGGAGCGGCCGTTGGTGATGGCGGGTGGGGTGGTGGTGAGGGCGTGGCTCTGGTAGAAGCAAGAAGGCGACAAAGAGACAGTTCCTGCCGCATTGACACTAGTCGGCCCTCACGTGCCGACTGCGCTCGCCAGGGCTGACCAGAGCGGATTGACTGCCACCGCCAAACTCTCACTTTGCGCGCCAGACTCTCACTTCATGGACAACAGCCGTCGCGTCTGCGAAGATGCTGCTAATTGAGCTTGCTCTTCTGCACACCCCGCTGTCTGCAGTGCACGACCATGAATCTCTCGCTGGTTGATCCCTTTGTCCTTGCGCAGGACTGCCCCGATGTCATCACCGGCCGCCTTCGTGAGTTTAATATGTCGACTTGACTATACACTGCAGTGACTCACAACGCGTAGGCAGCGGCCATTCAACCTCAATTCGCTTCAGCCACCGCGGCGACCTGCTTGCGTCCGGACGGGTACGCGAATGTCACGCCCTTACATGTGATTTCCGCTGATTGGATTCCAGCACGACGGCATAGTCGTCATATTCGATATCGAGACAAACGGCGTCGCGCGCAAGCTTCGCGGCCACACACGCCAGGTTCAGTCGCTCAGCTGGTCCACGAATGATCGCTACCTTCTCAGCGCTGGGCAGGACTGGAAGTGTGTGCTATGGGACCTGAAGGATGGCTCGCGGGTGCGCACTGTCCGCTTTGAGGCAGCCATCTTCATAGCAGAGCTGCACCCAAAGAACCAGTAAGTACATACATGATGCCTACAGGCAGCCCGCTAAATTCAGTCTAGTATGGTCTTTGTGGCTGCCCTCTTCGAAGACCAGCCTGTCATCGTCGACATGTCCGAGGAAGTCCCCGTCAAGCACTCCCTATCGTCCGCGCCCCACCGAACCGACATAGAACGCGAGAACGCTTCCGAGAAGCAGACGGCCCAGGATGCCAAGCAGACGACCACTATGACGCTCTTCTCACCCACTGGCCAACACATCATAGCAGGCACAAACAAGGGGTGGCTGAACATTATAGAGACCGAGACGCACCGAGTACGCTACTCTTTCAGGGTCACCAACAACATCATCGTTTACATTCGCTTGACGCCCTCGGGCAGAGACGTTGTGCTCAACTCCAGCGATCGTATCGTCAGGACACTTCATCTACCTGACTTGAGCGACCCAAAGTTGGACTTCGACACACTCCAGCTGGAAGTTGAACATAAGTTCCAGGATCTTGTACAGAGGCTTTCCTGGAACCATGTATCATTCAGTCCTTCAGGCGAATACGTCACGGCCTCTACCTGGATGAATCATCACATTTACGTGTGGGAACGTGGACAAGGTAGTTTGGTCAAGATCCTGGAAGGCACCAAGGAGGAGCTGTCTGTGGTCGAATGGCACCCATTCCGACCTTTCGTCGCTGCTGTCGGAGTGGATTCTGGTCGCGTCTGGCTCTGGTCCATTCTCCAGCCCCAACGTTGGTCTGCCCTCGCACCGGATTTCGTCGAAGTAGAAGAGAACGTAGAATACATCGAGCGCGAAGACGAGTTCGACATACAGCCTCTAGAGGAGCTACACAAGCGACGTCTAAACGCCGAAGACGAAGAAGTCGATGTTCTCACCGTAGACCCAGTTAAGACCTCGGCTACAGAATTCGGACCGGCTATAGGAGACGCAGAATTCAGGATGCCCGTATTGTTGGATATAGAGGCTAGTGATAGTGAGGACGAAGTCGTGGCAGTCGGTGCTGGTCAGTTCAGACGGCGCAGTCCTGGTGCTGGTAGAGAATGGATGAACGACGATGAGGTGGCAGTTAGTGGTGATGAGGCACGAAGAGCTAACGGTACCACAGTGAATGGTACTAAAAGACGGCGAGCCGGATGATGATAACAGGAAGCGATTTCCGACTACTTCGCTGCAAAGCTGTACGAGACAAAGCGTCTGGCATGTCTCCCATCACGTCAAGGGGCGCTACACTAATAAGTTTTGTAAGATGAGCATTGATCTGAGCCATAGTCTACCGTATGAGGGGACAAGAAGGCGCCATAGCAAATACAGTGTTAATACAAAGTCATGCCAGTTCACAATTTTGCTTGTTCTTTACGGAGACATAAACACATTGAGATAATGATCATGTTTTTCACATGCAGCTGTCGAGGAGCTCAGTTAGGTGTTCAGACGAGACCTTGATCTTGATTTTCTTGTCTGAATTTCAACCATTTAGTTTTTGTCGCCGCTACCTTGATCGTTGCGCTCCATTCATTTATTATTCATCCAACCAACACACAAAGTATGGTACTACCGTTAAGGCAAATGTATTACGATGCTCTTAGCCGATCACAGTGAAACTGGACCCAAAGGACTCACAAGCTGAAAACCCGCTGCCAAGGCTATATTAAATCTGGACTTTAAGTATTTGCGACGGAGGATCACTTCATTGTCCCGGAAACTGCTCCTTGTGGAAGAAAACCCTGGAAACGACCTAAATGGTCGCCTTCCCACAACACGTCATACTACGACTTGATCGTACGTTTATTACGTTATAGAAGACCCTGCTGTGCGAGAACATTTGATGTCTTTTTTTTTTGGAAACATCTTAATGGAAACACACGGTATGTACTATACAAATCTGTCTTATGGTGCCAATAATTTATGAGACAATTCTAAGCCTGAATGTATTCCCTCCATGAATGTAAATTCTATTGAGTAGTGAGCATGACAGTAGGATTCAGAATGCCGGAAAAGTTGCTTGAAATTGTATACAGGAAAGCGATGGTTTTCAGTAGAAAAACCAGCCCTCAATTCCAATTATGTACATTATACCATCTGAACACGAACTAATTAAATAGCGCGTCGAAGGGACGTCAAGTAAGGACTAGAAGAGTTTCTGTACGCGCCAATTGAACAAGTTGTAGCATAAATCACAAGAACTTTACCTAAGTATCTACAGTTGAAGAAAGACTGACAACACACCAGATTCTGACGCCGTGGAACTTGTATGACATCCTTACCATTTTTTCTCTTCGCATATTGATAAAAGCCTATTGATGTTCTGATAACCAAGAAACCCCCTTTCCATGGTCGTGACTGGGTCAACCGTTCAATCTGCAAATACTGACACGGGTTGACTTCGGCTGGCGTTGCGTCGCCTCACAATGCGCAGACAGTAATGAAACAGAAACCCGCATCATTTGATAGTGGCAGTACGGAACCCATCTGGACAAGGACCTAGACCAACGGCAACAGCAAGTACTTGTCGAGAGTTGCTATGTAAGCTACAGTAGGGTCCGCGGCATGTTCATAAACGTCATTCGGCATTGGTTGTCGACGGGTTTTCTTGGTTGCGGATCGTGGTCAGGCCAAGGGGCGATGCAGGAGAGTCAGCGGTAAAAGTGCGAGCTGAGACTCGCACGGTGCGAAGGTAGACAAGGATGCAAGGCGCGACGCAGTGCAGGCAGGAGCAAAAACGCAAGGAAAGGCCAAGTACAGACGCGGCTTTTACGGAGGGATCTGATTGTCTCGGACGAAAGAATGTTTGAGCTAGGTAATGAGGTGGGCGATGCGCGATGCTTCTCTACCGCCGTTGGATTGGGACGCGCAATTTAGCTTCAATGCCACACGGACCTCTCAGCAGAACGCGGAAAACAGGAAGGGCGCAGCAAGCAAGCAGACGGACAGCAAAAGGGAATGCGCAAGTGATAATTCGATGCCATCAAAGACATAAACAGCTTGTCCTAGGATATCCAGACATCTAAAGGGGGTTAGCGTGTCTGGCCCGTGCGTCCTCACCTGCGGGCACCTCTTGTGAGTGTCGGCAGCGAAGAGGAAGACGTTAGCGACCAATATGATCTGGGACACCGACGACCCCAGCTGGGCCGAAGAAGCCCTTTCTTTGCCTTTGCGGCAACCTTCTTCACCACCCACTCTCCCTTCCCATCCTCGTCCCCATCCCCCCAACTGTTTGCATCGGCGCGCTTCATCTGCCCGACGATACCTTCTCGACTTTACGTGAAGCACGGCTCACCAGGCTTGCTCCCCCTAGCCACCGAGACGCCAACGCGCTGACAGGCAGAGCCACTGTCTTTTGCCCTCACCGCTGCAGGCCAAACCCCCCAACACCAGCTCTGCCACCATCCGCTGCAGCCATCTACACACCACCACCGCGTCGGCCTGCACGCGAACATGACCACGAAATCACCAAAGACCCTCGTCGTCACACTCAAGCTGTCACCAGACCACCTGAACAAATTCTCACGCCAGCCTACACCACCACCCAAGGAAGAGGCCAAGCCATCTCCGCCAACGCCTGCGCCGCAAATCAACGAACCCACGCCTGCTGCCACACCCGCCGACTCAACCCCCAACATGGACGGAAGCACGCCCTCGTCGCTTGCTCCCCCCGCCGCCAAGAGGAAGGGCCCAAAGCCCGGTAGCAAGCGGAACGCCGCGCAAATGGAGGCTGGTTCGAGCGCCGCGACACCGCCCAAGCAACCCAAGGCCAAGCCAGGGCCAAAGAGGAAGAAGATGGGCGACATGATCAACGACCCCAACTCCAAGGGGCCCTTCCCAACACCCGCAGCCATCAACAAGGCAGGTCCCAAGGCAAACCTGGGAGCCATCAACGAGCGCCTGCGCGCCCTCGACAGGTCAGGGGCCAAGTGCCGTCGATGGGAGAAGAAGGGATTCCAGGTCCGCAGCTTCACCGGCGTCATGTGGCAAGTGCCTACCTATCAGCCAGGCCGCAAAGGCGCCTTTCCCGACGACGTCAAGAGCGACAGCACTGGCACTAGCGACTCCAAGCTGAAGGACGAGAGCAGCGCAATCAGCGACAAGAGCGGACTCAACGGTGACAGTACACCGGTGCCGACAGCGATGAACGGCATGGCAAGCTCTCCCGCCCCTATACCCGCTTGAGTCTTGCCCATCATTGGTCTTGTCCTCCTTGATGGACTTGTAATATGGCTTGCGCCTGTTGCGGCCTCACATCACTTTATTTCTTGCGACATGTCTTTTTACATCAATTTGCTTTCTTTGTCTTGTTCGGCGTTCACGGAGCGCATTGCATAACTATGTATAAGGCGTAATTTGGGACTTTCCACGGCTTGCCACAGGCAGCATGGTGTCTGGCGCACAAGCACGTCGCTGGACAGCTACATGTACTAGAGATGGACCTGGTTTCCGAATGGCGAGGAAAAAGGGGCTTTGCATAGCACATTCTGAGAATATCGAATATCAATAACTGACTACAAGTACTTGATCCATGTGTCTAGCGTCCATGTCGGGATCAATGTGAGCGTGACCTGGATGGCGTTATCATCCCCGTGGTGACTGCGGGGATCTCCACCGATAGCTCGGCTGGATCCAAACCTCCGGCCATGGACCTTCATTGACGTACCACTTGCACTGCACCTCATTGCTAGCTTTACCTACAGCAAAGCTCCCTGTCCATCAAATGATGCATGTATCTGTGACGATAGCTTCACAGAAGCCCGGATGCCCTTGATTCTTGCCTGAGAACCGTTGGCAACTTCCAACACAGAGTACCGCATTCACTCGGCACCATCCACAGCTAGCCCACGCGTTCGCACACGGTTGGACCTCTCCAATCTTCGCCCGCCACTACCACGGCCAGCCCGACCATTGCTATTCGCGTAATTTGCGCGACATCCTGCTGTCATCGCTCCAAGGCGTCACCACGGACATACTGGTAGCTGTTTAGCGCCACTATCGCTCACCATGAACGCTCGTCGGGACAGCTACGCCAGGGTCGCTGCTGCCGGATCAGCAGGCAGTAACAGTTCATTCCAGCAACCCACCCGATCCGGTGCCTTTGCGCATCTCGCCAACAGCGCCTCGACATCGCACCCAAACCGCCTCTCTCGCTCCATCGACGCCGACGGCCACATGTCTACGAGTTTCGGAAGGTCCGGCGGGTTGCTGCCCTCATACTCCAGCCAAGCTGGATATTGGCATGGCCTGGGAGGGTCGGCTCAAGACATACCTCCATTCTTCGTGCCCTCCTACCTGCGCGGGTCCAAGCACGCCGAGAAGTTGCAAGAGGTGCACAAAGCGAAGCTAGCAGCCCAGAGGGATTACAAGTCAACACACTCGTCAAATGCGGGCTCGCTGTCTACGAGTTCGAGCAGCGCCAATCTGCACAAGATGGCGCCATCACACCGAGGTCTCACGCATGAGGTAGTGGAGCGCGCGCCTGTTGTGGATGAGCCGGTGGCGCCATGGCCAACACGATGGAACGATGCAGACAGATTCCCTCAACTAGAGCTTGAGGATAGTGGAAGGCAAGCCAAGTTCTCAGGCACCCAGAAGACTCACGATGAAGCGGCATCGGTACGGGCAGACTTTCCTATGCCACGGCAGTGTGGGATTTACTACTACGAGATGACTGTTATCTCCAAAGGCAAAGACGGGTATGTATATCTTCCATGTGGGCAAGACATGTGCTGATTCACGATACAGTAGAATGATCGGAATTGGCTTCTCTGGACAAAAGGTTGCTCTCAGTAGGATACCGGGTTGGGAGCCCGACTCGTATGCATACCATGGCGACGATGGGCAGATCTTCAGTAACACCACCTCTGGGAAGTCGTATGGACCCAAATTCGGCACGCTGGACGTCATCGGCTGTGGCATCAATTTCCGGACAAATACCGCCTTCTTCACCAAGAATGGGCACATGCTAGGTAAGCACTCTAGATATGGAGACTTGGATAGCACTAACAAGTCCAGGGACGGCCTTTCGAGACTTGAAACTCAACGTGCCATACTATCCCACGGTAGGCATGAAGAAGCCTGGCGAGACGGTCCGCGTCAATTTCGGTCAAGAACCCTTCGCTTTCGATATCGACAAGATGGTACAGGATGAGAAGGCAGCCATACAAACCGAAATCACTCGAACCAAGACCGAAGCGAGCGTACTGGGAGGCGAGGACGCGCTGATACACCGGCTGGTGGGGCAGTATTTGGCGCACGATGGCTACGTAGAAACAGCACGAGCTTTCTCAGATGAAATTGTAGATGAAGCGAGAGCGCTTGCGAACGATGAAGAGGCAGACATTCCCTACCGCACGGCAGTAGAAGATCTGGATGCGCTCAATCGACAAAGTACGTACATTCAAGAGTCTATGGACGACAAAACTGACAGGATCCAGAAATACGTACAGCGATCCTCGAGGGCGATATTGACAAAGCGCTCAAGCATACGAGTGCATACTACCCTTCGGTCCTCCGTGACAACGAAAACATCTACTTCAAACTCCGCTGTCGGAAATTCATCGAGATGATCCGGCGATGCGGAGAGTTAAACGCACAATGTCAATCTGCACCAGCGTCATCCTCCAAAAGATCGACTGCCTCCGCAGCCAACAAGCGTAACTCAACTGCTACCGACGAGTACGATTTCGAGATGGAGCTTGATGAGCAACTAGGTGTACATAACCCACCACCAAGTTGGGACAACAAGGATCAAGACGATGAGTTGGAAGATGGAGAAGAGGATGACATGGAAGACAAGATAGTAAAGAGCGAACGGGCGACGAGTGAGACAATAGCTTATGGCATGGAGCTAAAATCCGAATTCGCGAACGATCCGAGACGGGAAGTCAAGCGGGCGCTCGAAGACACTTTCGCGCTCATTGCCTATGCAGATGCACGGGAAAGCTCGTTAGCGCCATTGCTAGAGATATCTGGTCGTGCGCCAGTCGCTGAGGAGCTAAACAGTGCCATATTAGGTACGTTCATGATCCAGAGACGACGAAGATCTCCGAACAACCTCTCTTGGGTGTCGTTTGCACTGAAAACCTACGCTAACAAGTCGCAGTCTCTCTAGGCAAATCCTCTTCCGCCGCTCTCGAACGCCTAATCCAGCAGACTGAAGCCTTAGTCAACGAACTCGCCGACGACGGCGGTCCCGGTGCTTTCATCAATGTTCAAAGAGACTTCTTACAATAGTATTACAATGCTTCGCCATCTATTCTTGCCCTCAACAAGGCTCGAAAAGCCGTCATAGCTTGCAGAGAAAGATTTGGTGTCGTATATGCAAGTACCAAGTGGGCTACAAGATGTATGTATTGGAAGATGGGCAAGGGAGCTTGGGTAGGCTTGGGCTTGCATTTCACACGTAATTGGATGGGGCATGGGATGCAACATGCTTTTCCCAGGCTCACTGCTGGAACGGTCGTATCAGCTGCAGACCGAGCATCAGTGCAAGGTGATGATGACGATGAGGAAACGTTCAACTGAGGAGGCGGGCGAGGTTGTTACGCGTTTCTGAGGTTTAATCGGCTTCACATGCTGCGTTGTTGCTTCTCAGTGGGGAATACATGGTTCTGTGGCATTTGTATGGCTTCGGTTGGCAGTGGGCGTTGATAATTGGGACTGAGGATATTACTACTCTGCTTGTTTGTACACACTGTCTCATGGAGTTGAGTTTCCATAAATCCTCCAGACCATACAGTAGTCTGAAATCAGACGATGGAATGATTATGCCTTCTCCAAATCTTCCGTCTTTCTTAAGTACGTTACCTCCCTTTTCAGAACGGCCACCACCACTTCTTCTCTTTCTTCTCCATCTTCTTCTTCGCCGCTCCCGTTCCTTCTCCCTTGCCATCGCCCAGCTTATCGAAGAAAACTACCATGATTGTAGTATCATCCACAGCATTCCGACTTAATGGCTCAGGACCCGCTAAGATACCCAAAAACAACCCCCTCCTAGTTCCACCCATGGCATTCCTCGCTAGACAAACAGCTGCGTTCTCATCCTCAATGGCGAAGTACTCTGGCGTTGCTTTCCAATCTACTTCTTGGCCTTGTTCAGGGTCGACGGTAACACCAGGGTCGAGGGAGGAAAATGTGGTAGGGAAGACAGGTGGATTGGCCAGCAACTCCGGATCCTGTTTGACGGATCCCCGACCTCGCTCTCGGGCGGCCAAGTACCTAGAAACACATTCCACAGCATGTTCAGAAGAAATACGATCCCAAAGACCATCAGAAGCTAAAATCATAAAGTCGCTCTTGCCTTTCCCGTCGCCAGGTTCTCGTCTCACAACTTCTGTTTCCGTAATCTCAGGTTCAGCAGTCATGTATGGAGGGCTTTTACTACCAGGTCTCGGCGCAGTACCCCAGAACTTGTGTTGGACAGCTTTGATGAACTCATTGTCCCATTTCCAGCGATGATCACCGAAAGCCCGTGTCACTGCTATGCCGAGCATACGACCTGTTTTGGGGTCGATGACGGACTCGTCCGGGTGTTCTTGGCTCAGTCTCGCGACCTCTTTGGCGTTGAATCCGGTTTGGTCTTCTGATAATGGAACTGCGGTATATGATTCTGTTGTCGGGTCCCAGCGGCCAAGCACAGCGCGAGAGTCGCCCGTGCATGCTACACGTAATCTTGAGGTTTGAGGATCAAAGGCTGCTAGGAGAGCACAGGAACCTGAGAAGGCTGGGGTCAGAGCAGCGATTGCGGCGCCGTTCGCGGCGGGAAACCAGTTTGCGGCAGTCTTTGCTCGGTCCATGATTGTCTTGTCGATGTTGAGGAAGGCACGCTTTATTGTGGATTCGACTTCTGGGCTTGAGGCGAATTGTGACAGGCTGGTTAGGGCGGAGCTGACCATGGGGATTAATGTCCATTGCAGATAGAATGCTGTGTGGCGTCCTGCGTGTCCATCTAGCACCGTCCAGTAATTCCACAGCTTATCCCCTGGGCCTGGTGATGTCCCCAGTGCGAAATAGTCTTCACAAGGCTCGTTGCTACGGAAGCGACATCCGTGTGTGATGGGCATTTGTACGCCTTCCATGCCTTCAACACCCTTCTTCGCATCGTCCTCTGTCATCATCCACCCAAAACATAACTTGTCGAACTGCTCCGAAAAAAACTTGGCGACATTGGGATCCTTGAGCGGCGCGCTGGGGTCCGGGATGTGAAAGTCAAGCACGTGTTGGATCTCCTCACGGGAGTTGTAGAAATGGAGAGGTGTCGCAAGGGCGGAGGCATCATCGCCAGATGAAAAAGCCGCATAGACGCTATCTGTCCAGTCCGTTTCTACGATGTCGACGAAGTAGTATGCTAGACCGCCGAGCACGAGAAGAACAAGTACGGTCTTGGTTGGGAAGCCGGACTCGAGGAGGATAGTTGTGGGGTCCCTAGTTGGCTGTTTCCATCTCGCATTGTCGCGGAGAGTGTCTTTGCCATGGATTCCGAAGCATCTAGAGCGTGAGTGCAATTGTCGCGTTTGCTCAGTGGCACGTGATGCTAGACTTGTATAAATGCGTCCCTCTGTGTGTACTCGCAAAGTGCGGGTCGCCGCTGCAAGTGGCCTCTGCAGCCGGGCTTGAGGCTGCGCCTTGACTGCGCACTTGAGCCACGCAGCGTTTCCCAACCGTCTTGGAATCATTCTGCCTGTAAAAGCTGTGTGATACTGCAAGTTGGACGAGATGTGTTAGGGTTGTTGCGCGTTGTGGAATTCCAATCGGGGTCTGTGCACGCGCTAGCTTGATCGCTCTTTCACACGGAACAATCGAGCAGCGCTTGGCAACGATTTGACGCTTCCAATGATCATCAAAATTTGCGTACATAGCTCATTGAATTAACCAAGAACGATGGCGATGAGCGATAATAGAAAACCTGATTTGCCGTGTCGACACTGGCACCGAGCATAACAAGTTTAGGGACTGAAAAGATATGGTTGCTACTAATAGACTGTTGTAAGGATTGGGTATCGTCGTTACTTGCTTGTGCAACTCGTGGAAAGCAAAAGAATCCAAAACGCCTCCCATATCCTCCCGTAGACATAAGAAAATGCCACATATACGCCGATGAGAGTGACGGTGGTGAACAGCAGCTCATTAACCTGACTTGATAAGTATTGGTAGCAATCTCCGTGTGTGATGATGTACCCGCCCCTTCCCGACCATAGCTTCAGTATTCCTATTAGCCATCCAGATGTGACCTGCTTCCGAGCGATACACTCTCTATGTTTCGTCCTTTCTGACACGTCCGCCCTCTGTCATAAGTACAGTACTGGCAGACTTCGACATAACAATGCGTCCGCTTTGTTTTTTCACAGATGCATATCACATCTCTGTCCAGTGGACGTCCTCGATACGGTCGACTTCTTCGTACTGCCTCTTCTTCTTCTCTTTCTTCTTTGCGTTTGTGTTCTTCCTTCGTAACATTAACTTCATCTTTGTCGCCAGCTTGCCAAAGGTCGCCGCGGTGGGAGTGCTGGCAGTCTGTTCTTGTAGCCTTTTCTCATCATCCTTTGCGATATCTTCACTCTTTGGGGTGTAGTCTTGCTGCGATAGATCTGCCAGCTTGATCTCTTGTGGGCGACTGATGTGCCTCGCCTGTTTAGTAGGATGTGATGAAAGCGAAGTGTTCGTTGAGATCTCCTTGGCGGTAGTGGCTGCTTCCATAGATTGAGGACTTGCGACGATAGCCTTAGGCTTGGGCGGAGCCTTTACTGGCAGCGGTTGCAGCATGCGCCATACAGGCTCGGTAGGGCTGGATGGCTCTGAGGACGAAGACATAGGTCGGACTAAGACCACCGATGAGTCGCCCCACTCGTGATCCATTCTTGGTGAGTAGGCTGGTGTCGATGGCTCTGAGTCGATGAACGTCCCAAAGGACTTTGCTGACATGGGTGGGGGAGACATTGGTCCCAACGACTGTGGTGTCATGGGAGTGTGAACAAGAGCTGGAGGAGGGTAACTCTTTGCTGAAAACCGATGTGGTCGTTCGGGTGACATTGTACGCGGCTGCTTTGGCAAGCCATGGGTGGAGAGTGGCCTGTGGATGCTGTCACCCAATGAAGCTGAGCCCAGGTTAGGCGACGGCACAGAGAGTGTAGCCATGTCTGTCAAGGTGTGACAGTGCCAAGTTTGAGACAAGCTTTCGAATATAGGTAATAATTTTAAATCGCAGAGGCGTGATGCAGTGGTGCGAACGAGACGCACAATACGAAAAGAAGCACGGGAATGGCGGCGGCGAAGGATGTAAAAGAAGGCGGCACCCGTAGACAGACGCAAGTACCGAAAGAAGGTTATTGCGGCGTAGCAACGAGACCGGTCAACTGGGTAAATCAAACGGAAGAGGAGACCAAGGGCTGCGCCCCGAAACCAAACTGAACGATAACAGAGGGCTGAAAGCGGTACTACCTGAGGCCTGCAGGCTACACTTTTGTTTATATGAAAGCACACCACACGCGTCATCCGCGCCGCGACGGTGCGTACCACACCGATTGCAGCGCTGACAGATCTATCTGCGCATGTCATGCTACTGAGGTGGCAACGGTGGAGCTACGCCGTTAGAGTATACGCGTTGTCAAGACATCGAGAGCCGCCTGCCTGTACTAACCCCGCCGTTGCGACATGGTACGGAAACCTCCTAGAGGGTGAAGGACGTTGGATATGCGGCTAAGTAGGGAATGATTGGCGACCCAACTGGCGGAGGCGCTAATGTTGGGGCGTCATTGGTTGACAGCGGACAAGTTGCATCAACCACGCCGCAATTTCATATAGAGCAGCGCCTGCGGAATAGACAATGCCAACAATGTGGAACCAGGGTGTGAACCAACATCGGGCGCTGTCCTGAACTGCTGGGATCTGCTGCCGTGGTTTGGTGTCGAGGGACAGCGGCTCACAGCCCCCATTCGCTCGACGTTGTTGCATGGTCTGGCGAATCAGCTCCACGAAGCATCTTTTCAGCCTGCGAGCCCCTTCAGCTAAGCATGATCGCTACCTGCTTTGAGACGTAGGCAGATGTTCCGATCTCATGGTTAGACCAGAAGAAGAAGGCGTTCTCGTGTATAGTTCGTCGCCATCAGGCTCCTCCTGTTCTCGTTCCCGAGGCGCTCAGCCGCTCAGAGCTAGGATCATCAGTTCGCTGATCAGAGTTGGCCCCCATGACCTGAGTGGCCGAACGTCTTCCCACATTTTGTCTCTATCACGACATAGGAGTTAGGGCAGTGCAATTGGTGTCAGGTCGACGACTGCGCCGCAATATCGATGTCGCCTTGAAAAGTGGGTATGGCTGATCTTGCTCGCGGCAGACACCGTCGTGCAGTGTGTTGTGTAACGTGTATAAGCGCCGTGCGAGCTGATCCATGCAGGCTACTGGCACGAGCGTACAAATGCCATACCAGTTGTAGACGCAATGGGTGCATGAAAGAGTCTTTTTAGATTAATCCGATGCGCCTGAGTGAGGGGCCGTTGTAAGCGATGAGTTGTGCAGATTACTTTTAAGCCGTTCGGGTAGTTGATAGGAAATCTTGCAGCCCGCGGCCAAGGAGCTCGGGCCGTCAGAAGGATCAGGATCGCCGAGACGAGGTCCAAGAAGAAACTGCATGCAGGTGAAGCTTGACGGACAACGGCTATACACCGAGAGAAGTTGATCCTACGTGTTGTTGTATCGGCCCTTTCGGCGAAGAGGAGGAAGGTGCAGGTCCAAGATATCGCCAAGGCAGTCTCTGCCGCGCGGGAGCAGCCCACCAGCACAAGCCGTCGTCATGCCTTCGCCTTGCACATCTGCCCCTCGAAAACCTCATCTGATCACTAAACACTTTCGATTTACCTTCGCACATTCCGTTGGCTGGGTCGCAACTAAAGACCGAAGTCGTCGGATGCCCCCAGCACTGCGATCGTCTCCCATCGTTCGTGTCGCGTAACTTCACCATATGGTCTCTAATTCTTTTGGATCGATCGTCGCAGTTCTTTTCCCCCAGTGCCAAGGCCCTCATTCTTCAAACACCCTCGAGCTTGTTAGTATGAGACTGCATGGACGTGAGCATGGCTAGTAATACGGAGTCTCAAGTTCCTCATACTCGCTTACCCATCCAGTTCATGACTCAGGCGAAATGTTGTACAGCTTCTTCCTTCCTCGATCTTGACCAAAGTCTATTGACAAGATTTGTCTCCCGGCTCACCATTAGCTGGCTCACCCTATCTTGTTGTCCAATGTATACCACATCTGTTACCCACATAATCTCTTTGAATTTGCTCGCTCCCTAGCGTCGAGAAGAGAGGGCTAATCTCAAGCTCTTTGCTGGCTCATGCGATTGAGCTATCTACGATCTAGCCTGTCATGTGAGAACGACGATGTCACCACGCTCTGGTACTCCAAGACCAAACATTCTGCACTTATGTGGCGTTAATATCTGCCTCAAGCACCGCCTTCGACTAGTCTCTACGACTTGGGGGTGGCGTTGTCGTCAATTGCCCTTGCGACTACTAGTTCGTCCCTGAGCTATCCATCATAGACGTATACTGGTTGTCAAGCTTGACATAGTGAGTTCTTGAGAAGTAGCAGTATAGATCAAAAAGACAAGCACCTATGACTCTAGCTGTATTCTATTGAACCCGATCGCATCAGTTACTTTAAGATGCATATTGTGTTAAGAAAGTGTTGCTGACCAACGTCAGTATCTATCTATGCAAAAAGGTTCATCCGACACTCTACCAAACCTTTTTTCTATGCAAGGGGTTTGAATGCTGACAGATTGTGGTAGGTTCGGTGCAAGATTCAGTCGTTGGCTCAAATTTATCTTCGGCCTTTCCCTGTCTTGGTCCTTGATATCGATCTAATGTCTATCACGTATTCGTGCTCTAGATGGGATCTCGCATCCGGCTATTACTGAAATCGTTTTTTTTTTGGCCTTCGTCTCTCTCCATTGTTTATTCTCGGCCATGCGATTCACTGGTTTGACATACCCACTCAACGTTTAGGTCTCCACTTCACCTTCACCTTCACTTTTCAGTATCGGCGCGCAAGCTGCACACTTGGTCACGTTTGCGTTTTCATTTTCGTCTTCACGTCGTTTATTACGCAACACGTCCTCATCTGCTAGATTATTTTGACTTCATCCCCTCATTACTTTGCTTTGATCATCGCAAACATACGCCACGACGAATTGGAAGCATGGATTTCCCACATGCAGCAATGCGGGCTACTCTTGCTGCGACAAATTTTTCACCGGCCGAAGTACCGTCGCTCTATGTCCGACCCGAAAAATCTCGAAACAACTCTTATCGCAAAGGGAATTTTGTCCAAGTGCCACGCAAAAGCGAAGAAAGTAAGAGTGATGCTGGTAGCGATCAAGATCACCGCAGAACCTTCCGTAAGAGCAGCATCAGAAAGTTCGGAAGCCTCTTCAGCCGCGACGGTGGTCTCCGCAGTAGCATCGCTAGCAGTAGTCCGTTGGCGACAGTTGTGAACTCAGAGTGTGCGGACGACGAGGAAAGCGTTGAGACTGTGTGCAGCGTTCAACCAATCACTACTGCCAGTTCCATCGAGACCGTTAGCCCCATAGGGCCAATGAAGCTAGAAAAGATTCGCGAGCGTCGTGAGTGAATTTGATCGACTCGAAAAATGGGAACTGACACAATCGTAGACCGAAAATTCGCGCAACTCCAAGAACCTGGAGATGACGACACCACCATACTCACTGTCAAACCTGACGACTGTTACCAGTATGAGTGCAACGATACCGTCGACAGTCAGAATGTCAGGGAAAAATCTCAAAGATGCAAAGATACGCATGTCGTCCATGATACTGCTCGCGCTCCACTAGGCAACCGTAACTACCATCAGCACCACGAATCTCTCCACGTAAATCTTACACCCGATGATGTTGAGAGGTTCGCTAGCGAAATTCGCAACATGACCATCGCAGATGTGCACCTTTCCTTATTCGGATACTGGATCAAGGAGAGTGATGAGAACTTCAAAGAAGCGAAGAAGCACCTTCGAGAGCTAGGAGTCGACCGTGTGGGTCTTCTGAGTTCTTAATGTACGTTGAGCCAGAGCTTTGAAACTAATACTAGTCCCAGGGCTACAACCTGTCTCGCCTCAACAATCGCTGCTTAGAAGAGCTTTGCCGAGACGTCTTCGACGTCCGCCCAACGTACGCTAAGCCACCTACTACAGCCCATCTACGAAGAAGCTACCGCATCGAGAACTTGCGTCACGCAGGCAATACCTGGTGTCACAGGATGTTCAACATGCGAGGGCCCCCTGCTCATCACACTTCTTCAACCTATTGGCAGCAATGATCAATTTGGATCTTTTCGGACGTTCATGCTGCGCTGAAATTACGGAAACTAACATTGAGGTATTCTAGGGAGTTTCGTACCACCGTGCTCAAGCAACAAGCCTCTATTGAAGAAGCAATGCTTTGGTGCTTGACGCAAACGCGCTCGTGTTCTCTGCCTATCCTCCCGCGAGATGATAATTTGCCGCCGTCGTTTCGCAGACAGAGGGAGCAAGTGATTAGTGAGACTGCACAGAGGTCTATATCGCTCGGCTCTCCTGGTAGTTCGATGGATTACCCACCTAATAGTAAGTTACGATATTGTACAGATATCAAGAAAATTGGTGACTAATCAGTTGTAGCTCCTGATCGTCCTTTGCCGCTGTCTCCCCGCTCACCAAGCTCTACCCTAGGTTCGCCACCCCTCGCCCTAGAATTCCCTGCCCTACACTCCGCTCCAGGGGCTTCAGATGATTTCTCCATGCTGGAGTCATACCGAGGATCGTCAGATAGTTCTTTGGACGGGACCTCGGACTGGGACCTCCGGGTAGCAGAAATTTACGAGCAAGTGGTCTCTCTGAAGGAGGTCAGTCAGATCGATCAGGTTATTGCAGACCTCCGGGATTTGAAGGCCTTATACTTCTCCAGGAATATGGAGAAGTGAGTCTTTGAGTGCAGCACATGGGCACGTGGGAGGTTTCAATACCCTATTAGGATGAATCTACAAATTCGAAGTGTTTTGAGAATCTCCTGACTACTTCCTCGCTTTTGCATTCGTGCCTTCAATGAACGATGAAGTGATACAAACCAAGCTATGCCCAATAACCAATGAGCGCCATAGTCGCGGCTCCTACAAAGACGTAAATCACCATCAGTCCTAAGTTCCCGAGGTTTTTCGTCCTTTGCTTATCAAACAGGAAATCCTTGGCTAGCAACTCCACCAACCCACTATATATCAGAAAACCAGCACTAACGCTATTCAACACACCCTGGACCATCAAGCTGACCTTACTCTCAGGTAGATAGGTTGTGCGAACGCCTAACCCGATGGCAATAGAAGTGGGGGTAGTAAGACCGTACAAAGCGCAGAGAGCCCACGGCATCCAGCTCTTGCTCCGTGGGAAAGGGATATTGGACAACCGAGCACCAATACCAAGGCCTTCAAAGGATTGGTGAAACACAAGGACTGCTAAATATCGGTGTAAAAAATCAGTGTATGTCTCACATGCAGCTCGTACAGGGACACTTACGGAAGAGGGTCGAGAACTCATCGCCTACAACGCCGAGGTTCAGACCGATGATGACCGAGTGGAAGATAATTCCGAACTCCAGAACGAGGAAAGCGACTATTTGCTGGGCGAAGGACAGACGATCTGCTGTTGACGACTTCATATTCGAGGAGGTGGAGCTTTTGCTGTGGAGACTGGTTGTGTCTTTCCGATGCTGGTGATGCCGGTGTTGCGTTGAGGCATGAGATTCGGGGTCTATAACTAATACAGCTGGATTGGTGTTTCTATCGGAGCGTAGGAATGCGCTATTCGAGCCGCCAGCTTCCTCCTTTGCGACACCGAATTTATGTTCGACGTATACTTCTGCACCCAGGTCTACGCAAAAGACAGCCATGATGGATGTCAGTACGATGGCAGCGCACCAAGGATACTCCGCCCAGCCTCCACTTTTCCCTATGCAACTGCCTGGACCGATGGCTTCGTATGCTGGGTCTAGTAGATGGATGAAGGCTGTAGCGACGATAACACCGGAACCAAAGAAGCGTGCGAACGTGTACAGACCGAGGGGAATCTTCCAAGACGGTTTCTTGCAGGCGATGACAGGGAAGTATGTGGCGATCGTCGAGACAAAGCCGATAACGAAGATGGATGATATCCGCGCGCCGAGTTGACCGTTGTATTCATTTTCGCCAAGAGCGAAGTAGCAGATGACTTTTGCCTGGTCTGCTGTCGTAAGATCGACATTGGTTGGATCGAAAACGGCCATGTCTAGAAAGAGAGAGTGAGTAGAGCCATGAGGCAAAAGGAATCTCGGGATCTCAAAAGTAGAACAACTAAATAGCCATGGCTTGAATTGAGTCTATATAGAAAGAAGGAGTCAGTGCAGCTTTAATGACATTAGTGTTCACATGCCAAGTACCGTGTTGGACGGTTCATAAAAAGCACTACAACCTATTGGAGATCAGCCATTGACATGGGACTGGCCATGTAGGTGTCGAACTATTCATTAAAACCGGGATTTATCCTTCCCGAAAGTCATTGACGGCGAAACATCCTCTGTTTTTACTTAGTTCTCCTCGGGTGCCAGCGTACGGCAATAGGACAAGGCTTTACACCTATAGTCATTAACAATAGTTCATTCTACATCATAATGTGCTTCCTGCCTCATTGACAACGTGCTGTTGTAGTTGACGGAACGAGATGTGAGAGTCCGACCGTGCTGTGGGAGGCGCTTGATGATGCGTGATAAGCCTACCCAGTGCTCCACAAGACATGCAGGTAGTCGCTTTGTCTCTTAAGTGACCCACGCCGTCGCATACTGTGTACATCAGTAACTTATAACAAAGTGTAAATTGGCCGAACAAAGGCAGAATTGAAGTGTTTCTATATGTCTATGTTATCCATTCTAGACGTCTATCGCAAATATAAAACGACCTTTCTTGCATCTACCTCCGGATAGACATCACTATTACGCTGCGTCAAGTGAGGTTCCTCACCCTCAGACCGTTATAACTCTGTTTCTCTTGTAAAGCCCCCAGTCGTGTTACCACCGGCGGCTGCCGTATGGTGATGTTTCTAGTGAACATGCTAAGATCCGGTCGTTGTTCCTCGCTGGGTGGCGGAGGCCTAAGTGGCCGTTTAGCAGATCGTGTCGGCACCGGTATGTCAGGCAGCAGTATATCGTCGTTCAATGAGTGCCTGGATACTGCAGGGGAGTTTGGTTGCGACATACTCGCTTGTATGGACAGGAGAGGCTCTCTTATGATCGGCGGTGGAAAAGAATTGTAAGACTCGTATGGTGTGCCACCGATGGTAATGCTGCCAGACCAGTGTTTTGAGTGTCTGAATTTGTGTTTGGGTGCCTGCGATCGAGATGCTTCAAAGCGAGCATAAGGCTTGAGGCAGAGGCTACAGACGATCAGGACAGCGAGTGTGGTTTGGCTTTGTGTAGCAACGGCGTAAGGTATCGAGTTAAAAGCAGGGTCCCCGTTGCGACCATAAGCTTGCTGGAGGTAGACTAGACGAATGACGGACGCTGCCACCAAGCTTCGAGAAGTCATCAGAAACGGTAGCCACATAGATGGGAGCAGGCTTCCCACTTACATGAAACGCATCGACAAGAGTAGTGTGGCTAAAGTCTTCTGACGACAAGACTCACGAAGAGTCCATACGCGATGCGTGCAGAGCGCGATGATAGCTGTTTCTAGGACAACGTCAAAAATCGTTGCAATCATCCAGAACGGTACCTATATTGCAGTCAGGTACGGTCCTAGTTGCTACGTGACAATCTGACCTACCAATGGGATACATTTGCCCGTCCATACCATCCATGGCGTAGGTAATTCGCATTGGAAGACCGTACCGCCTAGAACTGCGATAGTCCATACCAGTACCAGTACACTAACAGCTAAGACGCTCGCCCTCCGAAAGGTATTGTCTGCTAGATGATACAGAAAAAGTAGGACCGAGCTTTTCGCTAAGCTAATTGTCAGAACGAAGCATATCGTCGTGACGAAGAGCTTGAGTTGGATTTGCTCCAAGTCTCCGTCATCCAGAAGACAATTCTTCTTTCCTAAACCCGAGTCGAGGGCTGTAGATATTATTACGGTGCTTCCAAGAGCAAAGATCGATGCGGCGATAATGATGATATCATCTGTCGAAGTAAGATGGCGAAGGTGTTCAGACCTGTATCGAGCGATAACTCTTGCTATGGTACATATCGCCTATAATGATGATTCAGTATTAGAGTGGATAAGAGAAGGTGTCTCGTACCAATAGGCAAGCAAGGAACCAAGCGACCATTACCAGAATAGTGCCATGGTTCTGAGCAGAAATGAGCGCGTTCTCCTGCTGGGCTTGTTGGTTGCACATATTGACTTGTGCCGTTCGGAGATTGCATTGAAATGAGCTTTGGTCAATCTTTATCGAAATAGCATGCTGACGGCTACAAGAGAATAGATGCGGCCAGATATCGTTGAACTTCGGACAAGTGCTGCATACACGGTCTGTAAGGCTCCCTTAAAGTCCGAGTCACCAGGGCTACGCGTCTTTGCATGTTCATGCGAATGATTGCCTTTTGTCGCGGCAACGAGGGTGAGGAGTGCATGTAGTTTCGTCTAGAAGACTGGAAATAGAAGCGGAAGGGAGTTGGATTGCGGGCAGCAGCGAATGGTAGGAGACGATGACTGGAACGGGAGGGACATGTTGCAGATCGGTCGCACGCGTGCCTGCATCTAGGCTAGACAGTTGCCGTCGAGCTGAGCCCAGGTCCGTAGTGTTGGGATGAAGGATGCCGCCACAGTGATACGAGGATGTTGTACATGCCGGCGGGCTATCTTTCCGTGTATAGTGGTAGCTGAAGTTAAATGACAGCGTTTCAGCACGGGTTTGATGTGGTGAAAAAGCAATATCCGGCCTAATACCTTGACATGCCTGTGGAAAACATATCTATGACATGATGGATCTGATTGAACCATGTGAGAAACGAAACATCGGGATGAGGTCGCACGATGCAACATGGACGATAACGGGTGTACTGTTGATGCAATCGGTAGCCACCAGATTGGTGATGGGGAACGGGCCGCAGCTAGCGAAGTCCGATATGCTCTAATCTTGTCAGGGCGGCTGCGATGTAATTTGCGAAGCCGAGTGATGAGGCATGATCAGATGATACAATTGTGGCAGAGGTCCTCGCTTGGCACGGAGTTGAGTACCCTGTTCGCAAAGGCTCGCATGGCAGCTCCCACGGACTTGATGCTGTGGGCTGGATTCAACGCGTTGCTTTGAGACCCCAGGTTGACATGGAACCATCAGTAGCAACTGTTGGAAGTGAGGCATGTGGCTCGATTCGCGTGAGTGTCTCCTAGGTACCCATGAAATGGGGCTGACGTCGGAACCTTGCACCACTACCGGTATCGATAAGAACTTTTCCCCAGCCAAGAATTCAAGTCCAATGCGACTGTGCTCTCTCAACTTTGCTCTGTCGCAACACCGTCATGGTAAGTTTTTTTTAGGTTATACCCGTATAGTAAAGTAATACTCACACAACTCTCGAGGCACCCATAAAGAAGCGCACAACCGCGCGCGCAAAGTCGGCTCGCGCAGCCCGTCCCTCAACTGCGGCTCTTCCAAAGCCTGATGGCATCTCCTCGCTCCCCTCTTCCAAGCGTGATAAGCAGAAGATCAAGCACTCTTCCTTCGTCTCCAAGATAGAAAAATCATCTGCCAAGACTCAAAAGCGAAGGCGACCCAACAACAAGCTGGTCGCAAACCTCGAGTCGCTCGCCGACGCGCTCCCAGATGCTGCAACAGCCGGCGAGCTCGAAACGAGTCAGGCGCGCATACTTCAGCCCAAGGTCAAGCTGGAGAGCATGAAAAGGACAAAGGGCGCGAAGAAGAGGAAGGAAAAGCTGGACAAACTAGAGAAGGAGAGATTCAACGCGAACCTGGCACAGCTAGTGCGTGGCACTGGCAACGCGACACCGGGCGCTGATGCAGTACAAGATCGCTGGGCAGCACTCAAGAGCCATGTGCAGAGTAACATGGAAACCAAGTCCGAGTTCGCGCAACAACCAAGTCAGACCGTATAACATCAGCCCTCCAGGTCAATGCTGGAACACGGTCAACATCGTTCTGAGTGCCCAAATCACCTGGTTTCCGATGAATATCCTTGGGGCGAAAGGACTGCAGACAGCGTTGTGCTGTGTAATGCATCGCGGAAACCTTCCGAAGGATTACTACCGCTTAATCATCGACGACTATACCCACCGCTTGTTCTCTGCAAGACTTGTAAGTAACATTTGATATCAGCAACTACGAATTCATGTCAAGGCCGATAGCCCAATATCTGCCTCTTTCTTCCGCTCGATTTCGTCCCCATCATGAACCTTGCCGCAGTCCTCCCCTCCCCCAAAGCCTCCCTCTCTGTCCAGTCACTCCCCATTCCCGCGCCAGCGTCAAAAGAACTCCTCATCAAAGTCTCCACAATAGGCCTCAATGCCATAGAAGCCAAGATCGCAAAGCTAGCCGCCATCCCCGTCGCTTATCCTGCTATCTTGGGCTCCTCTTACACTGGCACGGTTGAAGCGCTTGGTTCTGCAATCACGAACTACTGCATCGGTGCACGCGTGTTGGTGAGCAAACGATTTGGTACAACAGGAAATCAATATAGTGCCTACCAGAGCTATGTCCTTGCCGCAGCTGAGGAGAAGATGGTTATTCGGATCCCTGAAGGAAGTGATGAGGCGGTTCTAGCCAGTCTAGTTATGAATGCGAGTTGTGTTCCTGGACTGTTCTCTGGGCAGCTCGGGCTGCGGAGACCTGCTGAAGAGATCCCAGCTGTAGGAACAGAAGAGAAAAAGAAGATTCTGATATATGGAGGCAGCTCGAGCTTTGGCCAGCTCTCTGTGCGATATCTTTGCCGCGCTGGGTATGCGGTTACTACGACTGCTTCACCACGGCATGTGAACCGTGTGTGTGAACTAGGCGTGGATGATGCAGTGGATCATACACTACCTTCTCAACAAATTATTCAGGAGCTGAAGGCGAGAGGGCCGTACGAAGTTGTTGTCGATATGATATCCACTCCACAAACCATTCTCATCACAAGCCAGGTTTTGAAAGCGCAGGGTGGTGGTATACTTTACGCTACGCAGCCATCTTTCGCGCCTGAGGACCTACCAGATGGTGTACAAAGGGTGTTTAAAGCATGGTCAGAACCGCTGTATGAGCAAGAGAACGAGCGTCTACTTGAGTGGGTTATCGAGGAGTATCTCCCCTTTGGGATACAGAAGGGATGGATTGTTGCACAGCCTGTTGACAGAGTGCAAGCTGGGCTGGCAGGTATTGATGGGGCGTTGGAAAACTTATTATCGAATGCTGAAGGAAGTGGGAAGAGATTCGTTGTGAACGTGTAGGTTTGGTGCTGTCGTCTTGTCCAAAGGTCACAGTTCGTCCCGTGGCTTTGTTCGACTCATATGTTTCTATCGGCCTCTCGCATCTTCAGATGATTACCTACAAAGAACTCAGGAGGCATGTACGCTACGCATCATCGATGTTATCATGAATACCGGCATGTCCCGACACTGTGACTGCCATGCAAAGTCCTTGTGCATGTGCCAAGTGTGAGTCCAAGACGGAGGAAATTCCGATGGCGCACACTAAGCCGGCCGCCCGAGCAGCGGGGATTAAGAGTACCATATTCGAGAGGACGACGGCGCACTCACGAAGAGCTTAGCTAGACGCCCCTGAACCAAATTCATAAAATCTTGCATGTGCAAGGTATGGCCAACAACAGTTCTTGTATCAAGAATCAAGATGTGACTCAAATTGGTGTATAATACCTGATATATGTTACTCTAACAACAGCACGCCACTTGTACACACCCAAACACGGCAATGAAAGTCTACCTCAAACCACTGGTAGCCAAGGGGTATCGAATATAAAAAGCGAAAGAAAGCGAGTCATTCACATTGCTTCGCCGCAACTACCCTTTTCTCAATAAATTTATCAAGACAAAAGTACCATTTCGGCATACTCTCAAACAACGGTAAAAGTGCGCTGGGGGTAATTGTCCAACTGCGTCATGTCCTGGATCTCAGGGAACCAATGCTCAAACAACGCTTCGGCGTCTTCGCTCATCTCTTGTTCGATGCCTTCAGGTGTACATTCGTAGCATTCTAGGCGACCGACGCGGCGATATGTATTGTTTCCGGATGATGGTTTGAGGACGATGCCGACGATAGAGGAACGAAACGTCATGCTGACGAGTACGCAAACGAGGGTTTCGCCGTCTTGCAACGCGTCTTCGGCTGGGAGTGGTACGACGTCTGGTGTAAAGTCCACAGTCATGCCGTTTTTGGCTAGGATGTACGAAGGCTGTTGTTCCGGTGATGCCGTGGTGTGTACGACAACCTCGGCAGCCATGGCTCCTGAGAGCTCGAGAGGCTCACCCATGATAGGTGACCAAGCACTTGCCCGCTTCCCTTTTGGACCAAAAGAAGCTCTACACGCGAGATCCATCGCGCTCGTGTTGTCGAAGAAGATTGGTGAGCCTTCGACTGAGGCCCATGACCAGCTTGGTACATTTTGGCCTTGTGCGAGTTTCGGACGGCGGCATCGTGAACTGTCGTTGGGGTACCAGAGAAGCCCAAGAGTGCTAAACGTCCATTGGCCCGCTATGTAGCCTGACTGTAGAGTTGGCGAAAGGGCTCTTGCGATACTTGCTATTGCTATCAGGCGGTCATTGTCGTACGTGAGGTGCCGCGCAGTGTATTCAGTTATGATGTATGACCACAGTTGGAGTGTCTCTTCACGTCTGCGTAACAACTCCTGCTGAGCGCCGTTTGTGAGATGTGTGGAGGCCAGTTGGTTCGTCATGCTATCCGTGCGCGTGTGAGCCGTGTTGCCATTGCTGTTGGCTTGTTGTGGTTTGTTGAGTGTTTCGGCTATGACTCTACCAAATTCTTGCTTGACCTGGTCGTTTGGCCGTGAGTCGTAGGTACTGTCATCGATGCGCCCGCATTCACATTGATATCCTTCTCGACATTCCAATATCATCTCGCTTTTGGTAAAGTGTAGCACCCTTGGCGAAAGTAAGCGTTCGGCGTATGGCCATGCGCGGATCAAGAGCGGTGTGTGTAGGTTCGCCTCTTCGGACATATTGAAAGGCAACTCCCACTCGTTCATATGTGCATTCCCGTCAAAAGGTGCTTTGAAACTGTAGTGGCTCGGTTGTTCCCTCACGTTTATCTTGTGCAAAGAGCCTTTATTATCTGTTGCTTGTATTTTGAATGGCTGTGTCTTGGGCGGAAAGAGGGGTTGGGTACTACTGTCGGATGCGGACGTTGCCGCTATTGTTAGGAAAGCGTTGCCGAAGATCTCGTCCATCTTGAGCGAGTCCTCAAGCTTCTCCTGAACGTCATCTTGTATTAGACAGAGACTATCGATGAATAGCCAACGGAAACCAAGTGCTCGCGTGAGGAAGACGGCCTCTTGGTACGCTCTTGGCAGTGTCGACCAAGGTATGCTCTTCTTGTGCGACTGCAGTGTTGCCAGAGTTGTCTTCGGAATTCCTTTGGCTAATCCCCAAACATGACTCAAGGCAATGTACTCGCCATGTTCGTATCTTCTCTCATCCTGTATGTATTCACTCTCGTGTAATCGCATGCTCTTGGAGTCGTCGCCCGATAATAAGTCCAGCACACGCTTCGGTAGCGTCGTGGGTTTACCTCGGCGACTGCACGTAGCATGATTTTCTAGGCAAGTCTTTATCAAGCCTCGCGCTGTTGCTAGACCAGTACTCTGCAGTGGGTTATCTGTCATATGCCTTCCTCGCCCAATGGCAGAGAAAGGAGACTGGCCGTCTGCAGTATTGTCAGTCCACGCGTTCCTGCAGAGGAAGCGAGCTAGCAGTAGGCGACCGTTCCACCACCGCGACCATGATTAAAATCAACCAAAATACATGGAAAGAGACTTGGCGCATACCTCCATCTGTGAAGAACTCAAGCTTGAGATCTGGGTGGCCTGTTGGGTGTTCATGGTCGTCTTCGTGGGAGTCGTCCTGGTCGTCGTTGTCCTTCCAGCGAAGCTCAACTGAGAGATGTTCTTGGGGTGTTTTCCCTGTTTTTGGCTTGAAAGACTCGGCCGTGATCCTGACATTGTCCTCATTTATGTTTGCGAAGCGGTCGTGGTGTAGTAGGACGCCATTGAGAAGGAGAGCGCAGGCGCGGCAGGCAGTCGATCTCGACCTCAGTTTTGGCAGCGTTGTGTCGACCCAAACAAGCGATTCTGATCCATTCTCTTGCGCGCTTTCCCCATGAAGGTGTTTCTGGAGACCTTTACATGTCGCGCAAACAGATACCATGGCGTCGTGGAGTGGAATGAATTTGGTGATGGATATGACGGAGGTGCGGGGTGTAAGAAGTCGCGTTCCCGTTGGTTCCGCGGGGCGGAAGGGCAATGGTAGGGGATGATGGACACAGTGTACGTCAGTCGGAAACCCCTTAACAAACTATACTAGTCAAATTACAAGACACCGAAGCCAGTACTGTATTAGCAGCTGACATTCGCGTACAGCTTCCAGACCATTCGACGGCCTAAGGTGGAAGGTCAGCTCTGAACCAGCCCAAAAAGTGGAGGTGCCGCTAATGATCTGAACCTCTCCCGCTCTTGTGGAGACGCGCCCAGCTTCCCAAGCACAAGCATCTATCGTTGCACAGCACCGAGGCTGCAACTATCATTTGCAGGGAGGCAGGCAGATAAGTATTCTGCGACATACCCCCGTCTTCAAATTGCCCCTCGCTCCGGGGGGCTCATTACACACATCACTCGACACCACGTATGCTACCGTCGTCTAGACTGGTTCGCGCTGACGTTCGTCTTGCGCCCCTCAACCTTGCTGCCTGGGTAGGGAGCGGATCGCAACAGCATGCCCTGGTGCCGCACATTCGGAGCAGCTCCCGTCAATACGACCCCCGCGCCCGCGTATCCGGGTCAACCTAAGCTGTTCAGCTATCCGCAAACTCGATGCTTTTTTTCGAGCTGCTAGCCCTACTAGGAGAATCCATCATGAAACACAAGCTGATGATCACTCAATCCAAAGCTATATCTGATCAAAGTGGCGTCTAAATCCTCACCTGATGCCAGCCATAGCTGTTCCCTCACACTTGCGCTCGACAGGATCGGCGGAGAGCCGTGTTGCTACACATCGAAGCCCTCCAGCCTGCTTTTAGACACCCAAGCAGCAGGGCGATCGCAGGTGGACAACGCCTTACTAGCCGCCTTACAAGCCACCTCGAGGAGCCAATCGTCTGTACGGAAAATTTATCACTTGCATTCGTATCTCCAGATCCGGCGCTCTTTTTTCCCACACGTGCACTCTCTACACCGGTCTACCATCAGCATGTCAGACTCGTCAATCGGTCTCCAGGATCCGAGCGCATTGCATGATTACCGATCGGCCGCGAGAAGGGCACAGGCTTACATCTGCTCAAGAGACTGGTAGAACCACACCCACGTAAGTGCTCATGCACTAGCAATTCGAGCCCTGATTGAGCTTGTCCACTCACAATACCCTGTTGCGTGTCATCATACAGGTTTCGAAAGGGTGGTCAGGGTACAGGGTCTGGCGCATTATCTCCCCTGTGTTGGGTCTGCCAATGCATCCATGGATTGCTGCCGCTGCCTGCAATGTAAAGTCCCGTCTTCCTGCCTCGTCACTCGTACTGCGGTGTGAGGATCCGAGCCAACAGTATGCATTGATAGAAATCTTGATGTTGCGAACTAGCCCCAAGGTTTCGACCATTACCATATGCTCAAGCCGAAGCCGAAAGCGCGAAGAGGCTCTGACGTCTCCTTGGGGCTGAGTATTATGTACTCATGTGCCATATTGTAGCGTCGTATAGCGTGCCAACCACATCCTTCGTATCATACATGTCATCGTCAGTCACTCCGCCTTCTAAACCTAGAGATGACTGTTCAGGAGATGCAGCGCTCATAGATCGGTGAAACACAGATCCTTTTCCATTGATTACTTGGCACCAGTAAGCTGCATATGTCTCTCCCCGTGACTGTGGGACGGCGCATCGTGTTTGAGTGAAGGACTCAGCGCACGTGCATCTACTGTCTAGATTGAGCCTAGTCATGGCTCCACGGGCGGTAGCGACGACTTGACCCCACATCGAACCGCCACACGTATCCCAAAGAGTCACGACGTGGGCATATCTTCCGGCAACACCAACATGACTTCGGTAATCAGCTCTTTGCGCAAGCAAATTGCGTCATGCGAAGTCACACTACAGGATCTACGTCAACAGCTGGCGGAAGCTGAGCACAACCAACGCGAAACAGCTAAAGTTGTGCCCCAGAAAAGACCGCTAGCTACTGACCCTACCAACCCCCTGGATCATGACATGAACTTTGGAGTACCTGATCAATTCCGTGAAGAGATTTTCGCAATTCTAGATCAAGAGCAAAAGGCGCCGCAACATAGCGTGTCTGAGGTATCTGAGGAAAGGCCAAGATGGCCACTTCAGAAGAATGAATACAAGAGATATGGCAGGCAGCTGATCATGCCAGAGATTGGACTGAAAGGTAAGTCAAGTCTTTCACATGTCCCTAGGAATTTGCTGAATCGAGCTGCCCAGGTCAGCTTCGCTTAAGAGATGCTCGTGTACTTATCGTAGGCGTGGGTGGTCTCGGCTGCCCTGCTGCTGCATATCTAGTTGGTGCAGGCATCGGTACTGTAGGACTAGTTGATGGTGACGTGGTTGAAGAATCGAATTTGCACCGTCAGATCCTACACTCAACTGCGAGAATCGGAATGACCAAGGTTGAGAGTGCGATGGTGGCTCTGAAATCGTGCGTCTACCCGTGAACGTTATACACTAGGGCTCCAACTAATTCATTAAGGTAGGCTCAATCCCAACGTCACATTGGTCCCTCACATATCTCGACTCAGTCCAGAGACTGCCATCTCAACCTTCAAGAAATACGATTTGGTCCTGGATTGCACAGATACACCCGCATCGCGCTATCTGATATCAGATGCCTGTGTTCTATTAGGCAAGACCCTTGTTTCGGCATCAGCGCTCCGCATCGACGGTCAGATGATGGTGTTGAATAACCCACCACTGCCGCCTGGCGACCCGAATGGAGGCCCATGTTATCGCTGCGTCTTTCCAAAACCTCCTCCACCTGAGTCTGTCGTATCATGTGGCGATGGTGGTATTCTAGGACCTGTCGTTGGCGTGATGGGCGTTTTACAAGCACTTGAAGCGATCAAGGTTCTGACCCAGAGACCTACTACGACGCCTATAGACCCACCAAGCCTGCTCCTATTTTCAGCCTATTCAAATCCTATGTACCGCTCCATACGTCTTAGGAGTCGAAAAGCCAAATGCGCTGCCTGCTCATCACATTCAACGATCACTAAAGAAGCACTAGAGTCTGGAAGTCTGGACTACGTTCAATTCTGTGGCAGTCTAGTTGCGAATAACAGTCCGTTGGCCCCAGAAGAACGCATATCTGCAAAGAACTACGCGCAAATACGATCGGGTGTCAACCCTTTTACGGGTACGGTATCAAAAAAAGACAGTCACTTCCTTGTCGACGTACGCGAGAAAGTGCAGTTCGAGTTGTGCAATATCGATGGTAGTATAAACGTACCCTTCTCCGCAATTTCAGCTACGAGAGGACCTGAATCCGCTACCGAAGAAGAGACTTGGACCAAAATGTTACGGCAGTCAGAGAAGCCTATATTTGTGGTGTGTCGACTGGGCAATGACTCACAAGTCACTGTCAAGAAGATGAAGCAGCTAGGGCTCGATGCAGGAGGCAAGAGATATATTGGGGATATCAAAGGAGGTCTAGAAGCGTGGAGAAGTACTGTTGACACTGATTTTCCGGATTACTAAACCATTACGTACTTGCGAATTTAAGTTACAGCGGCGAAAGCCACTCATTCCATCTTTACTAGATTTGTTCTCCAACCCAGCAGCTCTACGCTCACAACTTTTCCGCAATCCGCGTCCATGTGGAATACAAACGTGTCAAGTGGTTCACTTACGTAACGAGCAAAGTCCCCCAGGTTCCAGCTCATACACTCAAGCTCCGCCCACAGTTTCTTCGCAGGAACTGTCTGATCCGGTAGCATCCTCCAGTTTTCACTGTCAGTGCCTAGCGAGTCTGGATCAGTTGGGTATAAGCGTGCGCTAAAGTTTTTAGATGGAACGTTTTGTCGCTTAGCCAAGGCGTCGACAATAGAGATGTTGTTGATAGTCAATGATTCAATGGTAAGTCCTGGGCCGGAGGTGGAAGACAATATGAGTGTATTGTTTCCAATTGGTGTTGGCAGCATGTATGTGCCAGCGTATTTTGACGAGGCTTGTGATCGCGCTAGTTGATCAGCGTAGGGAATCAATGCTGTAGTGATAGTGTCGAGAAGGTCAATGGAAGTATAGGACGTCTCGCCTCCAGCAGCATTGATGGTAATACTGATATCGTACTCCGGAATCAACACCAGATAAGAGCCGTATCCTGGTACACCACCAGCTTTTGTATAGATGTCAATCGGTCGTGGAAAATCGAGTGGAAGGTCCGTGATCCGGAAGATTTCCCATGCCACACCAACGTACTGGTGCATTGAGCGTAAGAAAGTCGTTGGCTGCATCCAATTCCTCAATTCGACTTTACCAAGCAGTTCGCCGTTCTTGAGAGCATGGAGCATCTTGAGCATATCCGCCGGTGTTGACCACAGGCCACCTGTAGGGTTCAGATTCGCAAAGTCGGCGACGAACCAACTTTTGTCCTCGGGACGTCTGGGTAAGATCGCGCTTCCATCATCTTCGGGAACGATGAAAGTCGACTTTGACATACCCACAGGATCTAGGATCAACGTTTGTATAACTTCTTCGTAGCTCTGGTTGTACACTGTTTCGAGAGCTTTGCCGAGGAGTATGTAGCCGATGTTACTGTACATTGCGCGCGACCCAGGTGAATGGGGTACGTATGCTGCGTTGTTGAATTCATCTATTACTTCTTGATCTGTGCAAATTCGTCCGCCGGGAATGGGGTCGCAGCCGGGAAGTGTGTTGTTGATCTTCGGCAGGCCTAGGAGGGCAGCTGTAGCTGGGCTGAATCCAAGATCGGTTGTGTAACCCTGTTGTGATGTGTTAGCTTTCCATGTGCGAGAGGTTTTGCGAGAGGTATAGGGGAACTGACAAATCGACCAAGACCCGAAGTATGATCAGTCAATGAACTAATAGTCACATCGCCGTACCACTCCTCGTTGAGCTCAGGGATAAACTTAGTAATCGGATCATCTAAGTCAATCTTGTCTTTGCTCAACTCCAGAGCAAGCGCTGTGATCAGCTTGGTAGCACTAGCGATGCGGATCTTGGTGTCGAAAAGCGATTGGTTGACTTCTCGACCAGGAGCCGAATGCTCATACTGGAAGACTATGGTGTCTCCAATAGAAGCCTGGATTGCGAAGGAAGTGTTTTGTACTTGGACTGAAGTCGAGTTTATAAAAAGGACTTCTGGTATGCTGAAATTGGAAGTATTGGGCTCGAGTGACGGTGGTGGAAGGATTGCCCCTGGCGGTGGACATAGTGAGAGTACGGTAGGGACGAGCAAAGAGACTGCAATAGTTCTAGAACTAATCATCTTTGGCACTAGCGGAGTATGATCGAAAGTAAGAGGCAAGAGGACGAAGACAGTCTATAGCTCCTTGTTGGCGTTGGAGAAGGGATAATGAGCATTAGAGAGATACCACCACTCTCTCTTATACTATAGAGTATGAATAGTAGAAAGTTCCAACACATGCACTGCCCTCCATAAGCTATCACGCTCTTTGATCCGAGCTGACGTCGACTTTAGTTGGGATCTGCATATCGTGTCTTGGGGTCCAACGGCTCTTTACGCCCTGTGGAGATTGCGCAGTCTTTGTTGGATAGTTCAGCAGATCCATTAGGTTTCAAGTATGCTTTTCGAGTCTGGGTAACGATGGAATGATCTGATCTTGGTTGCAGTAACATAGGTTGAAGTCAAAGTCCTTGTTTTAGACCTCGAAGACGTCGTATTAACACTCACACCGCACACGATGAGGTCTAACATTGCAGCTCGCGTATCTCAAAAACGTTTACCAGGATTCTGGAGTCCAAGACTGTTCAAGCGGCTATGTGCCCTAGGGCCGGTCTTGCCACATTTGGCAACTGATGCTTGCCGTCTGATTGGCTGGCTCGTACACTCTGATACCCAACTGAACGAACGAAATGTACGAGCAAATCAGGGAAACGAGGACGCATGAGCCCCAAAATCTGATGGTAGATCTTTCGGGAAGTTCCACTAGTTGTGGAAGTCTCACATGCCGATAGCTCAGCGTAATCGTGGAGGATCACCATTCCGCGTATACTATGCTTGTTGCACATCTCTTGGCAATGCCGCAGACTGCTTTCCAGCGTCTTCGCTTAGGGCTCGCTGTGGATTGGTGATATACGAATCATTTGCTATCGCAGTTTGCAATTGTCGTTACAGAGAGGTGGTATCGTTGCTAAGCCTGAATCTATCCATGGTCCTGGGAATCATATGCCAATCCTGAAGAACATCAGCCCCGTATTTCGTGGAGAGCCACAAATGCAACGCCGTTGATATGCCCGACGCCTATAAGTCCGGTAAAAATAGTGAATAAAGAAACCCGCAAGAAACTCCACGGAACCCGTATCAAATCGCACTCGTACTAATAAAAACAAGCATCAAGGTCGCCTGCAGCATACAAGTAGGTCTAGCTACTGCCCGTACTGCTATGCATTGGCATTGATGGTGTATGCATCATGCCACTTCCAATCGGCATGCTGGTAGGACCTTGTTGTTTTTTCTTTTCTTTCTTTGCCCAGCGCACTATCACAGTCAGTATGTCACATGTTCCTGGACCAGGATTTGGCGACTCACGTCCGCACGCATTGCATAGCGTCTTGGGCCCATTTGGACCCTTGCGCCATTCAGGCGAGTCCAAGGTGCCGCAGTCTGTGCATACATATTCATCAGCAATTTTGAGTTTCTTTTTCTTGTCAGAAGAATTTCTGCCATCGCGGTCTAGCGATATCTGTATGCCAGCGTCGCCGCGTATAAGGTTCGGGCTTGCATCGCCGGTGCTGATACCCTGCGAGCGCTCGCCGTCCCTGTACCGAAGACCGGTCAACATTTCGATTGTCTCGAGATGGTTTGCGCCCTCGTACCGCATCATCTTGTCGTTGATACTGTCCGGTTTGCTTGCGGCGAGGGCTTCGTCGAGGTTCTGGCGGGTCAGGGCGGTGTTTGAGATGACGGGCTTGGCTGGCGGAGGCATCTGGGCATAGGAAGCGGCATCGGCCTGGCTCATGTTCTGCGTGACGTGTGATTCTGAAGGCGTGACGGAGGTAGCGGTGCCCTCGATCTTCTTGGCCCAGTCGTCCTGCTCGTCCTGCTCCTCTCGCTTAAGCTCGGCAATGCGCTTCATCAGGCGCTCGTTCTCGATCTTGTGCTCGAGGAAGGAGTCGAGGAGGGCGGCGTTCTTGGTCGGGTAGGGGCGGGCCATCATGAAGAAGCCGCGGCAGTTGATGGAGTTGGGCGGCGCGAACGTGTTCTGGTCGCTGCTGAGGTGCGGATGGCCGTGGGACTCGAAGATGGCCCACGAGTCATCCGTCTTGCGGAAGCGATAGAAGAAGCGCAGCGGGTTGCCCGAGGCGATGGACTCGTTGAACTCCTTGACGAAGATGCCAATGTCGTCGGGGTGGATGAACTCGTTGATGAAGCGGCCCATGACGTGCGAGGGCTCCCAGCCCGTGAGGGCTTTGCACGAGGGCGAGACGTAGAGGATCCTGCCGTCGGGAGTCAGTATGTGCAGCAGGTCGCGCAGCTCCTCGAGCACGCGCTGCGACCAGTTCCGCCGCTTGGTGAACTCGGTCAGTGTGCTGCCAGAGGGGTTCATGTTGGGGGCGCCGAAGCCGGTCGGTAGAGGCCCAGCGCCTGCGCCTGTCATTTGCATGTCGCCCATGGTGCTGCTGGCTGGTACACTGGCCGCCTGCATCTGTGGATCCGCGAAGGAGAAGCCGCCGTTCTGGCCGCCCTCGGCTCCGTCCAGAGACCCCATATCCAGATCCATCGACTGCATGCCATCGTCCATGGGCAGCCCATTAAACTCCTGGCCCTGGGCGTGCATGGGGAGTCCGGCCATCATCTACACACATGAGACTGTCGTTCAGATTTGCCGGGGATGCAGGGCTAGTCATCGTACCTCAGCACCGCCATTTTGGTATTGCGCCATGGCTTTGCAAATGCACGACCGTTTGATTTTGCATATGGAGTGGAGTCGTGTAGTGAAACCGCGGGTGATAGGCGCGGACGGCTTCCCCGAAAGTAAGATGGGATTTCTATGTTGTGTGCATGCCCATGCGCAACTTTGGCATGACGACAACACCGTTGCGCTTGCGAGCCCAATGTGCACGGCCTTTTTGCGCTTTCCCCGACACGTGACACCGCGCCACAGGCACAACGCGTGTCAGGCTGCCGCCGACTGCCTGCGCACGCAGCAGCCCACACGCTCTCTTACCAGCTCGACCGCGGGCGTGCAAGCCGCATCTCCTCACAAACCCCTCCGCACACCCACAGAGAGGCAGTGCCAGCGCCAGCAGCGTGTACCGTCATCATGTCCAAAATCGACCGCATGATGATACAGGGCATCCGCTCCTTCGGACCTGAGAAGGGCGAGACCATCCAGTTCACCGCGCCACTCACCCTCATTGTCGGCTGGAACGGCTCTGGAAAGACGACCATCATCGAGTCCCTCAAGTATGCGACTACCGGCGAGTTGCCGTCAAGCAGCAAGACTGGAGGCGCCTTCCTCCACGACCCCAGCCTGCGCAATGAGAAGGAGCTCATGGCGCAGGTCAAACTCTCTTTCCGCTCTACTTCCGGGGTGCGCATGGTCGCCACTCGCAACATGCAAGTCACTGTCAAGAAGAACGCGAGGAGCCAGAAGACCCTAGAAGGCTCACTCCTCATGATCAAAGATGGCGAGAAGCATTCCATCTCAACCCGTGTTGCCGAGCTTGACCAGATCATCCCTCAGTACCTTGGCGTGTCCAAAGCCATCCTCGAGAACGTCATCTTCTGCCACCAAGAAGACAGCTTGTGGCCCTTGAGCGACGCATCTACCCTCAAAAAGAAGTTTGACGAAATCTTCGAAGCCATGAAATACACCAAAGCTATCGACAACATCAAGAAGATTCGGAAAGACAAAAATATTGACTTGGGCCAGCTCAAAATTATCGAAGCCAATGCCAAAGAGGACAAGTCGCGCGCCAAGACGAGCGAAGAAAAGCAGGCTGGGTTGTATGATGAAATCGAGGAGCTGCGAGTTTCCTACGAAGACCTAGATGCGAAATGTACCGCGGCGAAACAGGAAGCTTCGGACGCTTACGACCACGCTGCGCGCTTCGTGCAGCTGGTTGAAGAGCTGAAAGCCAAGCGCAGCACGCTGGGCATCCATAAGCAAAATGTCACCGAGCTTCAAGACAGCATAAAGGAGCTGGCCGAGTCGGATGACGAACTTCAGGACATGCTAGATCAGTATGAAGAGCGCGTCGCCACATACTCTACCCAAGCCAAAGAGTTTCGGGGCCAATATCTCGAGCTCAAGAACGAACTTGAAGTTGACAGAGACGCTCTTGGAGCGAAGCAGAGTGAGATTGGTAAATACGAGGCGCAAAAGGAGCAGTATGAGCGTCAAATTCAGCAGCGCGAAAACTCCATCAAAGAAGCTGCTAAGCGACATGCTGTCCGAGGGTTTGACTATGACGTGACGGAGAAGCAGGTGGTAGAATTCCAACAAATCTTGAACAAAATGTCTCGCGACCAGAACAAGGTTCTTGATCGAACTCGTGAGGAGACGCAGCGCGACCTACGTGAGGCTCAAGACAACCTCAATCAGCTAAACACACGCAAGTCGGGTCTCAGCCAGAGCAAGGAGTCTGCGCGGAGCCAGATCACAAACAACGACAAGCGCATTTCCGAACTTCAGAAGGACATGAATCAAATCAAGGCCGATGAGGGTAGTGAGGCCATTCTCCAAGACAAAAAGCGTGATGTCGAAAAGCAGCTTCAGATTGCCATTGCCACAGCGAATTCTGAGCGCTTCGATCAACGTATCTCCGAAGCATCCAACGACGTACGAACACTCGAAGATCAGAAAGAGAGGCTGACGGCTGAGTTTGGTGACGCTTCAAAGCAGGCTCGCGAGTCTGCATCAGTTGATGTCAAACGAGATGAGCTGCAGAATCAGCAACACAGCTTAGCAACCATGAAAAAGGTGCACAACCAGCGCCTTTCGCAGCTAATTGACTCCGATTGGGATCCCGCTACTCTAGAGACAACATTTCAGCAGGTACTGGCTGAGAAGTCGGGCGAGGTTAAGGAGGCTGGGTCTCGCCGCGATATTGCGCAGACCAAACTGGACAAGGTCAACTTTCAGATGTCAAGTCTGGAGTCGCAGTTAAAGCAGAAGCGTGCTGAGCTCCAGAAGTACGAAGCGACCGTCAAGCAGTCTATACAGAAGGATGACGTATCTGATTTCGACGAAACCTTGGCACAGCTGGAGGAGGAATACGAGGCGAGCTCTTCAGACAAAGCCAAATTTGAGGCGCAGATCGACTACATGAGCAAATGCCTGCAGTACGCTGAGCAGCACAATGTTTGTCGTCTCTGTAAGAGAAGCCTTCATGACGATGAGGAAGAAGACTTCACGACTGCGGGTTTCATAAGCGGACTCAAGGATATCGTCGCAAAGGCGAAGAAGAACATGCAAGCAGACAACGCGGAAGAAATCTTCGCTGAACTTGAGGCAGCTCGTAATGCTAAACCCAGCTACGAACTTGCAACTCGTCTACGAGACACGGAACTTCCTGCAATTCATTCTAGCCTTACCAAGCTGACTGCTGAACGCGACGTTCTCAACAAGCAGCTCGAGGATCAGGATGCTGTCATCTATGATCTGGAAGTTGCGAAGCAGGAGGTCGAATCTTTATCAAAAGAAGTGCAGACCATTGTGGGGTACTATAGCAGGGCGCAGGAACTCGAGGCGGAAATCAAAGAGTTGGCACAGAAGCAGAAGGCTGCCGGACTTTCGCGAGGCATCGATGCTATTCAGGCCGATCTGAAGCGAGTGTCTGAAGACAGTCGGAACGCTAGGACGACGCTCGAGCAACTCACTGCTGCTAGAGATAAGTCGCGCAACCTCATTACAACTCTAGAGCTGAGCGTGCGTGACGTCAACGCCGACTTGAACAGCGCACAATCAAAATTAAAAGAGAAGAGGGCTCTTGCTGATCGAGTGGAGGATTTCAAGAAGGAGAACAACAAGCAGCGAGAGGCCATACGCAGCTTCGACGAGCAGATCAGCAGCATTGATCCTGAGATTGAGCAAGCGCAGTATAAGTACGACGACATCAATCGCAGGGGTAACGATCGCGTTCAGCGTGCCCATGACGAAGCCTCTAGATTGTCCGACAGTGTGCGTCAACTTAACCAGGCAAACGAAGAAATCGATTCGTACGTCAATCGTGGCGGGCCACAACAGCTTGCGCGCACTCACCGAGAAATTGAGAATCTACAGGGCGAGATCGCACGCATCGAGACCGACATGTCTGATGCGACTCGTAAAATCAAAAAGCTTGAAGATACTATGCGTGACACCGAGGCGAACAAGCGCTCGATTAGCGACAACTTGCGCTACCGAAAAGCCAAGCGCTCACTTGACAGCTTGGAAGTCGAAATCAGGAAACTTGAAGAGCTAGGAGCTGAGCGTGACAAGGAACACTTCGAAAACCAAGCTCGATACTGGGACAACGAATATAGACAACTGAGTATTGCCAAGACAGGCGTAGAGCGCGACATGAAGAACAAAGACGACCATCTGCAAGACCTTATGAAAGAGTGGCAAGATCTCTACAAGAACTCTGCTGAGCAATATCGCGAGGCGCATATCAAGGTCGAGACGACTAAGGCTGCTATCGAAGACTTGGGACGCTACGCTGGCGCTCTCGACAAAGCTATCATGAAGTATCATACACTCAAGATGGAGGAGATTAACCGCATCCTAGCTGAACTTTGGCGCAACGCGTATCAAGGCACTGATGTGGACACGATTCGCATCGCATCTGACGGCGATGGTAAAGGTAACCGGACATACAACTATCGCGTTGTGATGGTGAAGCAAGACACTGAGATGGACATGCGAGGTCGATGTTCCGCTGGCCAGAAGGTTCTTGCTTCCATCGTGATCCGTCTCGCACTTGCAGAGTGTTTCGGCACAAATTGCGGTCTCATCGCGCTCGACGAACCCACTACAAACCTAGATCAGCAGAATATCAAGGGCCTCGCCGAATCCTTGTCCCAGATCATCCAGAGCCGCAGGAAGCAGGCAAATTTCCAGCTACTAGTCATTACCCACGACGAGCAGTTCCTGCGCGAGATGAACTGTGCCGATTACACAGACTCGTATTGGCGCGTTGGTAGAGACGTGAGGCAGGAGAGTTATATCGAGCGCCAGAATATTGCTGAGGTAACTGCTCTCCAACGCCCATTGATGCTGTCAACGAGTAGACACACCCTCCTCAATAGGGTTCCCTTTGAACAATGAGCCGGACAGGTTCTAACATTTGACAGGTTTCTTGATCCCACTATCCACTTTTGCAATTTTTATTCACTGTAATGAGTAGCGCAAGGTAGATTTCACGCATTATAGGAGTTGTAATGGGCGTCATAGCGACGGAGTTAGCACCACACCTACCAATACCCAGTTTTCACTTCAACTATCGGGTATAATGTTTTCAAAACGATTGCATGTATCATCTCAAAACATCTGTCACTACCAACACCGACACAGCAGTGTTTGGCAAATGAGCTCGTGTTTTCTAGGTAATGTCTCCAGAGTGTGCTTCAGTATTCGTGTACAACACAGAAAAAAAAGCACATCTTCATACCTTGCTAGGCCACAGCACTAGCTACAGTCATATTTTTATCACTCATGAGCCCGTGACCCGCGATGTGTATCACTTCAAGACAAAGAAGGAAACAACGTCGTCGCTGTGGTGATCGTTACAGCTCCCATCCTAGTCTTCTAATCCCCACCCAATCACATTTTGCTCATTTGATACAAGAGCTCTACCTTGGTCATCAGCTGAAAACATTGAGTCAATATTGGACTACACAGCCACGCGGCTGGGATTACTGCGGAAAGGTGGTGGACATCGATGGCATGTACGAGGGGTGATGGGGCGGCGTCAGCAGTGATTTGGGTCGCTTCAGGGGTAACGGAATAGAGACGGGAATTGATATCGTTGACGATGGTGGAAAAGGAATAAATATATAGGATCAGAGGATGAGTGGTGATAGCCGCATTAGAAGGGCATAAGACAAGTTTTGGTTATTCGACTGTGTATTCCAAGTTTAACCATTCTAATTGATCATTGAAGGTTTACAAATAGCCCTCCGTCGACCAGCAATTGTGCACCATTGACATAGCTGCTCAAATCACTTCCTAGGAAGATTGCTGGCCCAGCAAGATCACTCGGTATGCCAGTCCTGCCCAACGGTATCCTGCCTTCCATGTACTTCCGCTTCTCTTCGTCCTCGAGATCCTTCTCGTTCAGCTGTGTCTTTATTGTACCCGGTAGCAGCGCGTTGCATCTGATGTTGTGTTTCCCAAGTGCGCATGCGGAAGATTGGATCAGGGAGAGCACACCAGCCTTTGTAGGTGTGTAGTGGCCCTGGTATGCGCCGCCAACAAGCGCGCTGATGGAGGAGATACCGATGATGGAGCCACCCGGGGGTGATTGGGTAGACATTTGCTTCGCGCCGGCTTGGATGGTGTGGAATGCGCCGGTGAGGTTTGTCGTGAGGGTTGAGTTCCAGAGATCTGGTGTGATTCTACAGATTGGTGTTAATTTCTTACATGTCTACCATGACCATGCGGATGCTGAACGAGGTACTTACTCTAAGAACTCCTTGAACTCGCAAATACCCGCATTGCTTATCACCACATCCAATCGTCCCCATCTTTGCACCACAGCCTCTACCAACTTCTTGCCTGTCTCTGGATTTCCTACATCGCCGGGCACTTGTAACAGTCTCTTCTCTACATCTTCTTTGCTATCTTGTAAGTTCTCAGCTGCCTCGTCGACGAGGGTCTGGTACTGTGTTGCGGATTTGTCGTCGCCAAAGTGGTTCACTGCCACGTTTGCGCCATGCTGGAGATATCCCAGAACTATTGCGCGGCCAATTCCGGTGACACCGCCAGTGATGATCATGGACTTTCCGGACAGCAGCTGAGGGGTTTGCGCGGCCGGCGGCGTCCACAGACTGTTCTTGCGTTGGTGAGACATGGTCTTTGTAGCTATCGAGTGCGGGGCGTGGGGTACGGTAGACGGTATACAGCGCAGTACAAGGGGCTCAGGGTGGTCTAATCAGAGCTTCATGGGCGTTGTTCGGACAAGAGGAAATAAATTGTCCAAGACCACTGTCCGCCCAGGGAGAAGCCATGATATACATGCCGCTATGCGCAATCTGGTTCGGTAGGTGCGATGTATACGTGAGACGCTTGCCGTCTTCGGGCCACGTGCTCGGTGCATTCCCAGCCGAGGCCGAAGATCTTGGCGGTCGTGTCGCGTTCCAGTTGAACCATTTGCGCAATTCACGCAAGGCGCAGTCTACTGTTGCGATTCAACGCCACGTCAAGAATGGTCTACTCTTGGGACGATAAAGAAGCAGTATGCTACCAGCTCTATGTTGAGGAGCGGAGGAGCTTAGAAGAGGTCATGTCGTATTGGGAAATCCGGGGATTTACTCCAAGGTATGCAAGTATTGCGCGCGGCACCACGTACAGGCTGCCGTACGCCTTCGCCGTCATCTCTCAATCCTAGCGTGCAAACATGTCCAGAACGCATGATACTTACTGTGTCGCCCTAGCAAGCGCGCCTTTCAGACACAGTTCAAGGCAAGTCACCATCACACCCTTCTCATCACCCACTACAAGGCCTCCGCTGACACCGTCACAGCGATGGGACTTCCCCTCGAAACAGAACCCGGCATACAAAAACCCCGCCCTCGTTGCGCGCCTCCAGCAACTATGGGAGCAGAACTACACACAGAAGGACATGGTCGATACGCTACAGACTGAAGGTTATCAGATCAACGACCGCGAACTGCTGCGCTTGCGACTAAGGCTCAAGCTCCTACTCCGAGAAAGTGTCGCCAGACCAAAGAAGCAAAAGACTGCTGGAGGAAGGACACAGAAGAAGCCGAAGAAGAAACCTGCCAAGCCTGTGCCAGGCAATGGTCTAATCAACCAGCTTGGGAATGCAATCTTGGCCGAGGAATCGACGAGCGATGACGGAAGCGAAGACGAGTCCGGGGCTGCTCAACAAAGAGATGAAGAGGAAGAGGGTGGGGCATATGTGGACGAGGCTCGGCCTATACTCCCTGAGCCCGACGTCACAGGTTTGAGCGCTGAAGAGGTGGTCCGAAAGCAACTGCGCCAACAACAGCTTCAAGCCGAGAGCGACGAGAAATGGCGTACACGGAAGCGAAGACGTCGAACACGAGGCTGGGCTGGATTGCCAGCCGACGCTCCCGGCGAACCTCCGCGATTCCCTTCTGAAACTACCATCGACGAAGCCAAAGCCTACCTCGGTTTGGACAACGACAAATACCGCCAAGTCAGAGAGTGCTTCCTTCAAATGTGCAAAGAGCAAGACGTTACCAAGAAGACAATCGCCGGTCCGGAGAAGTGGTCGCAGCTTGTACAGCACCTGATTCAAAGTGATAAACACTTGGCCGAGGTGTTCCAACAAGAGCCAGAAGTGCTACAAAATGACGATGCGCTCTTCCGTCCGAGAGGCCAGAGAGCGCTGTCACTTGATGTCATCTGCATGGACGTCACAAAACGCTTACGAACAATGGATGCACGCATGACTCTCGCCGACGCGAAGAACCTCCTTGGTCTCAATCCTCAACAGACAAGACACACGCGCAACATGTTTGCCAACAGGTTGAAATCGGCTCATTTTACAAACAAGCACGAAGCTGGCGAGGAACGTTGGACAGAGTTGAAGCAAGCTTGGGTCAATGAGTCTGAGAAGCTTACAACAGCACTCGCACAAGGAGAAGAGGATCCTGACTATGCGCGGAAGCTACGCGCTCTCGAGGTGCTCGCTCGAGATGTAATGAAGCGACAACAGCAGGAGAAGACAGCCAAAGACCCCAGCAAGAAGAAACAGGTACACCAAGGACCGGGGCCTGGGCCAGCACCGCCTGTCGTCGCTCCACACCCGACAATACTAGGCGGTAAGGGGAGACAGCACAGTAGTGTTGGTCGGAAGGAAGCAACGCGTGCCTCATATACTGCCGTGTCCTCTCTACCGACTACTTCAGACCTACAGATTGACCCATCTCTCTTGTTAGCCGCGAGTGACGCCGCTATACTTCCTGTTCCTGATCACACGCCTCGGTACCACTACCAGCCCGGTCAGTACCAACCAGCCACCCAGCATCAGCAGCATAGTTCACACAACCACTACCCGGAAGAATACTACCCAGCCGCCTCGAACACGTCTATACCGCTACCAGTGTATTTTCGCTTGCATCCACACTCCTCGACTCCCTTCCCTAACAAATCAGTCTGGCTTTCCATCATCCAGACGCCCTCGGTCGTCGAACTACGGAATCTAGCAATGCACGAGCACCCGGGTACTACGGTACATAAACTTGAGGGACTGATTCCATACCGAGGTGATCGGGCGGATCGCGAAGTTGCGGTTGAAGTTACAGACGATGGAGAGCTGAGTGCATATTTGGGACACATCAAACGAGGCGACGGAGGAGCTGCTCAAGGGAAAGCAACCTTTATTGTGCTGTTAGGACCTAGTGCGGAAGGGGAGTATGCATGATTGTTCTGAAAATACAGTTCCGTTGCTTATTAAAACTTTGTGATTTGATATTGTTAGAATACAAGTGTCTAGTCCTACTACGTATGGAATATCCTTCAAGTCTTTTCTGCAGATCAAAACATGTAACTTGATGTTGAATGTGACTTTATCTTAATCGATTCGATCGGTACATGTGCACAAGGACTTCATGCATTCATGTTTTCGTCACTAGAATCCATTTAGGAGCCGCTTACATAGGCTTCTTCACAATGCTACGCCATATGCTTCTTCCCCAGCCTCTCTCCAGACCTTCTGCTTCTCCTCTTCTACGTATCCCTTCCTATCCATCCACGTCTTCACTACCTCTCTCCAGAGCTTCCAACTTCCCTGCTCGCCTGCTGGCCCACCCACATTGCACACCGGCCAGTCGCTTCCGAACATGACTCTTCCTGGGAAACACTGGAAGATGTGATTTAGGAAAGGCGTAAGGGCAGTCAAGAGCGTTGGTACATCTGATGGCGTCGGCGAAACAGTGAACTCATTGAAAGCGCCGGACAGTTTCATGAAGATGGCCTTATCCGAGGAGAGAGACGTCATGGTTTGGAGCCAGACGTCGGACGGGGGTGTAGGGTCGGGTGACAGAGGGGGTTTGGCGAGGTGATCTGGGTTGGTGTCTGAGTTAGCTAAACCACATCATATAACAAGGCAGTTCACGAATAACGATGTCGGAGTAGTCAAAAGTGCAAGAGGAGGGTATGAACTTACTCAGCACGAACTTCACGCGATTCTCATGCCCCTCCTTCTCCTCGTACTGCCTTAGTCCTGCAATCAACTTACCAACCGCCTTCATCGGTTCCTCTCCATCCCTATGTGTATCAACACCCACATCAAAGCACCACGCCTCACAACCTCCTTCTAATCTTTTCAGCGCGCAAAGGTTCTGGATCCAACTCTCCTCGCTCTCTTGTAACATCTTCGCAACAACACCGTCTCCTTTCCCTTGCAACAAGTACCTAAAGCCCTTAACATACTGCCACAGCTTCGGTCCGGCCACTTCCCTTGCAACATCAAGATAAGCCTTGAAAACGCGCGGAGCGCAATGAAATGGAGCGTAGATCACACATCCCTTCATCTTCTTTGCCTCACTCTCTACAAACCCATCGCCCTCCTCTGGCTTTCCCTCCACGATTCGTGCCAGAAAACGGAGCTCCTCCAAGGGCTCCTTCGCCCACGTCCGCAGCTTGGCTTTTACATCTTCGTCGTTGTCTGATTCGTTAATGCTTGGAGGTTCCGCGGAAGGAAGATACCGATCGGTTTCTACGTAGATGAAACCGGAAGGTTGGGGGGACGTGATGGTGAGGTAGTCAGATATGCCGTGTCTCTTAGCGAGGTGGTGGCCTGGTGACATCCAGCCATGATTTGAAGATGAGGTGGCTGTTGAAGGCCATAGATGGATGTGTGTGTCTAAGACCCCTGAGGATGACATCGCGGATTATTGGCTGGATGTGCGGGCCGTGGGGCGCGGAGATGGGTAAGTAAAGCTTGTGGTGATATGGCAAACTTGAGAAATCGATAACTGCTTGGTATGAAGACCCTTTCGTGGTTTGTCATGCCTAGAGCATGAGAACTATGTTTGTTGGTCGGCTTGATGCGGGGATGTCGATACTTCGGTTGGCGGGGTAAGAGACTCCGAATAGTGTATATTATTGTATTCACTTTTGTATCGTGCAGAGCACAATTGATTCACAGTCAATTTCTTGCTATCTGTGGAGAATTCTCGCCAGTAAAAAAACGGTGACTTGTTTTTGACTCAACAAGATAGTGTTGGCATGTTGGCCCCAGGGCAATATCAGTGATGGACGCAAGGTGTAGATGAGCAATGTGCTTTCACGTAACCTAACAATATTAGAGCTACATAGAGACAACATGAGTTTCGAGCATGAGAAACTATAGAGTGAATCCGGATGGACCGAAGTAACATTCCGGCTTGGCTATCCTCTACCACGGTGTTACCAGTGGTAGTCGAGGCCATGTACAATGTATCGTCGATGACAGGCCTCGGCTAGTTGAACCCGAGACACACAGGTGGCTGCACGTCATGCACAAGGACACTTTAAGTCCATGACCCTTTGTTCTAGACACATGCGAGTTGTGCAGCTTGGCATCACAGTGGGAGCGCAGTACCTACTACATAGGACAGAACCCACATACTCTCACCAACGCGCTCCACGGAGGTAATGTACTGCAATTAGGCGTCCCCTGCACGCAGGATGCCGACTCTGAGGTGATTCCGAAAGGCAGCTCGTTTCGATTGCGCAGTGATAGGCGCTTAGTCGTCCCGCGCTTCCCAGCCACAAAGACAGGTGTCAAACTCAATGCCTATGAAGCCGACGGCAAATGTGGGGTAGCAGTTAGGCAGAGGGTACGGATATACTTTCGCTTGGAAGGCGAGAGCGGGCGGCATTGACCCTGGTGCTTTGCCCTTGACTGCGTGGAAAGCAGAGTAATTCCCGTGATTGTTTGGAAGCGAAGGAGGGGTAAGCGGAGCAAAGAGGGCCGGAGAAGCACCGATAGTACAGCGCGCAGCTCAACAAACAATTTTCAGAAGTCGTGCATATGTGAGGCTCTGCAATGTCCCTGTATTTTGATGGAGCTTGACATGTGACTGGGGATCCTGTTTTCTGCATCTGCCGAAGTTCTTGTATCGGCAGCTCGCATCATGCGCGAATTAGATGTATGGCCGAGCTGTCAAACTGTGACAGTGTGGTGGCTGAGCGTCTCCAGTCCGATTGACCTCAGCTTTTAGTGAACTCCACCAATGTCAGCAGGACCCTCTCTGTATTTGCAAAAGAGAGGGTCTCCGGATGGACCATTGCTGTTGGGTCTCTAACATCACCTCAGCGCTTACCACTTCAGTGCATTATGGCACAATTCTGCTGGGCACTAGTTGTTATTGTACCCACACCCGTTTGCCCATCATCCGCCAGTATCTATCAGCGAGTGGGCCTAGTATCGGAGTAGTCTTTTCAAAATACGATGGGAATGTCTGGCGGCGTCGTCCCGCGATGTATGACGTTAAGTGTTACCAGCTGACTCGCGCGGCGCCGAACGCCTAAAATCATGATCAAGGACCGAGAGGTCGTCCGGCTGTTTTGATCTTGAGTGCGAGAAGAGGGTGGGGTGAAAAGTCTGGATGCAGCGAAAGTAGCCGCGAATGTGGAGAAGACAGGCAAGACCCTTGATGTTTTTTTTCCGCCGAGTCAGCGATGGCTCAGTTGGGATGCACGTCATTTTAGCGCATTTGTAGCCGTGGAGTAGAGGTACGTGTTGCGGCTCGCTCGGTTCAAATGACCGACCATTAGTGAGCGAGCAATTGACGATTTGCTTTCGTGGCTGATAATATCAAGATGCACCTTTGAATGGGATATGGCTTTGGTTGTTTGAGGCTGACTTGTAGCTGCAGGGTCTTGCCATGACAGAAAGTCTTGCCTCTTAGTGTAGGCTGATGACAATGATCATGTGAGGACATTGTACGACGTCGTCATCTAAGATCGACGAACCATGGAAAAAGTAACGCTTGCTCCGGGGTCCGTAGTGGGCAAGGCTTGATCGGATCTATTCTACAAGAGTCGCGCCGAGCCTAAGAATGGCTAGTAAGGGTTCCTAAAAGGCCACCTATACCTGCGGTATTAATCGACGCGCAAGCCAGTGGAGTTCATGGCCGTACGTCAAAACGATGACGATAACATATATGGCATCTTCCCCACAATTCGACGTTGCAACGTTCCTGGATACTTAGAGATTTCGTGACTGACTGGTCAGATCGTATCTGAGCACGTGACCCCTGCACCGAGACGAAGGCCTTCCCAGTAGATAAATCCGAGGCTGTACCGTGACGAACAACATACGGGCATAACTGCACCACCAATGCAAAGGGTCCTGACTCAGAATGATTTGCAGCTCGTGCTTGCCGCTGGATCTCGGTTCACGACCGGCACGGCGCGACGCTACCTCGGATGCGCCTAACTTCAGGGCTTATCCCTTAGGGACAGGTTGTGGTCGAAAGGTGGCAATTAAGATACTTCAATCAAGCAGTCCAGGTGCAGTAGCAGAAGGGATTGCGGATGTCGAGTGAGCTGCATGCGTATGTTGAACTTGAAAGTTGCTGTCAGTTGCGGAGTCGCGGGACTGTCGAGCTTTGCCCTTGACGGCTCCAGCCTTTGTGTCAGACAAACATGACACGATCATGAGCAGATCCAAAGCTTGCATGATCAGTAGCTTCATATAACCTACGGAGCAGATCTGGGCCTTTTGGAACTTAGGCTAGATGTCCGATGTCGTCAGAGGGTCAGCATCTGTAGGGGCTAAGGAAGTCGATGGGACTCCGCAAGTACACAGTCTTTGCTGTCGCAGTATTAGCCAACATGACATTAGCGCAATCCGCCCTGGCAAGAGTGAAGTGGGTATTGTAAGCATTGCATGACGGCCCATGCCCTCTTTCTTGAACGTGTACGAGTAATTTGGAGCTTCGCGCATAAGGTCCCTGGAGCAAGATAACTGGATAAATGTGAAAGGCATGTGAATGTTTTTGCATGCTTATGTTTGTCCCGACAGCGTGTCTCGCGCGTGAAGCGAGATGTGCAGAGTTTTCGCCTTCGACCCAGCTGCTTGGACAACGTCTCGGATGCTGACAAGCAAGATCGAGCGAAAGACAATTGTCCAGACATGCAAGGTGATTGCGCTGCAGTCGTTAGGTATCCCGACCCATGTTGTATTACATGGAGATGCAAGTATGTTACGCCATCTTGCAATTGTGTATATTAAGCAGTCATGTCATCTCGATTGGAGATGGTCATCACCAGCTCGGCTAGTGTGTGGCGCTCGCCCAGTCTGCACCTGAGCATTTGAAGTACTTTTGATCAGCCAGGCACCAATAACAATGTTCCACCCGGTACTAGTAAATGCTCTGGGGCACGGCACGCGAGTGTCGAACTGCAAGTCGGTGCCTAACTGGTCTACAGCGTGTTGCATCGGGGATGCGGCACAGGGACTTGTAGCAGCTTGGTTATGGAGTCTCAATGTACATGTGTGCTGTTCGATGCTTGCTGTCCCATCTGTTGTGAATGCTGCGTGCGCAGTGGTGGGCAGCTATGACGAGAGGTGGAGAAATGGGTCAGGCGTCGCGCCGCGGACAGCGCCAGCCTAGCGCAGGTGCTTGGCTCTGGACACACAGGCCTGCGGGAGCGGGATGACCAGCATAAGGTTTGAGCAAAGGGTCTCTTCCGTACGATTTGCTGGCTCGCTAGAAGACCAGGGCTCATGCATCTGTCGTCCGTCATCGTCCCTGTTTACAAGACGTAGAATTTTTGTCGTGGGCAGTGAGGAAAATTGCCGCGACGCACGATGATGTTTGATGAGGGCCAGCGATGCAAGTGTGCATGAGAAGTTCGGCGCCGGCATGGTTTCCCTTGAAGCTTCAGCTAGGACGTGCAGCATGCAGGCCCGCTTGAGTGGGCGTCTTCGTTGGTGGGAAGACCTTTGGACGCCATCGACTTTTCAGCGCCATCGGGTCATGATAGGAGAGTGGAATGTCCTAGAGCGTCGTTAACCCTCGAAAGCTTACTGCAGCCGATGTTGAACGGAGTACACGGCCGCAGTAGAAGAAAGGAGCGACTGGTGTGAAAAAGCGCCAGCTGCGAGAGTGACATTGCCCAAAAGCCATGGATTAAACGATTCTGCGGGCCATGGCCGAAAGCGGAGATACGAGGTTGTTCCGAGACTTGGGGAGTGGGTTCATCAATTCCTTATCCCGTAAACCGAGGGGTACCCAGGTACATGCTCTTCGCACCTGCCGTCTTGGAGTGGTTCGTCGGGAGTATTGCCTGCCTGTATTCTTCGTAGTGCGTCTGTCTCAGATAACGTGCCGCTATTTGTCTCGACGCGGCCCAGACTCCCACATCTTTACCCTAAACGATGAAGCAGGCGATGTCCTCGATGCGGGTGATGGTTCGCGCTACTTGGAGACCGTGCAGCGCGGGTAGGACGCCTAAGACGACTGACCAGGGGGGTCGTGTGTTGCTCGGGAAACAGGATGTGATGTTGGGATGGAGTTTTTGTGCCGCGGTTGCACAAATGTCAAACGTGTTCCCAAAGCAGTCGCGTGCGACACGAGCGTGTAGAGAAGGCACTGTTTCAACGGTCATCATCATTGTCATTTGCTGTGACTTTTGCATAAACTACATGGTTGGGTATTCACCAACATCGCGCATGGGAAGACGCTGCAAACTCGTCCATATCCGTAAAACTCCTTGAACACCTTGCATCCGGCCGGGCCCATTTTGGTATCCGAGAGCTGCCACGCTCAATAGTATGAAACAACATAGCGTTGCTCTACCTTCCGTGTACTGGTAGATGCAATGCTTCAAACTCAGATGCGTCTAACATTACTGCATCAAAAACTGCAGCCGAGGCCTGGAATGCCGACTAAAAATGGAAATCGTCGTCTAGTTCATCATCGGAAAACCGGCGCCTCGCTCGCGAAGCACGCGTCCGCCTGGCGGCGGCGTCAGGGGAGGGGTAATGGTGGCCATGGGTGGGATAGGCAACATTCTGATGTTGTCGTCGGCATCTGCACCCTCGCGAGTACCCCATGTGGTCTGTTGGCCAGCTGTTAGCTATGTGGAAGGGAACGCGATGGTGCGTGAATCACGACATACCTCTGTCACGGTGATGCAGCCGTAGAGCTTGATGAGATTGTGGAAATAACCGAAAAGAATCGAGACCGGGACGAAGCGGACGTCGCCCGGGTTTCTTAACAAATGGGGAATTAGCTTGATCGTCTTCGCGAAGACCCAGTGCGCAATGAACAGGGCCCAGAAAAGCGAGCGCTGCCACTTGTCCGCGTGAGCTTGCTTGTCATCCTCTGCTGCGTAGTATCCTGCCTCCAGCAGCGCCAGGTAGACTGAGACGAACAGGGCGCAATCAAGGAGGAAGGCCCATTGCGTAAGCGTTGTCTGGAAGACGGCGTAGAGGGACCATGGGTAGTTCTATGGCGCAAGGATTAGCAAAGGTAGTACGAATCGGCGCAGGCAAAAGAGGGGCTGGCTTGGCGTCCAACAACGCGAAATCTGTGCAAATATTGGAACTAGCGGCACTCACCATCCACATGTAACCCTCTGTCAAGCTAGTCAGGTTGCTCCTCCAATTGGAGCGGACCCAACGCAGACATTGACGCAGATACTTCGAGTCGTCCTCGAGTGTTGTCTCGACCTCGCACTCGCGGTGGTTTTGCATCTGGATCTTCCAGTTGTGTGAAAACAACCAGCGCGTGATGAAGTTGTCGTCATCGGCATTCAAGAAATGATCGCTGCCCCATGTCTCATGTGTGAAGCCGTAGGTAAAATTGGGGTCTTGTAGGATCTCGGAACGATAGGCAACCGCGCGTCCAGACAAGCATGGTAGGCCACCGTCTATCCAGTTGCAAGCTGTACAGTCAAAGTTCCTCCTGACCAGGTAGATGGCACCCAAGAACTCCCAGATGTTGGAGCGGTTGAAGCGGCGGATCTGCTGGTTGGTACCAACACCTCCAACACGTGGATCCTCAAAGGGGGCAAGAATCCATTTGGTAAACTTCTCGGGTAACCACACGTCGTCGTCAAGGAGGAGGGTAATCTTGGTCTCGACTTCGGGGATGGCTCGGCATAGCTGTCGACGCTTGTTGGCCTGACTGACTGATAGGACTTGGATGATCTTGGGGCTGCCCAGCTCTTCCACCATCTGATACACACGCTTCACTCGCGAGTCGGGTGTGACGAGGAGAAGTTCCAATGGCTCGAGACGGTATGCGCTTTGGACCGTCTCTTTCAACTGCTGAAGGTTTTCGGCAACTGTCGGGATGATGACAGTCATGTCCTTGGATGTGATGGTCGGGTCATCGACTGGCTGGATGGGCGTGTAGGTCCAGTTGCTCGCCAGGTTAACCCATAGTCTGACATATCGAAACAAACTGTGGTAGCGAGTCAGTGTCGTCCAAAGTGCGGGGAAGGCCATTCATGGCAGCCGTGGTTGACATACAAGAGCGCCAAAAAGATACAGAACCAACTCCAATTGGGGAACAAGCCTAATGGAAAGGAGAACATGGTAACGGCCAACGAGTGTGGTAGTGCGAAACGTGAACTACGACGGTGGACGGTAAACGAAGATCACATCGAATGGTGGGAGTGAAAAGCCGCTTGCATCGGGGAAGCAGCGGAAGTGACAGGTATTTAAACAGATGCTTGCGAGCGGGCTAGGGCGGCGAGGACATGTTTCGCTTCCCGGCGCTGTTTAAGCTGCATGAGATTCCCTTAGCAGACTTTGGGGTAGTGTGAACATGGCTGGAGCATGAGGTAGTTGCGAAATTCCAGTAGCGACCAGGGTGTGTACGAGTCGGGAATAGCGAATGCGCCCACTGAGCTCGAGCGTCATGCTTGGATCCCGCCAGCCGTTGAATCGCTCGCATATCCCTAGGCACCTTAGGTGCAGCGCTTCAAGGATCGACTTGCATCGTGGTGCATTGCTGACAAGGGCCCTCACTGTAACCGCCCCGCGGTCGCTCCGGTCTTGTTGCCGTTGGGGCACGAGACAGCACGCCTCCCCACTGCTCTCACCTCATCGCGCCATCCACTACCACTAATCTTGACATGGCTGTGCCATCGCCCACTGGTCCTCCTGACGCCGCCAGCGCTGCGATACGGAGCCGACGCGCGGGCTACGAACGATGCGGCTGATGATCGATGGGTCCTGGTCACTATGTGACCCCGCTTGGCGCCAGACCATCCTGAGGGCAATGGCTCTAGGCCTGAATTGCCCACTCTCTGCTCTCAGAGTCCCATGCACTAGCCGCTGCAAGCGGATTTTACCAAGCGTGGCGCAATAGCGACGATAGGCGCTTCCTTACCTTTTGGCGGCAGGGCTGGCGTCTTCATCCTCCGTTCGTACATGCTTCCGGCACGGCTAATTAGTTATTACCACTCATCCACAATCTCTCTGCTACAGCAGCCTTCGTTGTTGTTTCGCTGCCGCTGGCCAACGGGAAAAATTCCGGGGCTGCTCGATTGATTAACTCGATTGCCCGTTTGCTGCAACCGAGCCACCTGCCACAGCGCCGGCTTGCTACGGTCAGCCGCTGCGAGAATTATGTTACCATGTGCTTCGCCGGTCCGCATTGTAGGCGTGCTCCGTTCGTCCAAGCACTAGTAGCCTGTATTGGTCGTACGTTGACCGATGGCCTTCTCGTCGGAGACATTACCCTATACAGCAGCCAGTCGCCTGGACCTTACTGCTACGTTGCCTCAGCTTGACTGTAATTATCGTCTCAGTCCCGCTCGACCACAGTATTGGAAAGGTACCTGCACCGGACGAAGAGATACAAGGTCCGGGTACGCCTGCCTCAAACTCCAAGGTTGTGTAGGACGCTGCAGAGACGGGGTTTATACCATGCTCATGCAGATCCAAACGTCGGGCCGCGGGAAGACATACGCGCATCCAATTACCTTGTTGTCAACCATGTAAAAGGCTTGCTTGTGCATGCTGCATGTAATTTACAAAGGTGGGTGGGCGTGATCGAGCGAAAGATGGGTCATGGCTGCTGGCGCTTCCCTGCATGAAGCCTTACCTTTCGGTCTTGTCAATGTCTACATCCGGCTTCCAACAGAGCAGATGTGGAATATCTATCTTGGATCAGCGATGCTGTATGGTAATATATCACCTTGTCCAACCCACACACTAGGCTAGCTGTCATCAAGGTGGGACAAAGTCGTAATCTCGACCGGTGATCATGCCCGAACCTCAAGTATGGCAAACACCAATTCTCATGGGTACAAAATGACAGCTGTCAGGACACTTGCGGATATTGCGTCATCAACCACAGGCTCGGGCAAAGCTGATCCTCCGCATAGTGCGGATCGCTTGCCGCTTCCTCGCGAAAGCCAGAGCCGTACACGAATGTTAACACTTTTACGCGCCTGCGCCACAGACGAGACAGGGTCTGGCGCTGTGGAGGCTCAAGCACAGTTGTGTACTGCTATTTGTACTATTGTTGTCGGCATTTCTTGGCATCCAGGGGGTCTTCCCACGATGAGTGAGTTCGAGATGAAATACTCGACTTCTAGAAATCAATCACATAACGCCCAATAAATGATGCTGTCAACGAGAAGGACAATAGGCATATGCATAGACCAATTCAAGTATATCCTATCCTTGGTTCGGTTGATTTATCAAATAGAAAGCGCTCAACTTCTGAAGGGTAGCTGTCCAACTCCAATTATACATTCCTGATAGTTTCAAGGAGATCTTTACACATTCAATCGCTCCATCAAGCCGCCACACGTGTCTGCTCCAATGCAACAAAGGACGGTTGACTATGATCAGACAAAGTAAACGATACTATTTACCAAGTCTGCTATTCAGATGAAAAATGGATGGGGGACGTTGATGTTCCAAACGCGAACTGGCGCATTTTCCTTCAACAATAGTCCTCATAAGGTCTAAAATCGTATGACACCGCGAGTCTGCCTTGACAAGAAAGACTTACCGCGATTTCCCTCCGCATGATTCCTAAGCGGTCATGTCGCTTTCGGGAAGAGCGTTCTGTAAGTAACCGGAAGCTGAGCAAGGCTGAGGATGGTTTTGATGCTTCGCACTACTCGGGAGCTTGGGACAATAGCTAGGGCGTGCAACCTTCTCGCCCAAAGATGTGCCAGATGACTTGGATAGTGGCACTATAAATCTTTGTATCGTTGCAAACCCTCAGCACAGAAGCCGTATGGTCTCAACGCAAGGTGTCCAAATGACCTTTTGGTACACCGATTTGGCTCTTGCCCAGCTTGCCATGTGAGCTCTGTAAACGGGGATGACCCTGAGGGAAATCTCGGTGTTTCCAACTCTTCGTGATATCATGGAGTTAATACGATTATCGGTTTCCAACGGCGCTGTTGCTGGCCGGGGGCTTTGCCGCAGGTCCCTTGGGGTTCACTCCGGTCATTCCTATAGTACATCTATGAGCGGCAACACTTGCAGCATTCAGTCGATGGATAGAACGTCTTGTATCCTCAGGCATTTCAAGTATTTTTTGGGGGGTAGTACTATTGCCTCCGAGTACCGAAAGTGGAACTCCTAAGACAAGGAAACTGTCCGGAAAGGAGGCACAATAGTGCTTGTTTCTGTGTGCTTTGAGGCTCGGCTAGGAAGAAACACGTAATGGTGCGATTTGGCAAGACTGTAAGGCGAAAGAAGTGGGTTGGTTACGGATGACGACGGGTCAAGTGGTGGTGGTTGCTGGCCTGGTGAGCTACAACAGCTTGGGATCGACTGAAGGACTAGCGCCGATCAGTGTGCACCTGCGCACCTAGGTGCCCTATCGTACTCGCCAACAAACGATCCACACCCTCATGCACTCAGCGACGCGTTCAGTCAAGCGTAGAGATATATGCTAAACATAACAATGTATCTAATCCCGCTACTGTCTCTCGTACGATGTCTGGCTGTCCGCGCGGGGGCCAGGGTCATGGAGAATCCCTGGAGGACGCTAGCGACGCGCTAATCAGTGGTGTTGATCGCCAGTCCTGAAGCGCTCTTGACTTTGTTCCCCACACACTCACACCACCTTCTAACCGAGCCATGGATGCAGGCCCTCACACGTCACTATTTATCTCGCCTTTGGACCATAATACCACCACGGCGGCGAATCAGCCTAAGGGGTCGCGCGACACCTCAGTGCGGCCAAAAATGGCCCGTACACCTCCAAATACCGTGTGCAGCATTCCAGCTGAGGCGCATGTCGGCCGCGTCATATTGGACTGGACATCTCCCGCACTGCCGGAAATTGGAGGCCACTATAAGCTGACCAGGGTCGGAGGCTATAGCGAATGTCCTTATCCATATTCTGTATGCGGCTGCATATCCCTGACCCCAAAACCGCCCGCAGAGCTTATATCCTATTGCATAACCACGGCCCTGCTTACCCTTTGCGAACGGTGTGAAGAACACTTAGCTGCATATGCTGATCCTTTCGAAGAAACTAAGAACAGACGTCTTCAGTCCCTAGTCTTTGGTGTCTATACTGACTTTTGCTGACATCCCAAAGAGGCACACACTTCGTACATTCCGGATTGGCAATAATGTCGCATGCCCTGATGAGCAGAACGGTTGCTAGCAGCTTCAGCACACATCTCGATCTAGTCCCATGATACAAGACTGCCAAGCGATGCGGGTGGCCGACTAATACGACGTCGGTCGATCTCTGATGTCGTGCATATACCATGATACACCGGAGTGGCTGCTCCAGGCAGCACGTGCTCGGGATGTCTATCAGGACATAAGCTTTTTCCTTTAAGCTGACTGATCCAACCACAAGTATTACTAAAACAGCAAAACCCCCATCGCAAGCTTATATAGGCGGTACCCGCCCGTGGCGCTGAGCATGCTGCGAGGACAACCACACCGGGTAGGATATTTCTGGTTTCGGCCATATATTAAGCGTTGGCAAACATGTATATCATGTCAGCTATTAATGCGAACCGATTGGGTTTAGACAATCTTGACTCAGCTCAATATTCCTTCTCCATGGATACCGTCTTTCAAAGTTACGTTAGATGCTAAATCAATGAATTGTCAACAGAAAGCTCTCACAACTAGCTGGTTGCGTGGACATCAACCTCTTCGACAAAACTCCTCGAAGAACCCCGTCGCACGGTTCTCGTTATTCTACAGTTTTCTGCTCGGCACAAAATTAATAGGAAGTCTTCAGTACGTTCCAATGGCTCATAACATTTTGTTGAGATTTTCAGCATACACCAACTTCGAACCGCAGCCGACCCTGGGCCTGCGCCCTTGCCGTATGCACGCCATCATAAGCCCTTGCTTGGCCTGCATTTCGTTTACCCTGGTTCGCCTACAAAATTTAGGCCTACCTGAAGGACAAGCATATACCTTCTAAAGGCTAAAGATTGGTAAGTAGGTCGATGCCGAGCTAGATAGGTATGTGGCACGAGACTCCATATCATCACACCAGTACTGGAACATGTCATCGAATCAACTTGCTATGTTGCGCTATCGAAAGAAGCACACAAAAGAGCCAGCCGGTCAAGAGTAGAATTTAGTCCGCGTCATCACAGACAGGTATGGTGAACTACTGGACTGCGACACGGTTGCACGAGTGTACCGGCAAAGTCCCACGTTTCTTGGCTTCCTGGTCTGAACACGACAGCGGCAACTTTACGATCCTGCTGCTACCCGTATCCGTACGCCTCAAAACGCCTTTGGGCGTCTCAGGCAACTGACAGGATAGACGCGATAGACGAGCTTGCCAATTATCGGTCTGGAACCGTTCCATGAACAGACACCGAATCCTTCGAATTTAAAAATCTGACTCATCGAACGACATCGCCGCATATGCACAGAAAAGCTGCATACTTCGGCAACATCACACTTTTGGTCACGTTTGGACAGCTCGCGATTAGGCTGTGGGATGCGGGGTGGTGTGAGCGCCCTCCACACGGCCTGCTTATCAGTAAGGAAACACGAGCCGAACGAAGCGCCATTAGAGGTTTGCATAAGCCAGAAGCTGATTGCGTGCTCAGAAGCGTTTTGATCTATGAACCAACTCGCAGATGGATAAGTGAACACAGTTCTCGCCCGCTCGACCACCAACCTCAGCACATTTCTTTGTTGCACCACGTGGTTTCACAGCAGTACTTTGCCTGTTTCCTCCGATTCATCAGCTCGTTGGCCACTCAGCAAAAGTCTTCACAAGCTGCGTAAGCATGGTGGTCACATTGCTAATACTGAGAATCTTGGGATTGGAGTTCGGAGCAGGACGCCGACCGGAAATGGCCTCATAGCGCGGTTCCGCAACTCCACCGATCGAGAAGTAAAATCTGAGGGATTTGAGTGGATATGGAGTTGAAGACCGCCGTCACACAAGGCTCGCATGCCCTCACACCCTTGATCAACAGAATGGGTGCCGTGAAAGGCCCACGCCAGGCCGCATCAACTACCACTCTCATTTCCAATGTTGGTGAACAGATATCGGGATGGGTGGCCCGATGGCATGCACCAGAAAGGCAGGTCATATGGACCGAAAGCCACCAGAGTGGGCCGAGGTTGACTCTCGACAGACCTCAGGGTGCCATCTAAGCGAAGGATACAGTAGTCAGATGCACCAGACCGCGGACGGGAAGTGGATCTGGATATGCTTTTTCCCATGAAATGCGCGAGACGGTACTTGCTTTTTTCTGAAACCCTTTCGATGCTGCAGCAGCTCCATGGATCATGCCGGCGGAAAAGACAACACTGCAGTTTGAGCCTTGAAGATCACCGACACGTCAAAGCCGCTCCCTACTTTACTGCGATTTTCAAAAAACTAGTTTCACATGTGCAGAAACTGACAAGAGCGCAAGTCGCATACATTCGGTTCGAGTTATCTAATTCAGATCCATTGCCCCGGATTCGTGAGAGAAACGAATTGCATTGATCTTTACACATGGCTAGTCGCCTCCTAATCGATACAAGCGAAAAGACCCTGATATACCCGTTATACTCCAGCATGGAAGACGTGTCTTTCCCACAGTAGACAAAAACCACTTACTATCGATCTAACCGCGGGTCGAAAACAAATTGGCGGACACACCCGTAGGTGTGAGGGCTTGGGAACGCTAACAAAAAAGCAAACCTCACACCTTCGGGGATCCAAGCTCTCGGAAGCCTTTCTGGAATCACAACATACCTTGAGATCTGCAACAAAGATTGTAAAAAAATTATCGCCCACCAAGAATTCTAGAGCGAGAGATACAAAAAAGATGTGAAGTCCGAAATTTCCGTCATCACTTTGATTGACTTGTAACAACCTCAAGAGCAGTGCACAAAAGTGCGGGTTATAATGGTACGTCGAGTTCTAGTAGCATGTATATATTGGTTGGAGATAAGATCATAAAAACGTGTAATTATCCGTTATCGAGGACCAAGGCATGGAAGAGGTTCAACATTTGGAAAGCCAGTGTCATGCACAGCGATGCGGACAGTGTCACAGACAACATATGTACTGTTCAGACATATATCTCATTTATGGCAATGGATGACCCAGTCCAATCTACTCAAACCCCTCAAAAGCACTCTCCGCATCGCTACCACCCCCTACGACTGTACTTCCTCTCTTCTTTGCCGCCTCCCTAGCCTCTCTCTTCTTATTCTCAATTTTCCTATCATACCCACTCTTACTACTAATTCTGCTCTCAGGCTTCACATCCTTCCCCTTTGCCGTACGTCTAGCCTCAACACCCCTCTTCTTGAGGAGCTGCCTATCCCTCTTGCTCGGCGTAGGCAGTGCATCGAGCATCCACTGTTTGACACTCCCTTCTTCATCACCAAGTCCCCTTAACTTCTCAGAAGCGCGGATAACGTTGGCAATGAGCTTGACATAGGGGATATCGTCTTGTGTGTAGAATGTGACTGCGACACCGCCTTGACGACCGGCACGTCCAGTGCGGCCTACGCGGTGGACGTAGCCAGCTGCGGAGGTGGGTACGTCGTAATTTACGACGCCGTTTAGACCGCGGAAGTCTACGCCGCGGGCTAGAAGGTCTGTGGTTATGAGAACCCAGATTTCGCCCTTTCGGAAGCGCGTCATTATGCTATCGCGGGCGGACGAGGATAGATCGGCGTGTAGAACAGCGATGCGCGAGCTACCGCCTGCTTCTGGGGGTATATCGTAGAGGAGCTCTGAGTGAAGTGCAATGGCTCGGGGTATCGTTTGTGTAAAGACTAGGAACGGTGGGCGGAGCGTGGGCTGGTTCGAGTTGGTGAAGACGGAAGTCGGATGGAGTAACTGACGCAGACCAAGAAGCTTGCCTTGCTCGGTAGCGGCATAAGTTAATTGATGTGAAATATTGGGTATAGCGGAGTCTTTGAGTCCAACGACGAGCCGGATGAGCGGTGGTCGCCGAGGAAGGTCGGACTGTGAAGCGGAGAGGGCAGTCCAGCGGTCGTTCAGGGTAGATGTCGTCAGACTATCGATATTGGAGCCCATGGTCGCTGACCATAGACCAATTCGAAGCCTGGGATTTGTGCAAGCATTCCATATCGCGAGCGTTTGTTCGCGGAAGAGGGGATCGAGGAGGACGTCTGCTTCATCAAGCACAAGCTGAGATGCGCTAGGAATGTTCGCAACAGTGCTGTTCCTGCGCTTCAGTGCGTTGAGCAGAGCAAGCGGCGTCGCGACTAGGATGGCGGCTTTCACAAGTTCTGCCCTTTGACTAGCCTGCTTCTTCTTTGGTGCTGCCGCCCCTTCGTCGTCAGTTTGAGAATCACTTTCGTCATTTTCGGACGCGTCAACCGCATCCACTGTATCCTCAGGTATCTCCTTTTCTGGTTCTTGCACGACTTGCATGCCCTTCCTCATGAGTGTAGCCTTGATTGCCGTGCCTTTTGCCAATTTCCTCGCCTCGTTGACAATCTGCGCCGCAAGCTCTCTAGTAGGGGCGAGGACAATGGCGCGTGGACCCTCCCTAATGTCCGTAGTGCTGCTCTCCGCGAGTAGTGAGTCGATGATGGGTATCAGGAACGCCATTGTCTTTCCACTGCCCGTAGGTGCTACTGTCAGAAGATCAATGTCTCCATTGAACTCAGCACCAGACAAGCCTTCGACGTCGCCAGTAACCTTGCGGCCCTTGCTGCCCAGTAGCAACGGTAAAGCGCCAAGCTGAACTTCAGTAGGTAGCTTGTACCCTTGCTCTGCTATGTTCTCCGCCAAACGTCTCGATATACCGTAACGTGTTCGTAGTTGGGCAAACTCGACAAGGGGTTGTGGATAGAGGGATCTGTTCGCATTCTTCTTCTTTTCCTTGATCTCCTTCTCCTTCTTTCTCTTCTTCGACTTCTTTTCTTTACTTGGCCCTTCTACTTGTGTCGCAAAATCGTCGAGTATTGCAACCTTTAGCTTATGCGAGCGCAGTACCCTCTTGCACTCGTCCGCATTGTATGGCTCCTCCTCTATTTCGCCTGCGCCTTCCTGAAGGATAGCTTCCTCTTTGCGCTCTTGCTGCTTCTGCTTCTTCCTCTGCTTCTTGGAAAGAGTGTTTCCACTTGACTCTGAATCTTTGCTTGCACCGCCGCCAAAGAAGTCGAGATCGGCGGGTAATTCAGTTGCGCTCGCAGATGCGTCTGCCAGATTCTGCCCCCTTTTCCTTTTGCGACTAGTATTCGACGTGTCCGAGGGGTGTGTTGGCTCGTCGTGGCCGAACAGCTGCGGGTTTGCGACGGCGCCGGAGGAAGGAAGCTTTTGCGCGGGCGACGTCTGCGCCGCTTTCGAGGATCGCGAGAGGAGTTTAAACACGTTCATAGTGGCGGTGGGCTGGAAGATGTTCAGCAAGAGTGATCATGTCCTTGGCATCATCACGTCTTGGGTTGCTGCTGCGCGGACTGCAAAAGTTCGATTGCGCGCTCAGAAAAATAATTGGGCCGCGGCGATTCGGCGCAACTAGCGCCGATCATTCGAGCATTCACGTGTAACCTGCTACTGCTATGCTACTATTGTCGTGGTACTGAAGTAGATGCATTGCCAATAATTGCACATGTAGAAAATGGAATCTAAATCAGAGGTATGTGCAGTATACAGTATCGGATCCCTACCACCCCGAACGCACCGCAAACACACTTGCTCAGCTTCCCTGCCCGCGAAATCGTACAGTGTTTCCTTCCTCACCAGCCCCTCGTAGCCCTCCCCACTACCTCTTGAACCTAGTGCATGCTGAAATGTCGTGTCGTAGCTTTCCTAAGCTCATCCCTCAAGCTCACCGCACTCAGTGGTGCTCGTCCTTCTTCTGCCGGTAGCCAACAAGCTTGAATCGGCCAATGATCTCGCCAACGGAGAAGAAACCAATGACCTCGGCAAAAACAACACCCATAGAGTACCACTGTTCGCGGGGCATGTTCCGAACTTGCGCAAGGACGTTGGCGGGTTGCTGGGCGGCGCTGTTGGCCTCGCTGGCTACGCGGTTGAAGAGGGAGCTGGGGTTGCGGAGAGCGTTCAATGCGGGCTGGATGTAGTTCTGCATAGTCTGGATGGATCTGTAAGCAGTCAGTAATTATTCCGATATTCCAGCATGCCAAGCCGGGCTTGTGGGAGGCCTACGGTGGTTGCATGCTTCGTTGGTGGGCAATGAGCTTGCCGAGCTCAAGTCCGACCCTTCCGTAGTAGGTAGCCTTGGGAACCAGTCCTATGATAATGTCAGTGTGTGATTCCGGATGGAGTATCATGCTGCATCAGAATTCCTGCCCAACGTCTATCACGGTCCAACTCTACAAACATGGCTGCGGTTGATAAGCCATGTGAAGCTGCACGGATAAACCAATGCGCTTCATGTTCTGGTATCCCGGCTCTTGGTACTAGACGCAATGCTCCCATGGCCAATTGGCACGCTCCCCCGCCTTTGAGATGGGGTGACTGACCTTGCACGAAGTTGACCATCCTTCCTACCCGTCCAGTGGCTTGCTGTGTCGCATTGTTGACGGCTTGACCGGCACCCGACGCCGCAGAGCTCGCGGAGCTTGTGACCTTGGTGAGACCCTCTGATGCCTTGGACTGTGCCTTTGACGCGGTTTCCTTTACGGTGTTGGTGGCTTCGGCGGTCGTCGAGGCATTGCGGATGCCAGCGCGGCGGACGGCGAACGTCGATTGCCGTAATACGGCACGTGATGCAGCGAGAGACATCTTGATGTGAATTGACGAAGGGGAGATGGGGTGTCGCCGGTCGTCTGCTCGTGAGGGTGGATGGAGCTCGGCAGTGACGCTTGGTTTTTCAGCCGCGCACGGACGCTCTTGCCCGGATGGCTCAGGGGATTAACGATGTTGGCATTACCACCTCAACAATCCCATGCTAGTCGCACATATGAGGTCACCTTTCACTCGCCGCTTCCTACCTTCTCTACAATCGTAGTGCCTTGGGTAATGCGCTTTCGTTGTTATAGTATACTCTCAGGTCAATGCTCTCTGATACCCAATCAACACCTCTCCAGCAATACTCAAACATGCCTGAACACCTTCACCAACCATCTCCCATGTCTTTCTTCTCCTTTGCCTGTCCCAACATGACTCCCTTGATCAGAAAGTTTAGCTTCCGGATCTCTGTCCAGCGACTCAGTGCTCCCAACTCAAGCACACTCATTCTCCTCATCTTGCCACTCGGATTTCCAATGACCACAGCCTTCCAGTCGCTGCCACGCCCAACCTTCTCCAGGTCTTTGAACTCTTGCCAGGCTGCCGTGTCGCGTCTAGTTCCAAACGTATGGTTCGGTATGACCTGTACCGACTTGAAGCGACAGAGGACCAAGATAAGCAGAACAGTGAGAGCAAAGAGGATGCCTGCCGTTGTCCCTGTGGACTTTTGTGCGCCAAGATTGCGCGTCATGCTTCCGCCGACTATAGTCGCAACTGCAGCGAGAATGAACGCGATGATTTGACTGGCGAAGATACCAGCAGTGACACGGGGAAAGGACGTGTAATTCGTTCTTCTTCTGCGGTCTTGTACAGCCATGCTTTGCAGCCGATGTCGTGTGTTGACTCCAGGTTGTAGGTCACATGTATCGAACGTTTCCATCATCAGGCCGTGGCATTCAGCTATGGCGAGAATACTGAGGAAACCCACAGCGCCAGCGAAAACAATCGGCACAAGCCATGGTTGAGGGCGCCTAGCCGAAGAGACAGTGTACGCCATGCCCATGAGGGGAAGTGTCAGTGTGAAGATTGCGCGGCGGACAAGATGGCTTGACCAGGTGACTTGTTTCTGGAACGTCATGGAGTCGGTGCGAAATGCGCTCTTTCGCTCCCGAGAGAAGATGCCCGCTTTCGTTAGGGGGATCGCAAGCAAGGCGCCGATAGCTATGGATATAACACCCGCGCCCACCTTTGTCGGCTTCCATCTGTAGTCTCGCGACAGGAGAGCACCTAGCAAAATGATCACAAGGACGACCTGTGCATATATCCATCCCAGGTACAATGCCAGGACGAGAAAGCCAGGTTGACACAGCATCATTGCCATAAGCTGTATACCCGCCCATACTTCCTCGAACCAATACTTCGGTCCTTCGGTTTCGATGTGCAATTTCACTTCACCCCTGCTCACACGCCTTGTGATGTAGTTCTCGTCTCTGTCATATACCTCAGTCACCGACTTCCGGAATGGTGCGCGTCGCGTTTCTGAAGTCATGATGTTTAAGATCAAGGCAAGAGCGAGGATCACCACGACAATATAGAACCCCCAGTCCGGTGTCAGCTTTTCGATGATCGCAGCCCCGATTTGGAAGCCGACGGCCAGAGACCCGATCCAGCACCATGACCAAAGCCCCAGCCACATGCCCATACCTCCACCGTGGCGACGGACATCGTTTGCAACAACGAACTCTTGATGAGGGTTTTTGGATTGTAGAGAAGCCCCAAAGAGGTCAAGCAACACAGTGATGTAATTGACATTTGCAAATCCGAGAACGACCCCAGATAAGCCACGAGAAAGTAAAAGGCCGACACGATACTTCGCGTCCTTGTTGCGGAAGCCGCTGACGACAATTGCTTGGGGAAATTGGAGTGGCAAGGCGATTGCGAGAGCAGCGAGGACATAGGGTTTGCGTCCATGTAGGAGGGGTAGTGTCCAGGCAAAGAAGGTCGAAAAAGCAAGCCCAGCGTACAATACTGCATTACCTATGATCGTGACGTGGCGTTCGTCCGCCAGGGAATACTGTATGCGAGGCACTTCACCCGCATAGATGCCAACGATGACACCAAGCAGAGCTGTGTTGATACACGCAATACTCGCAGTAAGACGCTTCTTACCTGCAGACCAATTTCGTGCAATTGGCTGTCTGCGGTGATGTCGTCGAAGACCAAACGTGTGATGGTGGGATTGTCCTCGTACCGTAAGTTCGGTGCCATATGGCTTCGACAGCCTGTCGTCCTCATCCAAAGAGGTATCTCCCTCACCGAAGCCCGAGTCATCCCTTGGCCCAAGCCGAGTTTTAGGTCTCGATGTATGCTCGTGGCTTCGACAGCGGCGATTTCGACGCACCGCAATGTTATCAGTGATGCGTTGGCGAGACCGACCGCGAGATTTGTCTCTACCTACAGGACGAAGAACGAAATCGACGTGTTCTCTTGGAGCTGTTTGAGCCAGCTTTGGCAGGAGCAGATCGCTTCGCGTGTCGAAATCGACATGGTCTCGCTCGCTTTCATGATCACTGGACGAGCATAACGAAGTAGACGAACCATCTTGCTTTCGAACGCCTGGATTCGCGTATGCCCAATCGTAGGACACTGAGGCTCTTGGTACATCTTGTGGCAGCCGGACATTGGGAGCGACATCATCTATGCCACCTCGCTGGACGATGGCAGACGGCTGTAGATTCTGGTGGCGACTAGATGAGCTTGAAGAGTCAGACACCTTAAGAGGAAGTGCGGTTGTCATGAGAAATCCAGGTTCGGGGGAAGCATCATGCACAGCGCCCTTCGCTCCCTCAATGATTATGCACAGTTCTTCCACTTGACTTCGATCATCAGCGACCTCAGCAACCTCGACCGCTTCTTGAACCATAGCCTCTAAACCTTCAACCATGTTGTTGATACTCCTATCCATAGCTCCCACGAATGTACTAGGTATCGGTGCCGGTTGATTGGGGGATATATTTACTCCCGATACGGTCGCAGGAGGCGTGCTGCTTGAATCTGAAGTGCTTGACTGCTGGAGATGATCAGGAACGGGCGCCAGGCTGTCAATTCGAGGGCGAGGTTCATAAAGATCGCTTTGTTCTGGCTCTTCATCGTCTTTCTTGGCATGTACGATAGAACGTCTCTTCTGTGATTCGTGTGACTGCGGTATAGACGCTCGTGCTGCTCTCAATGGAGTCACTGCGTCAATTGCCAGCGAGGCTCGACGCGCCTGGGATAGTCGGTGCTTTGTTACTGGAGATGGGCTGCTCGGGACCGCTGACGACAGTCGGCGCTCAGCTGCTTGCACCAGTCGATTGTGTCGCGCCATCGGTTTGCTCGTGATAGCAGGTGTCGAAGCACCTGTAACAAATACTTTGCGGCCAGAAGGACGAATGGTTGACGGTGATTGAGCAGGGCTTTGATGATCATCTATGGGCGAGCTGCATGAGCTCTCCACGGCTGTACTGTTCTGACCATCTGTCAAGGCTGCAGTCACGATCCGAGCAGACTTGTGAGTCAGCCAAGGGAGTCTTTCCGACGTGGTACGTGGTGCAAGCTTCTTGCGCTCTGGGGCTGTAGTCATCTTCAGGTGTGCGCTCGATACCTTCGAAGCATTATCTTTAGACTCAGTCATACCAGGGAGTGAAACCCAGCTTGGTTCGGGCTGAGACGGCGAATGCGCACGGGTTTCGAAGACGGTTATCGTACGCTGCTGTGATGCTTAACGGCCAAACTGCCCAAAGAGTGAAGTGAGAAGTCGGTCGAAAGGGCGAAGAATATGAAGAATATGAGATGACCAGCTTCGACTACTTGCAGATAGACGCAAGCAGGGCGGCAGAGGCAGAGGGCGTAGAAGAAGCTGGTTGTTGTAGAGCTGAGCCGAAAAGGATGGACGAAGTGGAAGGTAGAGGTGATGTTGTTTGGAACTCAGCAACACGGAGGTTATTATTACCCATCTTTTGTTTACTTATCTAACGTGACTGATAGCTCTTGCTGCACACTCTGCGGCCAACATCCTGCTGAAATTACGAGGAAGCTGCGATATCCAGCGACCGTATCACAACAGAGAGTTGTCAAGTACGTTTAGATGGCAGGACTTGTTCCACGCATTTCATGTCACTAAGAGTATATCGCCTGGAGTACTGACTCAGTCATAGCCAGCACCTTTTCCTCTTCTAGCCGTTGCGCGACCAGCCTGCATGAGTCAGTATTGCTCTTTTCAGCAACGACGATTCAACACTTACTGTAGACTGACTGGGAGACCATGTAATAGCTCGGGTTGATCTGTCGTTCATCAGTTGTCGAACACAACCATCGGTAGCACAGTGTATAGCTTACAGCTGTTATAAGCATCCTGACAGTAGTCGCTCTGGGGCTTGTAGTCACTCGCGTGTTTGTCGACTGCTTTGTCGACAGAGACCCCGCATGGGAAAGATACGGCGGCATAGTCAACAACATTATATACACCAGTATACCCGACGTACTTGAAATCGCCATGCGCCACACTTGAGTACGGGGTCGTGGGTGCTAAGAAAGGTTAAACACTGCTTTGCAGCAAACATAAATGCTCGACTTACCTAAGATGGCGTCGAGCCCTTCGATCGCCATCCACTGTTCCAGGTACTGCCGTTGTAGCTCGGATCTCTCTGAATGTAGCTTCCACATGTCATATACGCCCAATTCTTTGGCATCTTTGTACTGAACCATCTCAGGTCGAAATGGCTCGCCTGTCGCCCCGAGTAATGATTCGACGCTTTTGCCGCCATCGGCGACGAACATTCGTCCCTATGCTTGTCAGCTTGGGGGCTGGTGTAGCTCCAAAAGTAGCTCACCAGAAGTGTCAGCGCAGTTCCGTGTAGTCTTGGATTCCAATCCAGAACTTCATGTCCAGCCTTCTTCAGCTTCTCGGTCGTTTCCTTGAGAGCGCGCGTTACCGGGGGTGTGGGCAAGCAGACACCATCGTTCCAAAGGACCGCTATCTTGAGTCTCCCCGGAACATCAACTGACCGCCACGGGATAGGCAGCATCTTTGGGTCTAGTTTCCATGGCTCCGCATCGACAATCGCCTTCGAGTACATGGTGATATCCTGAAGCGACTTTCCCATGGGTCCATTGACGCTCTGTACCGCTTCCTGGCCAGCGAGACCAGATCTACATCGCTGTGTTGTAAAGCGACCGAAAGATGGTCGAAGAGTGAAGATGCCGGTGCATGCTGCCGGGATTCGCAAGCTGCCGCCCTGATCTTGTTAGATATGAGGATTACACGTCATAATATAGAACTCACTATGTCGGTCCCGACGCCTAAAGGACTACCTCCAAACGCAATGAGGGCTGATTCTCCGCCTGAAGAGCCGCCAGACGTGACTTTGCGATTAAGCGGATTAACGGTACGTCCGAATGTGTTATTAACGGACTCTGCCTGTATCCTGTCAACTTCCAACCCAATATATGCCTGCGCGCATACATACGATCATCATGGCTGTCGGCACATTTGTCTTGCAATACCGGACTGCGCCCAGCCGTTCGAGTATATCCACCAACGTAGCATTGTACTCCGCCGGCTGATTGACTAATGAGGTGAAGCCTACAGTGCTGTCTTTTCCCTTTATATTGAAGTTGTCCTTGAGAGAGATTGGCAGACCATGGAGTGGCCCAACAGTCTTGCCAGTTCGCTGGAGATGGTCGTCGAGGGATTTGGCTTGCTGCACTGCTTCATTGAAGAACACATCGCTAAGGCAATTGGTCTACACACGCGTTAAAATGATTCACATGTCTCCTGGAGGTTCTGCCATACCAATTGCTGCGCTGCTGCTGCGCGTTTGCAGAACGCGATCGTGACATCTTCGGCGCTCCATGTTTTCGACGCGATCTGGTCCAGAATGTGGATTGCGCTGCTCTCAGTGATCTCAAGCTCGTTTGCTGTAAACCACCCAGACTCCTTAGGCCATGTTGTCACGTCGAGTTGAGACTCTGGTGGTATCTTGTCTTGCGGTATGCGATATTCGGTCGGAATGGATTCCGCGAGAGCTGCGCGCTTCCCCGCAGCAACTTTCTCCCAATTCGCTTCAGATGTCATACTTTAAGACTTTCGCAACGCCAAGCTACTACAATATCGAAGAACAATAGTGAATAAGTTTACAAGATTGAAAGACGGTTACTTCGAGCGTTTCAGTGAGTACTCATGACCCTACCGCAATGTATTCTCCCCACTCTCGGGTCGTCTGCGCCGCGGCCATCTGTCATTGTGGTGGTCCCCAACCGAAGCCATTGGAGGCGTCGACGATACCATTCCCCGCACCTTTGGACGCACCCGACCCAGACTAACTGCTACCAGACATCCCGTTGCTTCGGCCGAGATAGACTACCGCTGGTCAAGAGGTTATACCTGCCCTGTTGAGATTCAGATACGAACACCCAAGTAACCGATACCGGCATTCAGCCGCTTCACCACAGAGATATGATCGGCAAAAACGCTTACTGAATATGCCTATCTCGAGTCAGTCATAAGTGGCGTAGTATCAACCATATCTTGCCCCCAGCGTCTATCGGTCCTATGATGCATGGGGCGGACGATGTCACCCGGAGAATAACCAATACTACAAACATAACTGATAGCGACAGCTGTTCGAAAACAGGCAAAGCCATCTTCCATTGCTCAACAGCACATCTCTAGCGACAGGGCGCAACACTTTTGCCCTCAATCGTGCAATAACCCGTTCCAACATGGCCAACAGCTTCATCGCCTATCTTCGAGGCGACCAGAATGCGCCAGGCGAGCGCAAGCTGGTGCAGAAGCTTGATTTTTTCATCCTTACTTTCTGCTGTCTCATGTATTTCCTCAATTATCTTGATCGCACCAATCTTAACAATGCGTACGTTTCTGGTATGAGGGAAGAGCTGGACTTCAAAGGCAACCAACTCAATCAGATCAACACCGTCTTTACTGTAGGGTAAGTAAGCATAAATGAAAGAAGACTATGAATAGTCTCATACTAATTCGACATACTTAGGTATACTATAGGGCAAGTACCATGTAACATCCTGCTGTACTACATCAAGCCTCGTTATTTCTTCCCTGCCTGCATGGTGCGTCTCTAACCCAAAGCGCCTTGGGTTTTGTGACTTATTCAATCTAGGTAGCATGGGCAGGCTTGACAATGGTCACTGCAGCCGCTCAAAAACCTCAGGACATCATGGCAATCCGCTTCTTCCAAGCGCTGTTCGAATCATCGACGTTCGTAGGAACCCATTACATTCTTGGTTCTTGGTACACCGAAAAAGAGCTAGGGAAACGCTCTGGAATATTCACCGCATCAGGTCTTGCTGGCACTATGATTGGTGGTTTCATCCAAACGGGTATACACAGTAGCATGGACGGCCTCCGGGGGATGAGTGGTTGGCGATGGCTCTTCAGTAAGTTGTTTTGACAACATCTACAATTAACTCACTAACGCCAAGTCTCTTCAGTCATCGACGGACTCATCACACTTCCTGTAGCCATCTACGGTTTCGCCCTCTTCCCCGACACGCCAAGAAACACACGAGCGCCTTACCTCAGTGCCTCCGAGAAAGCGCTAGCAATCTCCCGCGTTCCTGAAGTCTCGGAGCGCACTCCAATATCCTTGTCCTTTTTGAAGCATTGCTTCTCAACGTGGTATTGGTACTTTTTCGTCATCCTCTGGATTCTAGCGGGAGAGACCGAATCTTTTAGCACAAACGCTTTGTTGCAACTTTACATGCGCTCACATCCTACAAACACTTATACCGTGGCTCAGAATAACAACTATCCTACCGGAGTACCTGCTGTCGGCATTGTTTCGACTTTGTTTTGGGCCACACTAACGGACTTTATGGGCGGGAAACGTTATCTTGTCGGCTACTGGATTGGCATAACTGGTATCGTAACCTCAGCCCTCATTCTCGCCTATCCACAAAACACCACGATTCACTTCGCAATGTATTATTGGGCAGGCAGTGTTTATGCCTGTCAAGCCACCTTCTTCGCCTGGGCAAACGACGTATTACGCTACGAAGAAGACAGTCTGCGTGCTGTGGTCATAGCAAGTATGAACATGGGAAGCAACGCCATCAACGCCTGGTGGAGCATTGTCTTCTACGGTGCAAATTTCGCACCGTACTTTACCAGGGGTATGTGGGCTATGATTGCCGTCAGCATTGCCATGGCAGCGTGGACGGCGGCGTTGGCATGGATGCAGGCAAGGACTGAGAGCAGGAGAATGTTAGAAGGGGGGGTTGTGCACAATGCTATTATGGGAAAGGGCGGGGATGAAGGGACATTTGGGACAGGGGAGGGAGAGAAAGCATAGATGCTTTACACAATGTTGTGCTACTAGTTTTATGGTCTGTTTCTCAATGAGACGTTATGGATTCGAGAATACGCACGGCTCTCCGTGCAGAAAAAAACGCCTGGATAACGCCAATGCATGCGACCATACCCTATCATCCAAAGCACAAGACCGTGCCTATCCTATACCATCATCCTGCTCATCCATTGTATTAAAATCTTTGCGAAGCCCTCGCCCCACGCATGCTGTTCATGAAATCGGCTGAAGGATCCGAGCCAAGTCCGTTCCAGCCGTTGGCACCAACACGTTGTGTCTCCCGCTGCGCCTTGGTAATCTTCTCCTGAAGCTGCGAAGCACCGGAATCGATGAGTTGAAGCTGTGCAAGCTGGGTGTTGAGAACACGAACGACCTTGGTAAGAGGATCGTCTGGCTTGCCTGTCTTGCTGAGCGTCTGCGAGGTATTGTTAATCTCCTCAATCATCTCTGTGAGATCCTTGTTGAGCTCGTTGAGGCGGTCTTGAAGCTTCTCGGCAAGCTTGTAACTATGGGTTCATTAGTTATCTCGTAGCTGCAGACAGTTCTCAGGTTTTCACTTACGTCCTCTCGCGCTCCTGGTCGGGGCCGCGTAGGGTCTCGTTCTTGCCACTGACGCCGTGCATCTTCATGAGATTGTCAATCTCCTTCTCGTATCGATCTAGGTAGGAATCGAGCTCCTGCTGGTTCTCCTCCATCATCGTCAGCTGCCTCTCGACTTCAGCAGCGTCACGCTCAGCTTGGAAAGTCTTCGAGTACAGTTGTCGGACTTTATCGGAATTCTCAACCAAGGCCCTATCCCATGAGGCGACTGTCTCAGCCTGTGATTGGAATTCTTTCTGGTACTTGGAGAGGTCAGCTGCCCAGCGTGTGATGATCTCGTCCATAGACTTGTTCTTCAATCGTGATTGAGCCGATGGTGCAGGCCCGGCAGTTGACGCAGCAAGTCCGCTTTGGGCAGCATTGTTTCCGGTCGTGGCCCCGAGGGAAGGAGTTGGTTGCGAAGCAGTGTTAGACGATGCTGCTGGTGCTTCACTTGCTGCAGGCTTGTTAAATAAACTGGGTGTGGTGCCAGAAGTGGTGGTGGCGGCAGTCGCAGGAGCAGCGGACGAAGCACTCCCGCCTCCCAGCCCACCTCCGATGCTGGGGAACAAGGACGAGCTCGATGATGCGGTTGTGGTGGGTGCACCGCTTGTGGCAGTGGTTGTAGCCCCGGTAGTTGCAGCCGTGCTGGCAGGCGCAGCAGGTTTAGCAAAGCTGAAACCACCACCCGTAGATGCTGGTGTGGAAGCTCCTGCAGGCGAGAACAGACTAGGTGTTGCAGAAGCAGACGACGCAGTGTTGTTTCCGCCTAGGCTCAAGCCCGAGGCTGGAGTAGAAGAAGCCTGCGAGGAAGCTGGCTGTGCAGGTGTGGCACCCACACTGAACCCTCCTAGAGGTTTCGCGGGTGTCGAGGAGGGGGTTGTGCTGCCCAGTCCACCAAAGAGGCCACCCGCAGGCTTAGAAGCCTGTGTGTCTTGAGAAGTAGGGGTCGACTGATTTCCGCCTCCAAAAAGGTTGCTGGCAGAAGCCGCGGACTTGTTCGCGTCGGTCGAGGTGCCGGTGTTTCCTCCTAAGCTGAAGCCGCCCGAGGGCTTTGCAGCGGGGGTAGCGCCGAACAGGCTAGGTGTGGAGGACGATGTGGTTGCTGCTGGAGCTGCTGGCTTTGCGCCGCCGAACAAAGAGGATGTGCCTCCACTAGCCTGGGTGTTCTGTCCAAACAGGCTTCCACCCGGAGGGGCACCAGCTGGGGTAGTGGAAGGAAGGAGCGACGTCTTGTTCGTTGCAGGCGTAGCTGTTGATGTCGAACCTAAGCGTGGTGTTAGCAGACGCGTTGGAGGTGCGAGATGTGTTTGGGAACTAACCACCCGCGTTACCAAATCCAAATGAGGGCGCAGAAGACGTTGTTGGTGCGCCAGTGGCCGCTCTTCCAAACAGACCTCCAGCTGGTTTTGGCGCATCGCCCTCCTTCTTGCCGAAACCAAAGCCTCCGCCAAAAGCTGGTGTTGAGGACGCGGCAGGTGTGGCTCCGCCTCCGCCGAACAAACCGCCAGGCTTTGACGCAGGCGTGCTCGATGCGCCGCCGAAAAGACCACCTGAGCCGCCTGTGTTGGCGCCAGCAGAGCCAAAGAGGCCACCGCTGGCCGGCGTGCTCGAGGTGTTGCTGTTCGCGGTTCCGAAGAGGGATGGCGTCGCGCTGCCCGTGGAAGGCGCGGCACCAAACAGCGATTTGTTTGGTGTGTTGCTGCTGCCGCCGTTGTTGTTGTTGTTGTTGTTGTTGCCTTGCTGGCCGAATGTGAAGCTCATGATGGCGGCTGTGGAGGAGAGCTCTGGTGTTTGTGTTGACGGTGAAGAAGCTGTTATTGCCGGCGAGATAACTGGGAACGCGCGAATGTCTAGTCGTGTCGCGCCCGTAGATGGGAGTGTCGGGCCGTCAATTGACGGGTTGCAAGGGATGCGCGTAAACGGTTCTTCTTCTCACGCGCATCAATATGTCGTCGCAACCCAAAAGTTAGACAAACAGTGCATGGGTCAAGCTTTAGCTCCGGTGAATTGTTGTTCCCACCTTCTCGGTGCTGCAGCGTCCAGACCGCTCGTTCCCCGCTAATCGAGCGTGCCTGAGACAAGACGACACGCTCAAGCAACGGGGCGCAGCACTTGCACTTGCACTTGTACTTGTCGCCTTTGCAGCTTACTTCCCCCACGCCTTGCTCCAAGCAAAACCACTCCCCGACGACCTGTGTATACCAAATTTACGTGTCAAGTGAAGAAACATTCAGCATCCTCGATATGCCGGACGAGCTAGCACCGCCCCGCAAGAGCGTAGAGCTCGAGGACCCCGGTGCGAAAGAGCTGGGTACGTCGTCCTTTCCACTCGGCCGTAGCAATTCTAATGCAGTGCAGCCGAGTCGAGCGACGAACACTTCTCCGATGCCTCGGAAGGCCAGCCTGGACGATCTGAGATGACCTCGCCCATTCCCATCACGCGAGTTGAGCGAGTAGACGACGAGCCGGCCCACGGCGAGGTGCCAGGCACAGACGCATACAACATGCGCACCCAAGACGCAGTACCCGACGAGGTGGAGATTGTACCCGAAGGCACACGAAGTCGCAGTGCGTCTCGCGTTAGTGTAAGCGACAGGCCTCTTACGCCAGGAGGAACGCCAGTGCCAAAGACGATTGTCGAGAAGATCGATCCCGACCAGCCCAGCTACGGCGATGTTCCCGGTACACTTGCCCACCAGCAGCGTCTTGCCGATGCTGCGCCTGATGTCATTGTCAGAGCACCAGAGCCAGCCCAGCCCAGCAACCCAGGTACGTAGGGCATTTCCTTGGTGCCTCCTGCGTACCATTGACGGAAGAAGGGTCACCAACCTCGCATAACAGGTCTCCAATAAGCCCCAGTGACGGCGCAGCCGACACCGTGCCCGAAGCCGATGCCTCCGCTGAGCAAGATGACGACGGCTTTGGCGACGAGGACGGTGACGACGATGGTTTTGGCGATTTCGACGACTTTGAACAAGGCGAAGAGGGTGACGATGATTTTGGGGACTTTGACGATGGGCTTCAGCAAGGCGAGGACGATGCAGAGACATCATTTGATAAGCCCCCAGAACAGCCTCCTGTACCTGTCCCCTCGCCAGGTCCTGTAAGTCGCAGCAATTCTAGTCCACATATACTACTGCCTTGCCCGCCTGCTATGGTGATAGTCTGACTAACCCTTCATTACACAGCCCGTCTTAGACTTTGATCAACTCACATCACTTGAAGAAATCGTCACAGCAACACAGCCCTACCTAGATGACATGTACCCTGTACAGAATGACATACCCACAATATCGGCCAATCCCGACGAGACCCGTTCCATATTCCTCTCGGAACGCAGCCACTCGTTATGGACGCAACTGGTTGCACCGCCACCATTACAGCCTCCCGACTGGGTTCGTTCGCGTATACGGCGACTGTTCTTGGTCTCATTAGGTGTACCTGTGGATCTGGACGAAATACTCCCCGCCTCGAAACAGAAAAAGCTCATTCTCCCTTCAATACATATACCCGGGGATCGGTCGCCCCGCCCCTCGTCCGACGGTCGGAACAATGGCGGGCCATTGGGACGAGTCAAGCGCGAGAACGAATCATCTACGTCTATCGACTCGTCAAGTTCAAAACCAGAGCGAAAACGTAAAGGTCCACCGCCGCCTCCAGAACTGGACATTAGCAGCACCATGCAACTATGCGCGACGACAGATGCAGCGCTGCAAGGGCTGACGGACGATGAGCTGAAGATGCACATTGATCACTTAAAGGGCCTGCAAGAAAGAGCAAAGGAGGTATTTGAGTACTGGCAGAAGAGATTGGAGAGCGCACTGGGAGACAAGGATGCTTTTGAGCAAGTTATTGAGAGCCTGGTTGCCCATGCTAAGAAGCTTAGGTAGCAAGTCGTATCTCTTGTCACACTGCTTATCCGTTCTGCAATACCATCGCTCTCCGGGAAGCCCAGATTTTGTGAACTATTTGTCTTATATCACCTGTGGTTCGCCTGATCATCGTTCCTTGGTCCACGGAACCACCCCAAAATATTGTTATCAGGGTCCAACACAAATCCTCCTCGATGAAAAGAGAGCCATTGTTCCTCTCTCTCCCAGACTTCCCTCACAACACTCTTAATTCGCAATCGCATCACCACAAAACTCCACGGGCTAACAGAAGACTTTCATCACCGCAAGACTCTTACCACAAAGCTCTTACCACAACAAGACTCCTGCTACCACAAAAAATCCTATTGCGAAGTCTCAAGACCCTGGATTTTCAATACTCCAAGTTCTCGAAACCACAAATCTTTGCCTTCACCAGGAAGATGGCCATGCCATTTCGCACGCCCGCAGCTACAGGCGTAGCTTCGTCATCAAACGCACCTTACACTTCGAAATCATCCTTCCTTACAAGCGGTCTAAGCCCGCTTGCGACATGTGCGCTCAACAACACCGAAGCCAGCTGTTCCATATGCCTCGAGCACTACACACGCGAGGATCCCGCTTCCCAGGTCACTCAATGCGGTCACATCTTCCACACACCCTGCATGACGGAATGGGTTGAATCAGGATCATCAACATGTCCCATGTGCCGTGCACAGCTCTTCACCCCTCCGATAAAAACCAAGGTGAACAGCAACCACCCAAGGAGGAACATGTTTGGCAGGCGATCCAGCGAAAGGAGCATACCAGGTCTACCAAGGATGCATGAGGGATTCGATACATACTCTCAGTGGCGCATGGGTTCGTTGGGATTGGGGACAGGAATGGGGAGTAATTTTCAGCCGTCGACACCTGAGGCGCCCTTGGACTACTAGAGACGTGAGAGAGTTGTACATGAATGCTCAGTTTGAGAAAGTTATATAGAATACTACAGCCAGAGACATACTGTCTTATACCTTGTTACCGTGTTTAAACAGGGGAATGAAAATACCCACAAGGCACGCATTAGCGCAAACTCTTTGGTCCCATCGTGGCATACATTCCTGAGACGACGAGAGAACCTTGGATGGACGGATGCTGATATAGTCGTATACTAGTTTGGTGATTTCACTAACCGTGTTAAAGCCACAAGAGTGTTTTAGATTCCGCATTAATGGAGAAAGTGAACAAGTTCTGCGGATCTTGCCAGTACCTGACTCTCGATTTGATCAATCTGCTCTCAGCTTGGTAGTTTTGCGGATCTAGTAGTCCGATGTGAGGATGAATTTCGTTCCCGAGTCTACTAGCCGGGGAATGTTCGGATGTGCCGACCGGGTTCCCCAATCTTGACAGAATTCATGCAACGGCGAGTCAAAGCCGGAAAAGCCAGGAAGCCGTCTAGAAAACACGTCCTCGCGTGTTACCAAGCATGTGCCGGCTTCCGCCCAAACACGCTTACCACTATCAGCCGGACGGCCGGGAGGGACCCTGAGCGAAGCGACTCTTTTGCGAACAAGTGTACCCCACCGTGCCCACCATCAAAGAGCCCCTCTGTCAGCTGTCAGCATGGCACGATAAGATCTGAGATGTACCGCCACGTCGTCTCATATTGCGATCGATGGCACTGAAACCACGGCAGGAGTACGACATGCGCTGTGGCATGCAGATCAAACAGGAGAGCAGCGCAGTCAGGCCGTGGTTAGATTAGAGGCGCATTTCACACTTCAGCGAGGGCGTTGAAGTCCAACGTATCCCCAGTGCGCTGCTGTGCTAGGCGATGCCTGTTCCGCCCGCCGTTCCCAGCGAATAGGGGTAATTTGCCACACTGGTGGGTGCTGGGTGGCTTCGGTCGCACTGCCATTCGTCGCTCTGTTCGTATACCCGTACGTGCTAAGAGATGGCACGCGGATGCTGGATGCATGGTCGCACTTCATTTCGCGGTGTCGGCGAAGGGCTGGGCAGGGAGAATGACGTCGGCGGTGTGCGGTGTCAAGTCTCGCTGTGCTGAGAGCGCTGGTTCCGCGGTGGGAGGTTCAGCAAGCGGCCGTTGGTTGCTGTGGTCCGAGATGTCCGTTTTCCAAGGTCCAACGTGCACGGATCCACTCCACCAGGGCTGACTAGATTTCTCCCGGCCTAGCGTTACATCTGTCATTCTGCCTCCAGTCTGCTTTCCCAACCCGGCAGCAATTCGGGCAATCCTTTGGGAGAGTGAGGCAGCATACCGTAGCACGCTTGGTCGGGCTGTCTTTGCTCTTTCCCTCCTCACGCAGTTTCTGTCTGTCCCCGCGGACTCGTGCGCTTTGTGGCTTGCGGTTATTCTTCACGCTGCCTAGCTGCTAACTTCGACGCTAACCTTGATTGAGCGATACTGGATATCCATCCTAGCGGGGCGTCCCCTGCTTGCGCTTCTTCGATACCTCCCAAGTTCATCTCGCGATCCATCAGTATCCTCGCAGTCGTCTGCCCCGAAAGGCTCTTCAGTCCCTCCTTTGTCCCTTTCCGCCCTCTCTCCCATCGATACCCGCTCTGTCGCATTCCTGTCCATCTTGCCCGTTCCAGATGCGCACATAGCAGCCCTTCGAGCCTTTCACCCTTCCACCCGCCGCCACAATGGCCGCAGAGACGTACTCGAGCGTCTCAGCCATCATCCGCAACCTCGCCCGCCAACACGACCCTACGCGAGACCCCAGCTTCAGCGCACAAGTTTCTGCCAACGGAGCCAAGACGGCTGCAAATGCCATCGCGCTGCCAGGCCCGGAGAGCGAGGAGAAGACGCAACTAGAGCAGGAGCTGTCGGCGCTATGCTCAAGAATAGACTTTCTCGAGCACAAGAGCAGCCATGCTCCAAACCAGCAGGGCCAGTTCCCTCTGACACCCGCACAAGAGCCGCCCGAGGAGGGCGCGTTATATACTCCAGCAGGAGTCTTCCGCGGCAATAGCGGCCCACCCGCCCAAGGACGTCGTGGATCCAACAAGGAGCGCGCCATCTGGGTCTCCAACTGGCTCGCCGCCAAGGAGTCGAATGGCGACCCAGAACAGCCCGCGGCAGCCCTTACCGAAGAGCAGCTCAACTACCTGCGAGTGCACTTGAACCAGCAAGCCGACCAGATTAGAAACCAGCGCGAGCACATTGGTGGGAGCCCACAGAAGACCTCTGCATGCGCCCAGGCTGACAGACAACAGACAACCTAAGCCAGGAAGTGAATAAGCAACTAACGACACAGAGCATGGTATTCGAACATGGCATTGAGGACATCGGCGCACTGAAAAGGGAACTCGGCAAGCATCAACAGGGTATGCTCTATAGTCTTGAAAAGGCAACGTTGTGGCTGACATTTCACAGCCAACCTGGCTTTCCAAAAGGCACTGCGGGAAATCGGCGCCATCGTCACTGCCGTCGCTATGGGTGACTTGAGCAAGAAGGTCTTGATTCATGCTAAGGAGATGGACCCTGAAATCACCCTGTTCAAGCGCACGATCAACACCATGGTGGACCAGCTCCAGGAGTTTGCCAGTCAAGTCACGTTCCTCGCTCGAGAGGTCGGTACCGAAGGCAGATTGGGCGGTCAAGCCAACCTACCAGGAGTTGCTGGTATTTGGGCTGAGCTGACTGACAGTGGTACGTTGTGATTAGGGTTCCACTATCGGGCCGATGCTAACGTGTCCTGCAGTTAATGGGATGGCCAAGAATCTTACCGACCAGGTGCGAGAGATCGCCGTAGTCACAACCGCTGTCGCTATGGGCGATCTCAGTCGTAAGATTGAGCGTCCGGCCCGAGGAGAAATCTTGCAGCTGCAACAGACGATCAACAGCATGGTGGATCAACTGCAATCATTTGCTACCCAGGTCACCAAAGTCGCTAGAGATGTCGGAACTGAAGGCAAGCTTGGTGGTCAGGCTGAGATTGCTGGCGTCAAGGGCATGTGGAACGAATTGACAGTGAATGTGAACGCCATGGCTCAAAACCTCACCACCCAGGTGCGAGACATCGCCCAGGTCACAACGGCCGTCGCACAGGGTAACCTCACACGGAAGGTCGAAGCCGAATGCAAGGGTGAAATCTTGGAACTCAAGAACACAATCAATCGCATGGTGGACCAGCTGCAGCAGTTTGCTCACGAAGTCACCAAGATTGCGCGAGAGGTCGGATCTGAGGGTCGACTTGGTGGACAGGCTACAGTGCATGGCGTTGAGGGTACCTGGAAAGATCTCACTGAGAATGTGAACGGTATGGCCATGAACCTCACAACACAAGTGCGAGAAATCGCCGAAGTCACTACAGCCGTCGCAAGAGGAGATCTCAGCAGGAAGGTCAAGGCAGAAGTTCAGGGTGAGATTTTGTCACTTAAGATTACCATCAACACCATGGTGGACCGCTTGAACACGTTTGCACAAGAGGTTAGCAAGGTCGCCCGTGAGGTCGGAACCGACGGTATTCTGGGCGGCCAAGCACAGGTCGACAACGTTGAGGGCAAGTGGAAGGATCTGACCAACAATGTCAACACTATGGCTCAGAATCTCACGCTGCAAGTACGAAGTATTTCCGAGGTCACCCAGGCCATCGCCAAGGGAGACATGAGCCGCAGAGTTCACGTGGACGCCGAGGGAGAGATCCGATTACTCAAAGACACCGTCAACGACATGGTTATGAGACTCGACGAATGGTCTCTAGCTGTGAAGCGTGTAGCTCGCGATGTAGGCGTAGACGGAAAGATGGGCGGTCAAGCAGACGTGAGAGATATCGACGGCCGATGGAAAGAAATCACCACAGACGTCAACACCATGGCCCAGAACCTTACGTCACAAGTGCGTGCTTTCGGTGACATCACCAACGCTGCAATGGAGGGCAAGTTCACTCAAATCACCGTCGAGGCTTCTGGTGAGATGGATGAATTGAAGAGGAAGATCAACCAGATGGTGTCCAGTTTGCGAGAGAGTATTCAAAGAAACACGGCTGCGAGGGAAGCAGCCGAGTTGGCCAACAAAACAAAATCCGAGTTCCTCGCCAACATGTCTCACGAGATCCGAACGCCCATGAACGGTATCATTGGAATGACCCAACTTACGCTCGACACCGACCTTACGCATGCGCAACGAGAGATGTTGACCATTGTTCATAATCTGGCTGGTCAATTACTGACAATCATCGACGATATCCTTGATATCTCCAAGATCGAGGCGAACCGCATGGTAATGGAAGAGATTCCATTCTCAATGCGCGGCACTATATTCAACGCACTCAAGTCATTAGCATCAAGAGCCAACGAGCGGAAGTTGAACCTTGCTTACGACGTCTCTTACAAGGTGCCCGACTACGTTGTTGGTGATTCCTTCAGGTTGAGGCAGATCATTCTCAACCTGGTTGGTAACGCTATCAAGTTTACTGAGCTCGGAGAAGTCAAGGTGGCTATATCCATGGCGCAAGAACAAGAATGCGACCCAGATCACTATGTGTTCCAATTTGCCGTTTCCGACACCGGAATAGGTATCCGTGGCGATAAGCTCAATCTTATTTTTGACACCTTCCAGCAGGCGGACGGCTCGACAACAAGAAAGTTTGGAGGCACTGGACTCGGTCTGTCTATCTCCAAACGTCTCGTCACTCTCATGGGTGGTCGCATGTGGGTCGAATCAGACGTTGGCAAGGGCAGTGTGTTCTACTTTACATGCAAAGTGCGTCTCGGCAAGCCGGCAATTCAAGCCATTCAGCCTCAGCTCGTGGCATACAAGCAGCACACGGTTCTCTTTGTCGACCAAGGCAACACTGGGTTCTCGGATCAAATTATCGAGCACCTTAAGACACTCGATCTTGTGCCTATGGTGGTTCACTCGGTTGAGGAGGTACCCGAGACGACGAAGAGGACTGACATGCCGTACGACTGCGTCATTGTCGACAATGACAAGACGGCACGGGAGCTTAGGATTGCGGAACGCTTCAAGTACATTCCTCTCGTCATGCTCACGCCACACGTATGCATCAGCCTCAGGTCTGCGCTAGAAAACGGTATCTCGAGCTATATGACGACGCCCTGTCTACCAATCGACTTGGGCAATGCGCTCATTCCGGCACTTGATGGCCGTGCCGCACCTCTGGTCTCAGACCATTCCAAATCGTTCCAGATTCTTCTGGCCGAAGACAATGCTGTCAATCAGAAGCTTGCCGTCAGGATTCTGGAGAAGTATCATCACAGAGTCACTGTGGCTAACAACGGTCTTGAGGCCTTTGAACACATTCAAAAGAAGCGTTACGATTGCGTACTTATGGATGTGCAAATGCCAGTCATGGTAAGCTAGGCTCTCGCTAACTCGAGGTTCGCAGCTAACAACATTTTAGGGTGGTTTCGAAGCCACGGCGAAGATCCGTGAATGGGAACGCGACAACGGCATTCCTTCAACACCAGTCATTGCACTGACGGCGCACGCCATGGTTGGCGATCGCGAGAAGTGTCTCGCTGCACAGATGGACGTACGTTACTACTATTCCATTACGTTTTTCCACTACTAAATTAGCTCTCAGGACTACCTTTCCAAACCTCTACGCCAAAACCAACTCATCCAAACAATCCTCCGGTGCGCCACAGTCGGCAGTACAATGTACGACCATTCCAGCGAGCCACGCTACACAGCGTCATCCCACCTCCCCAACATTGCTCTTCCCGCAAAGGGTAACGACAATGGAGGCGCGTCATCATCATCTGGGGGACTGCCTAGTCCCGGCAAGAAGCGCCCACAGCTCGATACACGAGGCTTCACAGAACGAGGTGGTGGGGCACAGAGCCCAAATCTTCTGGCGGTGGATCAGACGGATAATGGCAGTGTCGAGAGAGTACGTTCCTTGTCCGCTAGTTTGTGAGTAAATTGACCCTAATATGTGTGTGTTGTAGCTTTTGCTGCGGAGTCATAGTAGCTGAGTTTGTGACCTTTCAAGGAAGAGGAGAAGGCTTGATTAGAAGCCTGGCCACCAATCATCGTCGTCCTCGTCGTCGACATACCGAAAGAACTGTTTTAGCCGGCTGTCGAATCATTACCGAATATCCACAATCTCCAATCGAAGCGATGGCTCTTAGGCGGAAGGATGGGGACTGGGCACGGTCGGATTGGATAGCGAGTATTGGCGTTTTACTTGTCCTTGTTGTTGTTCTGGTCTGGAGTATCACCTCTTCCCCACCACTCTTGTTATTGCATGCTTTTGCGCAAACCTCTTTTGCATATCTTGGGCGTTTTGTTCCTCTGGGTTTAAATGGCGGTCTGATTGGCGTGCATTTTTGTGTGTATTGGATACCTTCGCTTTACCAAGGACTGAATCTATTTTGGCGGTGCTCAAGTCGCTCTTGCAATTCTGAAGAAAATTTGCCGCTGCAATAGGAAGGACTAGATTCGCTGATGAGTGAGGGCCATGGCGGGGCCAAGCGGGACTCAGCCGCACGCCTTGAAAGGGATGCATGCATTTTGGGGCACTCGCTGTCCTCTTTGCAAGTCTTGTGATTATGCGACTGCCTGAGTGACCAGAGTAGGCTTACTTGTACGGGTCATATGGCTGTTGTGATATATACCTGAATTGCGCTCGTTGCAGGAAACTAGAATGTCGCGATGCTATACTTGCTTTTTACGAGGCGCGGGTGTAAGACTCGATGTTATCGCCCACAAAAGTTAGTTTGGGGGCATGGCGTGAACAATTACTGATCGCAATGAATATGCTCTGTTTTATCATACTTGACTAGGGTAGACCAAGAATCCGCTGCATGCAGCTAGAGGAGGATTATTTTCGCGTCTCTCGCGCGCCTCGGTTGACGTCGCCGTACATGGATGCACGCCAAGCTGCCTGTAGACATGTCTGCTTCACCGGAGCGAAGCAGAACAAAAGTCCTTCAGCTTTCAGCCTCGTTGCCAACTCAGCAGCTGCGCAGGAGGCTTTTTTGCGCGCCCTGTGTACCGTTGGTTTGCACATTTTCGCCTGATGCATGGCTCTATTGGATTTGATTGTATCTGATGACATCACGTTTGGCCTAGCAAAGACAGCCCTCTCGGTAATCATGGGGGACGCGACAAGTCGGACTGCGCAGCGCAGTGCCTGTCGCATTATCTCCAGTCGTCGTCGACTTGCAACCTACCCCCCACTGCGTAAGGCTATCATGGCCCCAGTACGGTAGGACGGGAGCGCCTTGTTCGCTTCTCTTCACTTCACGTTTATTCACCTCTTTGTCCAACTTGTTGTTCGATTTCACCACCTTCGTCGCTTCCCGCTTCATCGTAAATCTGGTAGAAGGCCCGCGCAACGCGTCGCGCCCGCCACCGTAACTGCCTCGACAGCTCTTTCCCTCCCAGCTGGACCGGCACGGCAGCCTGATATCTGGGCCTCACGCTCACTATTCACTTTCACCTCACCGCAGCACTCCTCACGCCCTTCCGCCGTAAAATCGCCTGCGCCGTACTCCTTGCGACACAACCCCCACCACCACCGCCAACGCCCTTCGCTACAACCACCCCCTATTGCTCGGGTACTTCACCACGGCAGTTCCTTCCTGGACCAAGATGGCGTCGCAGGAGGCCATGAATATTCAAGAGCACATCGAGCTCATCAACACCGTTCTTCCCAACGTGAACGCCAATGACAAGCCAGTCTACGAGAACATGCTGATGGAGCTGTACCAGAGGCTATCAGATGAGCAGCGGCAAAGCGAAGCCGATGCTGAAGCCATGGCCAGAGCTTTCCAGTCCAACAACGGCAACAGCGATAACGGTGTCTGGGAACAGGGCCAACAACACGACCCCACAAACTGCCACAGCGGCCCGTCATACAGTAATGGTGCTTCATACGGCTTGCAGGTACCTTCGACGCCTCTGCCTTCTCTAAAACAGAGCCGGAAACGAAGCCTTGGGTTATCTGACTTTCCTGAGGCTAAACGTGTCAGTGGGCAGCCAAGTCCGGTAACTCCAACTTCGCCCGTCGGCCCTTGGTCACAGTCGCTTCCGAGCCGGCAGTCCTTTTCTCATCATCAGTCCGAGCCTATACCCTTTGTTGACCTGACTGAATCTGACCCACCTTCGCCTGAAGGATTTGAGCTCCCTGCTCGTGCGTATGCGCAGTCCGATCCCATTCAGTATCAGTTCTATGAACCATTCCCAGAGTTGAACGCTTATCAAGGAGGGCATGATCATGGCGTCATGTCACCTGCTGATGCATTCAACCAGGAATTCATGGCTCCAGAAGAACTTGCTGAGTTTCTGATCGCTCCGAGTGCACCAGGCAGCGGTTACGGATTCCAGCAACCAGTCACTCATCATCAACAACAACGTGCCGGAGCAGGCTACCCTTATCCTTCTTTGCGAGGGAGAGATAGTGACGAGGACAACTATGGCAGTTTCCCTCTCAATGTTGACGAGGCGGCCGCGATAGAAAAGCTTTTCGAGAATATTAAGGATGATGGTGAGAACATCAAAGATCGAGAGCCCACACCGAAGAATATGACTTGCATCCTGAAGGAGTATCAGCGTATCGGTCTCACATGGCTGCTCAAGAAAGAACGAGGCTCGACCAAAGGCGGCATCTTAGCAGACGAGATGGGTTTGGGCAAGACAATACAAGCTCTGGCTCTTATCTGTGCGAACCCATCCACTGACCTGGCTTGCAAGACAACACTCATTATTGCACCTGTTGCTCTTATGCGACAGTGGGAGAAAGAAATTGAACGCCATGTCCATCCTCGTCATAGGCTTAGTGTTCACCTGTACCATGGCAGCGGTAAAAACGCCGATTTCGCTCGGCTCCGTCAATACGATGTTGTCTTGACCACGTTCGGATCTCTCACCTCGGAGTACAAGCAGAGGGAGTCTTCAAAGGAGGCCATTCTCAACGACCAAGAGCTGCGTAACCCTAGCATGCGTCGCAAAGCCAAAGACAGGCTTGCGCTAATGGGACCAGAGTGCATGTGGTATCGTATCATCATTGACGAGTCTCACAACATCAAAAACCGAAACTCCAAGTCCTCCAAGGCTTGCGCTGATCTCATGGCTAAACACCGCCTGTGCATGACAGGTACGCCTATGATGAATAGCGTTGATGAGCTTTACCCGCTCCTCCGGTTCTTGAAGGCGGAGCCGTATTGTACGTGGAACAAATTCAGTCTCGAGATTGCCAAAGTAAGTGTAGAGTAGGACGATCTATAGTATCGTACTTCGCTGACGAATGGTAGCCCATGAAGACCACCAACGAGCACACCAAGAAGCGCGCGCTTGATCGCATCCAAATCTTGATCAAGGCCATCATGCTCCGACGTCAGAAAACCACCGTTGTCGATGGGGAGCCCATCTCCAAGATCCCACCTAAGCACTCCGTCATTGATAATGTGGAGTTTGAAGACGAAGAATATGCTCTGTATAAGGCTCTCGAAACCAAGTCGCAGCTTCAGATGAACAAATACCTGCAGAAGGGTACTGTCACAGCCAATTACGCCAATGTTCTGGTTCTACTGCTTCGTCTCCGCCAAGCATGTTGCCATCCTCATCTGATCAAGGACCTCAGCCAGCCGGCGACTGAGGGTATTGCCGAAGACGACCTCTTGATCCGTGCTGAAGAGTTGAATGATGATGTCATCGTGCGGCTGAAGGCAAACGATACGTTCGAGTGCCCAATTTGTCTCGAAGCTGATCCAAATCCGACCATCATCATTCCGTGTGGGCATACGGTTTGTGGTGAGTGTGTCCAGAAGCTCATCGATCCAGCACTGCGTGCTGCACAGGATGGCAACGATGAGACCAGCACGCCCAGGTGTCCGCACTGTCGCGGCGAGCTAAAGGCTAAGCTCATAACGGACTACAAGCATTTCTGCAAAGTCCACTGTCCTGACCGTCTTGGGTCGGCCGACCTATCTGAAGAAGAGGAGGCCGTGGTCGAGGACGAAGACTCTGACTCCGACTCTGAGGACGAAGATGGCGCGCCAGATATTGACAAGAAGGGTAACCTAGCTGGTTTCATTGTCGACGATGATGAAGATGAGTACGCAGCCGACGAGGCGGACGACGACGATAATGTTGGCTCCGCACCCGAGATCAAGGTGAAGTCCGAGGGTAAGAAGTCGAACAAACGTAGCAAGGGTAAGGGTAAGGCACGTGCCAAGCCCAAGCAGACTCTTGCTCAACTCAAGAAGGAGTCGCTCCGCAACAAGAGCGCCAAGAAACGCTACCTGCGTCGTCTGGACAAGACCTACATCACGTCTGCGAAGATCAGCAGGACTGTTGAACTGATCAAGGAAATCAAGAAGAACGATGCGACCGAAAAGACGCTGGTCTTCTCTCAGTTCACGTCCTTGCTGGACCTTGTCGAAGTTCCTTTGTACCGTGAGAAAATCACATATCGACGCTACGATGGCAGCATGAAGATGGATGAACGTGCCGATGCTGTCAACGCTTTCATGGATGATCCAAACGAGAATGTCATGTTGGTTTCCCTGAAAGCTGGCAACGCTGGCCTCAATCTCTGGAAGGCATCGCGAGTGATCATACTGGATCCTTTCTGGAACCCATTCATCGAAGAGCAGGCTGTTGATCGTGCTCACCGCATGCCTCAGAAGCGCGAGGTCCATGTACATCGCATTATCGTGCCTGAGACCGTTGAGGACCGTATCGTCGCCATCCAAGACAGGAAGCGTGATGAGATCAATGCCGCTCTTGACGAGAAGGCATCAAAAAGTCTGACTCGTCTCAACTTGAATGAGCTCAAGTACCTGTTCGGTATGGGCTAGTGTATTCTCCAGAACGGACAGGTTTTCTCCTGTTTTCCCTTTTGTATGATCCTTCATGGTCTCGGTTCCAAGTCTCAATATTCCCCTTTCAAATACCTGTTTTTCACTACGACGTTGCGCAAGCATCTGTCTCCCGCATATTTAGACGCACGAACGCATACTTTCACATTTTGATACCCGATCTCAAAGATCAAGACTGCCTTTTCTCAGGGGGATATATATCGACGTAGGATGCGGGTATGTGGCGTTTTTGCTTCTACTTCACGGCGTACACGAAAGTGGATGGGAGTTCTAATGGCACAACGTAATATAATATCGACGTACAATTCGGTATTTAATGGACTTCGTTTTAATTGTGCCATTCGTATAGTAACGTTTCTGAGCTTACTCCATCTTCCAAGCCCATGATTTCGTGTGGCTGGGTTTACAGGAAACAGGTAACGTTTTCAACGACACGTTTGACAGATTGTGTGGAACGCGCTTGTTCTTTCGAGACATAAACAACCCATTTATTACTGATATCAATCTAGGAAAACTTGAGGAACACTTTTGCAAAGGAATCTACCACCAACAATGTCTTGAACCTGTTCTGTCTGACTCTAACTTCCAACGCTTTGGTGTCTTTTCCAATTTTTGCCCATCGCACATAGTCTGTAATATATGCCCTTGTTAACTCAGACGCTTGAGCGCAACGTCAGTCACTTGCAACAAAGCGCTCGTCGAATACTTAGATGTCAAGAAAACAAACTGATAGGGTTTTGTTGCATCGGGTGTATGTTTCCACACGGAAGCATTTATGATGCGGCCTCAGTCCCGTCGCGCCTTGTTGCGCTGCCCAACAGCCTTTCCAGACTTCTGATTGCTGCACATCATTTACAAATTTACTACGCAAATGCGCAAGCGGGCTCGCCTCCAGTGACTTAACGAGATGAAGCTGACCTTTGCGGCAGCCATTGGCGCGCGTTAAGCTGTTGCCGGTTGCATCCCCGCAGCGCATCCTATGCTCTTCTCTTACTTGTCCAGATCATTGTATGACGGTACGCACATATTTAAGAGCGCGAGGAATACAGCGGCGGCGATCTGCTAGATGTGCGCACCTCCTCTCAAGCACCTTCGCCACTCCTTGAACTTCAGCCTCGTTCACTTGCACACGCCAGATCGCACTCTATCACGTCGCGTCCAGCAGCTCATGCTTGTCACTGTTCGTCACTTTGTGCGCCACCGTCACGCATCACGATCCAGAAAGACATAGTGAAATATTCTCATATATTATCATCCAAAACAACAACTCAGCAAAAGACCCTTGAAATATGTGCCTGCCATACTATCGTTCAATGTAAGACAGGAAGAGAAACCAAGAAAGATTAGGTATCGCGTCTATTCCTCGATTCCTTCAAGGTTTTGGGTAAGGCCTCTGGTGTATTTCGTCTTCCCCTTGTTCTTCTTATCATTCGGATTGCGCTTAGCTTTGTCGTCGAGGGCTGCATTACCTGGCGCTGAATTGCTGGCAGTCTTCCGGGAGCTGTAGATAGCGCCGGACACAGGGATTGGGGAAATGGCATCGCTCGCGTTTGACCGGTCCCAAAGTAAGTACTCTCTGTTACTGATCGCTTTCTGTAAGGCAGAATACATACTCACCAGCTCTTTGACATTATTGCCGCTCTGGGAAGTCTCACTGATTCTGGCTTCGATGTTTTTCAGTTCATCTAAGGCTCTTGTCTTGAGTTGAGTGTCTGTCAACGGAACTTTTTCGGCGTTGGCATCTTTGATCATATCCCAGGTGACCGTCTTACCCCAGTTCATAAGATCGTAAACTCTGTTCGGACCATCTTTGAAAACCGCCTTTGGATGGTCGGTACACTGTGGCGACTTTACAGAAAAAGAGTTCATACAGCGGACACGATGCGATTTTCCCTCATGATTTACGTATACCCACTCCAGGCAAAATCCAAAGATACCGCCCCGGAAAGCCTTCCGACTTTTGGCACCTCCCTCTGGCACATGGTGGGACGATTCGAACGAAACGCCTGTGGCACCGTTCATCACATTGTCATTCCAGTCACCGCCCTTCCAGACACGGACGGTCTTGGAGTAGAGGTCGTCGAGATTGCGGATTACATAGTCGTCGGGTTGCGGTTGCTCCATGAAGGTGAGTCGAAGAGGAATCGACTTTGCTTTCTTGTCACCCTTGTGGTCTCCTGAGGTCAACTTGCTTTTGGTTCTGTTGAAGCTAGGCATCTTAGGCTGTCTCTGTGTCGTCTAGTAGCTGAGCTTTGCTATGAATAGTACGATGAGTGGCTATGTGTTGTAGTTGAGAGCACGATGGGCCAGTATCCGTCCTTATGACTGATGTAACTCGGAGTGTCGGAAATTGGAAGGTTAGGTGAGGGCGTCGATGGGTTGCGGATGTAAAGACTCTAAGTATGTGTACGTTGTCAGGAAGTTAGTTTTGATTCTCGGTGGAGAGGTCGAGAAGCCAGTGGAGCGAGGTCTATGCCGGTCCTGTCTGGTAGGGCGCTGAGGGCCTTTGATATACTGTGAGGCGCAAGGGGTGAATTACAGCAGCTCGAAAAGAGCCGTGACAGTCATTCATGGTAAGGCTCGTGTAGGTTTCGAGAGCACTGTACGTGATTCACAAGGACCGCAAGAGACGGAAAGCCCCATACTAATACCGACATATTCATACTTGGCTATGTGTGAAAAACCATTGCATGTAAGAGTTTTTTTTGACGCCTGTCTCTGTTTCCGTATCTAGGCTGTCGGTTTCATGACATACAAAAGACCTCATTGGGACTGTTGCTTGGTATCATGTCGATTCTCTGCTTCGCCTCGCAGGACGTGGGACTACACGGTGGACGTGAACGATAGACCAAACGGGAACCTACCGTAAGCATAACGTAGAAGCTACACAATGTTGTTCCACTTCATGCTGAGGAAATTATATTGAGTGCTGTCTTTGTGAAAAAGCTCCGATAACGACCGTAGAAGTCCAGGTAGCTGCTCAGGCTTAGGGTATCAGCTCTTCTTCACTCATAGTTTTGCATTACGTGCGGTGCAACTCATCTTTTGAGCACTGACCTCACAGGAAGAGCGGTCTTGAAATATTATATTCACTCAGTGTGCCTGTGCCTTTCTTGCTATAAGATTCTTCCACACTGCGCCTTTATCTTCTTCCACTCTTTGTCTGACGTTGAGAACTCAACTTTGGAGACAGCAACGATCAAACTTTGAGTCGCACAATGATGTTTGGTCTCAAGAACAAGAAGCGCCTAAATGCCGCAACTACTGGCTTCTCTTCCGAACCCAAGCCTTCCGCGTCAACCCGTACTATTCAACGCAACTCATTCGAAAAGGTAGTTACTGCCGGCAAGAACCTCTGCTACAACCTTTCCGTCACCCTGACCCGCAAACCTTGTCGACAGACTTCGCCGATAAATCGGTCCACCTCAGCAAACCGCCCATCAAGCAACGCATCGACTGCCACAACATCCAACCAGAACTTAGACAACTGTGACGCGGGTTCGCTATGTCAAAAGTCTTCAAGCTCTACGTTACTAACTGAAAGTTCTCTCCTGGTTCTCGATTGTGGCGAGACGTTCTACGTGCCTGGCATCTCACCTTCTAGGTCCCACCTGGATACAGGACGAGCACCTATTCAGGAACCAAACGGTCTTTCAGTATCCTCAATGGAATCTGCCACGTCTTGGAACAACACCAAATCTTTGGACCAACCTGAAGAGGAAATTCCTGCGGTGCCAGAGCAGCTCTATGTCAAGAAAGGGATGAAAGATCGTTTGTGTCGACATCTCAAGGCTACTTACAAGAATTTAATCCTCCCACGATTGCTCCGTTTTGGTCGCAATTCCAGTAGATATGGCTCCGCTGTTGATGAAGATGCGCCACCCGCAATCAATGAGCCAGTCGACCAGTGCGAAACCGTGGATACTGATTCAGACGACGACGACGACGACGACGACGACGAAGAAGAAGAAGAAGAAGAAGAAGAAGAAGAAGAAGAAGAAGAAGGTGATGGCTCCCACCCACGTTGTGACTTCCAGACTATTGCAGCCATTTCCGATGCGAAGTACCATGAGCTCTTCAAGGCATGCAACCTGTTCCCTTCCGCCGATTGTGTAGCTGTAGTGCGTCGCGACAAAGGTGCATACAATGCGGCAACTTTTGTCGATGTCCTTGACGGTGGAAAAACCCATAAATTCGTGGTCCGCGTGCCTGGTCACGGAACACTTGAACACTGGACAGATGAAGATGCATACGTGTTAGAGCGCGAGGCCCAACTCATTGAGTACATTCGCAAGAACACTGCCGCGCCCGTCGCACAGGTTATCGACTATGCTACTGGCCACGAAAATGCGCTTGGCTTCCCTCACATTGTGATGACGATGCTGCCCGGTAAGCCTGCTTACACGCTCTGGTTTCCGGAAGGATACCCTTTTGTAGGGGACGACGATGTCTTCCGTGATGCGGACGTCCCCCCTCCCTACATCGAGAAAAGGCGCGTTACATTTCTACGCTCATTAGCGAAGGTAATGACACGTATCCAAAGCCTTGAGTTTGATGGCATTGGAGTGCCTGCCTTTGATAACGATGGGAGACTTACTGGCACTGGCCCTACATGTCATTTCAAGCGCGCGTCCGATGCTTCATTCAAACGTCAACCAGCGGCGACTACTCAGGAGTATCTCCAGGCTCGCATGAAATCCAAGGTGAAACATTTGGATGAGCAGCACGAGCTCGGTGATTTGGACGGCCTCCTTGAAAACCTTGGTATTCGAACCATCCTCAACCTGGTCTTTGCTCAACCTGCTTTCCATGGACCGGCCGGCGAAACTTTTACTATCCATCATAACGATCTTGATCTGCAAAACATTCTTGTCGATGAAGAAGGCAATGTAACCGGCATCATCGATTGGGACAATGCCATGTCTGCACCACGCTGCGTCGGTGCTTCAGCCGTTCCAAGGTTTCTACGCAACGATTGGTTCCCAGAGTGGGAATCCAGGCTGGAGGTCTCGCCATATATGGCATGGAACTACCATCACTACCGTGAGATCTATGCAGCGGCTCTGGTTGAGGCCGGCAACATCGAGGATGCCAAATACACAACTAAATCTGCCCTCTATCAAGCCGCTATCGCTACATGCACCGAAGGTGTGAGCGACTACGACTTCATACCGAAATTACTCCACGAGATTCCCCATTGTCGCGTCGATGCCAGTGACTTCTTAAAAGGTCTGGGCATGGGTGCTTGGCATTCAGCAATTCGCATGCTCGAGACACACTTCGCAAAGATATTCGAACCAGAGCTGCCTTCCGAAGGTCTACTTGAGGCGCTAGACGTCGAGCTCGAGATGCAGACCACTTGGTGGTCATGTTGTGATGAGCTTCTTAACCTTTACGAGGATGAAAAGACTGATGACGTTTCTCGATCGTCACACATCAACTATTGATAAAGATCGCAGCTGTTCTCGGAAACGAACACCCCTTGTCTTAGCATCACCTTACTGTAGAAGATGACGTTCGGCTCTATCACCAGTGCTTAATCAACGTGATACATACTCTAACTGAACTATTGGCGCATTCTTACATGCACTTGCTAGCTAGCAGCATCGACAACGATAACACAAAAGCCTCAGAGCTAGTACAGAGGGTCATTTCGGGTTCTTCTTCTTGAATGACTGCAGTTGTTCTGTCTTTGTACTTGGGGTCAGCGAGCATATACATATACATTGCATTTTCCTACGCGAAATCATAAAACACAAAAATGAATCAAAGGATCTCTCATTCACGACCCAAGATGCTTAGTGATGTGACGTAGTTGGAGCTGTACTCCTTCGCACCGAGCCTCGTGTTCTGCGTTGGTGAATAAGGATGGCTTGCTTTACCCATCAGGAACAGCCAGCTCAATGTGGAGCATTCCTACCAGTACGATCCAATTTTCGTTTAAAACACCAAAACCGCATTATGTATATATGAATAGATCACCTACGCTTCGTGATACATCAATCTACGCGGATTCTCCTAGATTCAACGCCGACGGTCCCGGTCATCGCGGCGATAGCGATCTCGACTCCTGTCCCGGCGGCTGTCACGGTGGCGATTTGGGCTACGACTTCGCTCTCGCCTGCGGTCATTGTACCGTCCATCATCGCCATCGCGACGTTCGCGCTTGGGACTCCGGCTACGATTCCGCTTGAAGCGGTCGTCATGGTATTCCTCCCTCCTCTCACGCCTCCGTGTATCGTCCCGTCGTCTATCCTTGCCGCTGTCCTTTGGACCTTGTGTAGTATCTTGTGCAACATCTCGGTCGACGACCAGATTGTTTACAACAGAATCTGACATGATCTGGCGCCCGGAGCCATCGCGATACTGCTTTTTCTTCTCGAGATTGTCGATACCACCAAAACCGCCAGCAGCCCGCCTCCTCTTCTTATTTGTAACATCCCGCCAATCGTCGGCTATCTTTGAAACGGACTGGGAGAAGTCAACATGTATGCGGTGGTCGTCGATCAGAACACCATCCATCTTGAAATAGGCCTGCTCGCAATCCTTCTGGTTGGTGTATTCAATGAAGGCGTATTGCAGGCTATCACCTGTACGCTTGTCTCTAATGACCTCACAGCTAAGGATCTTGCCAAATCGCGAAAAGATGAGCTCCAGATCTTCGTCTTGCGTCACTGGGTTGAGCTTGCAGACGAACAGCACGTTCTCAGGGGGTGCTACTTCGGCGAATGGCAGATCGCCAACCATCTCAAGCGTAAGTGCTTGTGCGCGCGCCTCACGTTCTCTGCGAACCTTTTCCAAGGCTTCTGGGTCATTGTCCTCGTCGAGGTTTTCATCGTATGCGACGCGGACGGTGGCGAGCTGCGCAGCCGAGGGCACGGGGCTCTCTGGTGGCTCGGCGAGGCCCGAGGGGTCGTCGTATGGATCATCGAGGACGACGGTGTGTAGTATGCGAATGTCTTTGAGTGGCTGTCCCTGATCGTCGATATATGCTGTGTTAATCTTGTCCAGTGTGTCAAACCCCTCTACGACTGTGCCGAATATGGCAGCTTTGCCGTCGAGGTAGTCGATGTTTTGTCCCAGGGTGATGATGAACTGGCTCCCAGCGAAGCGCTCGTCTGGATCTTCGGGATTGGGCGCGGTAGCCATGCTGACGGTCCCCATGTCGGCATGCCTGAGTTTCGGCCTGAACTCGGGCACGAACGTCTTCTTCGCTGGCTGGGCAGGGTCGAGCAAGCCCCATATTGAGCGGCCGCCGTCACTGTCTTTGGAACCGGGGCCGATGGGATCGCCAGTCTGGAAGGAGAAGTTTGGTTGGACGCTATGGACGGGGGCAAAGTTGTAGTACTTGACTTTGCAAAGCTTGAGGAAGCTAAGGCGACAAATTGTCAGTGTCTATTGTATGCTCAGCTTGGGAAGACAGCGGGATGGAGCATGCAGCATGCAGGTGCAAGAACCCAAGGCGCGTAGGGATTGGGCCGACTTACTTTTCACAGCATTTGGGCGCATCGTCGACCAACAGGTCGATGGTGATGTCGCCGAGTGACGTTTCCAGCAGCACAGACATGGTTTGGGTGGTGTCGTGCCGCAAACAAGTGTTTGTCGCAAATGTTCGTCAACGCGCGCGCGATAGCAGCGCCCGAGACCGCGTAGCCTTGCTGCTTAGTCACCATGACGTAACACTCGAACCGGCTTAGCTCCAGGTACTGTCGCCTTTCTCCATCTTCACGTCTCGCAAGCTGCGGAACCAATACTCTCTGGGCAACGTGTCCCAGCAGCCTTCAGGTCATCTCGCACTCCATTCCACATCACTTCTCATTCCCCACCACCCGCACACAAGGGTGGGGGTTGGACCAGACACCGCTGCTCCGACACATCGAATTAGAGACGCGCAAAAGCGACGCAGACTTCCGTGTCTGTCAAGCCTCGTCCAGAAATAGCAAGGGCATCTGGAATGAGCTTTAAGTACCTACAAGAGGCGGGCCGTTGAGTGTTACCCGGTGTCTGACAGCTATCCATGTCCAATGTTCGGGAAGCCGCTGCACTGCCTGCTGCACATCGATCCGAAATCCCCAGCCCCATCATGCCAGGGGTCTTCAGCCAACGAGCCATCTGCCACTTGTGCCAAAGTCTGTCGAGATGTGCACTAGGCATAGCTCCCCGTCGTCGGTTGCTGGAATTCTGGAAGCGGGCCTCTACTTCTCGCTTCGACCTGTTACCACCCGAAGCCTGACAGCTCGGATCCGTGAGCGAACCCATTGTTTCTATACTCATGTGCTATAACGTCGGCTCGTCGGCAAAACAACTCCACAGTCATCGCTGTGCATTAGCTCTCATGAGCTCTCCTATCTCATGGAGAAGACACAGCATGGCTGATAATTACAAGTGTGGTAACACCGTCACTATCAAAACGGTTCTTTAACACTTCGCTCGTGTATACTTGCACATACTATGTCTATAGACGCACAGAGACGATGGATCCGCGAGCCTTGTAAGCGGCCTGTCATCCCAGCCCCACGGACCTCCCACAGGTCATGGATATAATTCAACTTGCCACAGCTGTGCAACACCAAGTAACCACTGGTGCAAATCTTTGCTTACTGTAGGTTGAAAACTTTGATCAGCAAAGACTGCTTTATGATGATAGATCGTCTGTGGAGACTGTACATCAAAGTTTGCTTGCTCCTTGGCGTATTTCATGCTGCGCTCATTGGCTTGTCGGAAGAGGGATCGCGCCTTTTCATCGTAGGCTCATGGAAGGATCTCACTTCTAAAGCCGAAGCGCCATAGAGCTCTCGGCACTCCAGGGCGTGCTTGTCTCGACAGCCCGCTGATCCAAAATTTAAGCAGTCTGAAATCCGACTCATTAAACGCGCAACATCGTTTTAAGAAGCGCTATGTAGCATGTCTCTCAAGATCGGGCTTGGATGTAACGATCTAGAAGCCGGAACATCGTCAACAAGTACCGTATCGGTCAGCCTTGTCTGGAATAGGTATGTTACCCATCGGAACTCTTCCCCAGCTTTCCCCGTATACCCGTTCACCATGGGGCTATGAGGCACGCAAGCGGCAGCGTACGTTTTCCGGTGTGCAGGGCCGTTGAATAACTAGCCGTGAAGTTGTGTACTTCCTGCATGATCTCCAATGATCAAACCTATAGAGTTGGACAGATTGCAGGCAAATGACGTGATTATGGTTTTGAGCAGTGGACTTGATTCGGACTCAGGCCCACCAGCAACTTCCTTACGAAAGTGGCTGTCATCTGCAGGTACATTTCATTGCAAACCATTAGCACTCAATGCGGTTATTTGGACTAACAGAATATAGTCCATGGGATCAAACATGCCAATGCATATTTTGTGCGCTACTGAGCATCAACACTCGTAGATAGCAGCCTTTCCAAGACGACAGCCTTACATTGCCACTACGAAGTTCGCGCTTCAAAGATCGAGCGTATTCAACGATCTCAACACCCCTGCGAGTCTTGCTTATTCGTCATAGGTCGGGGCAGGCTGAATTACAGCATCAAATCCGTGCCTCATATCCCGGATCCGCGGTAGTACCACGCAGGTTACAAACATTTTGCGGCTGTTTGCCAAAGGCCACTCCTAGTCGATAACGTGGCCTGTTTGTAATAGGAGAGAAATCAGCGTTTGCCCGACTGACCTATTTGCTGAAGCCTCACAGCCGTATGGAGATCCCTTATGGGAAAAGTAGCGCCCATACCTTGAGCCTCCGTAGGTCTCTAGTCGGCTCTGGCGTTTGTTATGAAGCGGGTTCAGAACACTACCTAAGCGGTACCATGTTTCACCTGTCTTCTTCCCCACGGCGCTTGGATAACGCTCTCTTGGAAGCGCATGCTCAAGGCCCCTGTCACCTAGCGGTGACTGTATCGCGCATGCATGCATGCAGGTGTCCGAGGAGCTAACAGGATGGCCTTGTCAGTGGAAAGTACAAACAGTTCCGCGTTAAATGCTCTGATCGAAGATAATCATCCGCATTGCCCCAGCCACGTCAATCATTGAGCGAATCTTTCAAGCTAGTGTCACTACGCAAGAGACTCGTTTGGGCTATAAACGTAGTCCTGCCATCCGATCATCGTTTGATCTGCTCACCGGTCGATTACACCTTTCCGTGGAGCAATGCTCACGGTCCAGTCATTGCCTATTAAACATCCTTGACTCGAACATCGCATTTCGTGAACACTATCCGAGTCATCGCTAAGCGCAGTTTGTCAACAACCGTCGTTCTGCTTCTCGGTGTGATGCAAGTCGAACCCTCAAGTCAACTCGATCTCATAAGACTAACATACAATTGATTCGCCAGTATGTCAGTCATGGAGTACGACACCTCAAGACGCTGTTTGTCTCACAGCCTATCATACCCGAACTACACCTACGAACGTAATGCTCCGCTAGCGCTATCTCAAAGCACGAGAGAAAACCCGCGCGGTTATCCCATAGGCGGTATGCATAGCCGAGCTAGCATGGAAGATTCTTTGATGGGAACCGGGCCAGCGAGACGTCGCATTGCTGTAGCGGTAAGATAATGAGTGCTTCGAGATCAGTCGATACGTTCCTGCCGGACCGACAGACACAATCACCTCCCTTCTTGTCAAAGTTTTACTGACATACGATCCAGTGCGCACGGTGCCGCAAGAGAAAGATCCGATGCAGCGGTGATCCTGGAAATGGCACTGGTTGTGCAAACTGTCGACAGGCCGGGGTAGATCCAACGCATTGCCAATTTCACAGAGTACGTCAGACGATTACATTGCGTATATGTGCTAAGTCTGTCAGGTGGGATCCGACGCTGTTCATAAGGTGATAGATGACAGGAACATGGCTTATAGCCTTAGTGGTATGGCCAGTGGCATGGCTAGTGCGCACAACATGATGTCCGTTTACTCTACAGGAAGCAACAGCGCTCTTTATCAACGCCCGATATCGGCTCAGCAATACCAGCAGCTCGACACAAAGCCAATGTGCTCGTCAAATTGGACCATACCTTATTCCGATGACACGTCGCCAGTTGACGCTTACAGTCTTGAGCAATCTCAGGCATACATATCTCAGTCTACAGCAGTACCAAACACAAGCATGTATTCACCTTCATTTCGCTGGACTCAGCCGACGACAAAGGCTATCCAACAGGGCGGCATATACTTCGACCAGGGCTTGCATTTCCCTCATACAAACCATCGACTAGCTACGTCTTCGGATATATCCCCGCTCAATACCGGGGTGTCGTCTCTGCATTTGTCGTTACCCGAGAAGGCCCATACTCAACGACCCCTTCCTCTAGAATCCAGTGTACCTCGGAGGCAACTCCCAATGCCGCAGCCCAGTCCGGCACAGACCAATCGTAATGTTGTAGACCAGATGCAGGATGCTCGTCTTCGCTCTGCTCAGGCAATCGGCACCTCTGCTGTGGACAGTAGGACCTCATTCGCGAAACCTTCACTACCCTGGGCCAACGACAGTGAAAATCACACAAATGCATCCGCGGCCATACCGGCAGATGCCTTTACGCAAGCGATATCCCCAGTCGTGTCAGACAATGCGGAGAGTAGAATAGGCTATCTGCCGAACACAACATCCACTGCTGATGACACAATAACAACAACCACTGCATCCCATCTGGAGCTCAACTTCAGCACGTCTGGTCTCCTTGATGCGATGAGTGCACCAGCGCCAGCTACAAACTACTCTTATGTACGCGAAAGTCGTCAGATGGCACGACCAAGTTCCCAGACGAATCTATACAGCTATAGCCCCAGTTCTTCGTCAAAGCGAAACTCATTAAGTGGTGAGTCTGCGAGCGATTGCGCACTCGTAAGCGGTCATCGCTATACCCCTCTCAACCACTCTCAGTTGCAGAGCTCACCTGGAAATCGCAGCTTGCATCACGAGTCATACCAAAGCCGGAACGTGCAGCTCCATCGCACTTCCATGGGGAGCCTCAATAGCACTTACTGAGATACTCGTACCTGGTTGCATGACCGGTTGATCTCCATCCGTCAGCCCATTCATCCCATCTTTACTGCGATACACACGCCTTTCATCAGCAACCTGGCGTACTCAAAACGGCTTGACGATATGTCAATGTACAAGACCTTACAAGGACCGCATTCTCCCAGGAGAGTTTGAGTCCCCCGCGCATTACCTTCACGCATCCTGGACTCGGAACTCGGATTACCAAGCGCTTTGCAACTTCCATGAGCATATTTCTTGACCCAGTCACATTTGACTTTCGATGTTGTTCTCGCCGAACGGCAAGCCTTCCTCGGCTGAATTTGGCTCGTCTTTCTGTACTGCTTATATGATACTGCATTGTAACGCGATATGTTTGTCACACTGTTCTATATCATGTCACTTTATGTGTCATCGCCGGGCTACGACACAATACTTTATCGCACGGGCGGTTAATGTGTTTCATTGTATACCAACATCAGTATCATGTCTTTTGACCAAGACAAAACGCCAGGGCCACTCTTTAAGCACATCCCGCATCCTTATCAGGTTCACATTCTCTCACTATGGGGAAGACACATCGAAGCTTAGTATGTATACGATTGCGGCGCATGCGACACCACAAAAACATAGCCGGTCATGTACTGGATACTTTGTACTGATTAGCACAAGAGGGGTCGAGGACGAATAATGATAATCGTAACGAAATTTAACCCTATGGCTCCACCCTACAAAATGGGTAAGATGCTGCCACAGCTTGACACGCGTTGCTAAGCACCTCTCATGTCATTTGAAGAGAGTATGTGCGTCCTCACTTCTCTGAGGTATCTGCCTTAGCTGTATTACCATATTTTGACAGGCTACCCCTACCTTGCTGGCAGATACATTTGCTCGAGCCTAGTTTGCATGTCACCGACTTCAGAGATCTCCCTGCAGGACTCCCGAATAGGATACACACAGCTCCTCACGGAGACTAGACCACGAAGTCTTCTTTAGCAATACGCTCTCTGCCTCGTCCCGGTACACGCCAGAATACACACCGCCCTCATCTTCTGCACCAAACGCAGTAGACAAACGCGTTTCAGAAACGGGTCTCCGCTGCATCTGGACCCTGCTGCAAGGCAGATACAGGTATACCACCTTGTCCACGTTACACAAGTCTGCACACACAGAAGCACAAGGCCGGTCAGCAGGTGTCACACAGGATGTGCAGGAAAGAGCGTAGTATGGGGCTCCACATGCACACCGCACGCTCAGGGATCATGTTGGATAAATCGCATGTGCGCTGTGTGAGAGCGGTAATGGATGAGGAAAGGGGCCGATGGGCGGCATGGGCATTGTATGTGAATGGGGAAGAGATGCCGGTGATGGGCTGGTGTACAAAGGTGATGAGCAGCAAGCTAGAAGATGGCTTGTGGTATCGAAGGCTGTGACGTTGGTCTGGTTTGGGGTTGAGGAGGACGGACGAGCACTTGAAGGGTGCGTCGTGCTCCTCCACTAAGATCATTTGCCGCTAACGGACGCTAGGGTGTTGGGGGTGAAGGCTTTCGCTCAGCCTTGTCTTCCTTCGTCCTACACACTGCTCCTTTCCCGTCCAGCATCAGATATCTCTTAGTCAAGAAGAAAGGCCACACCGCTCAGTCACGATCGGTATAATGATAGAAAAATAGCGAATATGGCGTCACATCCAGGGCGCGAATGCTGTCAATCCATATATGTACGATAAGCCTACTCCAAACAGACACTTGTCTCTTCTCTTGTGTTCAGTAAGTGCTCATCGTAACACCCAACCTCCCTCCGTCATTAGCAAGTATCAGTCCATTACAGAAGCTGCCCGCCCGACTCGCAAGATACAATATTGTTCCACTCATTTCCTCTTCTCCCCCAAACCGACGTGCGGGGATAAAGTTCGGATCGTCGACGCTCTCCGTACTGGGATCTCTGCTCTCAATAATAGTATTGGCCATTTCTGAGGGAAAGACTAGTATATCTAATCAGCGGCAAGTCTCTAGAGTTGGGAGATTTGGAAGACGTGCATCCAGGTGCTAAAGCGTTAATCCGAATACCGTGCGGTGCAAGTCCCGTGCTAGCGTGTTTGACCATATGTGTGATGGCTGCTTTGCTCCCTGCGTATGCCGGCGCGCACTGCCACTCACGCAAAAAAGCGCCAACGCTAGATGTGATGATGACTTGTGACTGTATACTCGGTACCTTGCTGCCTTCTCCAAGTGGCTTACCAAAGCCACCATCCAGTGCATTCTTGTTCCCTGCATCCAATAACTCAAGGAAAGCGAACATGCTGAAGTATGTCGCAGTTGTGTTGACATGGAATGTCTGCGCAAATTCCTCCATGGCTGTGTCTTCGAATATGTTCTTTCGCAATTCTTGGACGCCGAGACCTGGCACGAAGCTTGATGTTGGACCTAGAATACCAGAATTTGCGACAAGTAGATTGATGAATCCGACATCTTTAGCGATGGTATCAACGGCGGCTTGTAGTGATTCTTTCGATGTTATGTCGCATTGCAGTGGGATAAGGCTTTCATGCTGTGCAGCTGCGAGTTCGAGTTTGTCTTTGCGGCGACCCAGAATGTATACTTTGGAAGCGCCTGCAGATACGAGAGCTTTGGCTATCATAAAACCAATACCTGGGTGCAATATTAGCGGTGCGACTAGAATCGTGGTTTGTTGAGGACTGCAGTGAGAACTCGAATCAGAACAAGATCATATGGAGATACGATACCTGTACCTCCGCCCGTGACAACAGCAATCATCTCCTGAACATGGAACAAGTTTAGAATATCCATTTCAGCGCTCGTGTACCACTCGGTCCTTCGCGAAGTGAGTAATCGTAACGCGAATGTTCTTGTACTATTGCTCTCAGCTCACCCCCTGTTTATTGATTGGTAATTCTACATATGATAAACCACTTGGAAACTATAAATGAAGTTACACATAACTTGGCAACGATGTTAAGCTTCAGAGTGGGATTGACGCTTGTAAGATGGTGAAGTGCGATAACGCCGCAAAATCCGACGGCGTCTCCAATGTCCATGCGTCGGCTTACGAAACCAGTGATCAAGATCGAGAAACGAACATCAGAGTAATCCGTGACGCTCTTTGATCAAATCTGCAGCCTAAATGCCGTTAGCAAAGATGGCTGTCATATAATCTCTATCGGTATCTTACCTTCTCTGCCCCAGCATATACACTAGCCTGTGGCCCACCACCAGCGACAAGAGGCCACGTGCTCGCATCTACTACGCTAATCCTGCGTGTTCCATAGACTCTGTTTTGCGGGTCGACAACACCACCGTCTTTCCTTGCCATCATAGCGGCCGTACAACATTGATGCGCGTTACTTGGCTCCAATGCTGCTTTGATACTCTCTTTGATGTCGTCCTCGTTTTCAATGCCTGGCGCGGGTGCTGTCTCGATAGGACCAAGGATAGCAAGATCAGGTGTGGCCATAAGTTCCCGGTTTTTCATATAGATGGCATACAATATATCAAGATCGGTCGAATCGGTGATTGCGCCATAGTCAATGAGTGGGGCATCGAGGACATTAGTAGATTTTATCTTGATAGATCCACGGCTAAAAGGACGCGTCATGTAGATACTTGTCTCTGGTCCAGTGTTCCATGACAAGCCACCCACAGCCTCCGTGTTGATGCCCTTGGTTATGATGGCACGCTGTTTCTCGTAACCAGCGAGTATGGATGGGTCGATATCTTTGCCCAGTATATCGGCAGGAGATATTGAAGCCGCTTTAGACATAATTGATACGGAGGCGTTTGTGAAGTTCGAAAGAGGCAGCTGAATGATTAGATTGCCAGTTGTACCAGTAAGGTCGTATGCGCTCGGCTTCCCCGTGTTATAGAGAACGCGTTGCTCCATGGCATATGTAGCGTTAGACTGCAAGGATCCACCGTTTGGAACGTGGTTGGACGTGTCTGGATCGATCAGTACTTCTATCTTCTCAAATTGGTAATTGGCTACGTACAATTGTAATTCACCTTCAGAACTAGATGATCCTGCAGGTTGCGACCGACGCCAGGGAGCTGGGAGATCGGCTCGATACCAAGATTCTTGAGATGAACTGGGTCACCAATCCCAGAGAGTTGTAGTATCTGTGGTGTATGTACGCTTCCAGCAGCTATAATGACTTCTCTGCTTGCTTGGACAGTACCTCTCGTACCATCGGAAGTGCTAATATGATCAACACCTACAGCGGTGAGATTTTCGAAAACGACACGCGATACTGCTGTATTCGGAAGGATGTGATAGTTCGGTCTTACAGCATCCCTGTCGTAGCGGTTGATGCGAGCTGAAGAACGCGTCTGTATTTTAGGATCGATAGAGCGAAGAAGGCGGAATACGCCTTGGGCGCGCCCACCGTTGGGATCCAAAGTCGGCTGGATACCCAAACTTAGTGCTCCATTGTACTTATTGGCTATACCGGCAGTCAGTTTTCAGTAACTAAAGTTGATTAACACCGGCTCACCACTTCCTGGGTAGTCGTACGGAGCATGACTGGCTTGCACCGGGCCGTCAGAGCCATGTATGGCGACGTCCCACGTAATGTTATGACGTCCCGCATATTCTGCATCTGGTGCTGTAAAGGTCTCACTCTGATTCAGGTCAGCGTCATGTTTCGAGACCCAGGAGACCATATACCTTCTTGAAATACGGAAGCAGATCGAACCAACCCCAGCCCGTCGCCCCCAGCTCCTCCCACGCGTTGTAAAGCTCAGCATCCGATCGATGGAAGAACATCGCATTGACTACAGACCCACCACCCACAACTCTACCACATGGCACACCAAATGACGCATTGTTAAGCGCGGTTTGTGGTGTACTCATTAATGGTAGCCAGAGGTACGGTACTGGGAAATATGCGCCAGGGATCATGACGCCGTCCTCTTTCAAGTCGAAAGGGCCATATTCGATGACCAGTACAGTAACTGTTGCTAAAAGTTAACTGAAACATCTTGGAGATTGGGTGTGATCTACCATCTGGATTCTCCGTCAAGCGATCTGCAACGGTAAGCCCTGCAATACCACCGCCGACGATGACAAAATCATAGGTCGTCTCATTGGTGAACTGCCTCGCATCGACGACCTTGGCAGTGCGTCCAAGATGTGAGCGAGCCTGCACGATCATCGCACAACACAAGGCGAGGACAGTCAGTAGCAGCATTTTCAGATGCTGGAAGGTAAGGAAGGATGAACATGTTGGAGGGGAGTAGCAGACAAGTGATCTTATCAAAAATCAACCTAGCCATAAAGTATTGGATGTGCATACATGAAGATCCAGGAGTTACTTCCAAGCGACCTGTAGGCCCTGTTTTCCCACGCAATTATGGCAAGAACGGAATAGATTGCTTGCTGTAATTCATTGGTCGTTGCTACTATGGCGGACCGGGCCCCTGGCTCGCCTGTCCTTGCACATGGAGCGCTAGAGGGGAGAAACGTTGTGAACGGTGTCCATGCATCGTTCTTGCTCGCGAAAGGAGGTGGATATACAGGACATACAAGGCAGGTAGGAGGAGCCAACGGTTGTGAGGGCTGAGCCATGTTGGAGTGTTAGTCTGTGTCTGTGCGACTTCACGTCGTCATAGTTTCCCAGCCCAGTCGCGTCGCGTATCCTTCGACTCGATCGATCACGCGTCAGCCTTATGGAACCCGGTCTAACACTACAGGCGTCCACATGTAGCCATTGCAGAGATCGCAACAGAGTTGTAGACATCTATGCGCGGTTCCGTAATCAGCCGAGCGACACAAACCAAGATTCACGACCATATCTAGGTACTTCCACACAGCCGTCGCAACCATGCCAACAGGAAGCGCAGGCACACATGTCAGGCATCGAACGTCAACGTCGGCCACGCTGCGCTTACAGCGCCCATATTTCCGTAACATGCTGTCATGAAAGCATACATGTACGAGGCAGATTGATGGCCTCGTGGGGCTAGATGCCCAAGGCGCTTAAGACATCACCACAGCGATGACGCACCAGGTAGGAAAAGGACCTACACAGATGCTCACATACATAGTGCGTAACCGCAACCTAGCTTCCAGGCAATTCTACGAGCATTGGAAAGAAATACAGGCGCCGAAAGTAGGTCCTTAAACAGAGCAACATGGTATTGTACAATACCAGGAAGTACGTACTTGCTTCTTAATATCCCTTCATCCATTACCTCGACGCTGACACTTGTGCTTGCAGATCCACACCTCCGGCTCTATGCTCCGCATTCCCTCCACCACCTCGGCGCCGAACGCCACATCTGATTCCTCGCTACTCACCACATCTGTAGAGTTCGATGGCATTGCCACGTTCCTCGCACCAAGTCTAGAACGATTTACGCGTGTATTTACAGATTCATATCATGTTGAAATAGTCAGGCTGGATAAGCAGGTCCTCTTAGATAGAAAAAGGGCTGGGTGGCAGAGTTGTTGCGAGCGTCTCAGAGAAGATCGTCTGTATGGTACAAGAAGGTAAACTGGTGACTTTTACATAACTACATGAATGGGTAGCTGGGCATCATTGGACTGAGTCGCAGTAGAGGTGAGCAAGATACAAAAAGGCACGGACACTCTTCAAGTTCTCAATCTTGCGAGATATTGCTGAGCATATAAGAGCTCTCTCAAAAACGCCATATATCTAAATGCTGAAAACACCCTCGGACCTGCCACCCCATCATCATCGCATCTTAGTCATAAATATCATAAAGAATCTATGTCACACAACGCCAGAAACATCTAATCCAAGCTCTGGATCTGCACCTTGATGCAACCAGTCTTGGGATCCGCAGCGGTCTTGAACGCCTCAACCGCATCCTCCAACTTGAACCTATGAGTGACAAGCTTGCTCAGATCAATGACACCGCTCTTATATAACCGGATGGCCTTGGGCCATGTGTTGCAGTATCGGTACTGGAACTGCAGATCTACCTCCCGGGTGCTCAATCTCATGAAAGGAATCTTCATCTCGTTCTTGCCGACACCGATAACGAAGACCTTGCCGCCAAACTTTACAGTCTGAATACAAGCGTTGATGGAACTTTCAACACCAGTGCACTCCATGGCATGCGAGGGCTCAACACCATCTGTGAGTTTGAGGATGGCATCTTGGAAGTCGGTGGGTGAGTGGCTGAATTCCACTTTGTGGGTAAGAACGCCTGGGACTAGCGATTTGGCAAAGTCAAGACGGCCTTGATCAATGTCGGTTATAACAATGGGAGTCGCGCCTGCTGCTTGGCAGCAGAGAAGAGTTACGAGACCGATCGGACCAGCGCCACAAACGATGACTGGGTCACCAAGGCGGACGTTTGCACGGTCCATTCCTGCGAGGGCCACGGAGAGAGGCTCAAGCATGGCGCCGTCCTCGAAAGTCATGCTGTCGGGGAGCTTGTGGCACCACATTGCTGGATGCTTGAGGTAACGACGCAAAAGACCGGTGACGGGAGGAGTGGAGAGGAACTGTACGCGCTCGCAGCCGTTGTAGCGACCTGTAAGGCACGGCTCGCATTCACCACAGATGATGTTGGGTTCGATGGCTACACGGTCGCCAGGCTTGAGGTTTGTTACTGAGGGGTGGCAGGCCATAACTGTGCCGGCGGATTCGTGACCCAGGACGTGAGTGTCCTCGACTATCATAGGACCAATGCAACCCTGAGAATGTTGTTAGCACATGCCAATGCTCTATCCGCGCCCTGTTTCGAGGCAAAAAAAATCAGAACATACAGCATGCCAGAAGTGGATGTCACTACCGCAGATACCGGTGCTCTTGACATTGAGAAGAACCTCTCCTGGCTTCAGGTCTCCACCTCTTTGCACTTCCTCCAAACTCGGTTCCGCCTCCGCGACCCAAAGATCGTGCGCGGGGTTCGTGTAAACACCAATGTTCGCCTTGGTTGAGAACTTGACATCAGTGCCATTCGACTTGCTGACGCCGTTTATCGCTGCTGGCGCAGCCTCAGTGCTTGTGCCGTTCATCTTCGGTTTCTCTTCGATGTTGAGTACGTTTTTGATCTCCGAGGCCCAGCTGTGGAAGAGGGGAAGAGATGCCATTGAACGAACGAAAGAGAACTATAAAGCAGGGAAGGAAGGAAGGAAGGTCCGATTGAAAACCAAAGGTAAACAAATGGGGGACGTCCAGGTCAATAGATCACCTGGCCTCAAACTTCTTTACCGCGGCCCTTCTTTTCTGCCTGCAGTTATCAATCTAGCTTCCGCTGCTACCCAGACTTTACCCTTCCGCTCCTTCACAATTGGTGCGGGGCATTTGTGAATAATACCTCCATTCATTCAAACGTCACCCCCGAAAAGGACCAACCCCACACACCGCCTCCAGAAAACAACTTTCCACGAATGGGAGTGCGTGCAAGTCCGCAACCCAAGCGCAGTACCGGCTTCCGAGTCAGGCAGTTCCGTGCGAAAGCGTAGAAGGGGTCCAGCTGCAGGCTGCGCGTACTAACTGCAACTATACTGCATACGGTAGCGCAGCCTACACCGAACCCCGAGCCTAGGTCACGAAGACAGATTTCACGATGTTGGAGACGTGGTGTTGAGTGGATTAGGCTTGGAAATTGTCGGAGTCTCGGCTCGTGACCGACTACGAACGTGGAAGCTGGTCGGCATTTGACCGATTGAGAGGTCTAGATGCGTCCGTTGGACTGCAACGCAGCGGCGATGGAAGGACTAATATGTCACGTTTGCGCAAGCATATCGTCCGACATTCTTGTTCGCTTTTGCTGAGTCGTGTGTCGCTCGTGGAGAAATCGGACGCGCAACACAGCGTCGCGCAGACTTCGGAACGTTACCTACAGACCTCATCTTCGTTCATCTCAAGGCGTACCTTGTCCATCGATCAGCAAGACGCATAGAGCCACCACAGCCTATAGAGCTAACTGCGCCGTATGCACATCAGACGAGCCGTCCCTGTTCCCATCGACACGCGGTCGTGCTGGAAGGCTGCGCCGCAATTTGTGGCGATGTTAGGACGCGAATCGCGCTATCGATGGCTATATACAGAACAAAACCCATAATCTACATCAACGTGGACACTTTCGAAAAAGTAGTGGTAAAGCATCGACCTTGGACAGCGGAGGTCGCGCGCGCGTACATGAATCGGCTTGAGACAGGCGGCCTTACGCCTTTGCGATTCTTCGTCCTTCATCCTATCGACCCATTGTCGCACCGCTCTATTTTCTGACCTTTTGGGCCTGAGCATTCGTTATTTGCTCGCAAAGATGGACTTGGTACGTGGAGAATTGACGCAATAATTAAGCTGGCTTGATGAGCATGTGTGCATGCTTCGTGTTTCATCATGCGCTGGGTCGGAAGGACCAGATACCGAGGCGAGGCTGTAGGGAGGCGAGGCGAACAGAGGTGTGCATGAGTGCAAGAGGGTTGATTGAAAGATACCAGAGTGGACTGAGAATGGTTCGATGGTTCTCATTGGAATCTGCTGAGACATTCGTAGTAATATTCGTCTCCATATCGTCTCAACATGCATCACGATATCCATTAGGTGTTGTCAGCCCAACATACACATCGAGTTTCATATCAACATCAATTCGAGTACAATAGAGGATTCGAAAATAATTCTTTGTTTGAATCCGCATTTGTGGATAGAGACACATAAAAATGAGTGCATCCGTAGACGGCTACTCTGAAGGCTAATCGTAACATACAACCTCAATACGCCTATCCAATTCTTCGTATCAATACATGTCTTGGTTCGCTTAGAAATGCTCCTTCCAGAACTTGAAGTTGACCTCTTGGCATGCTGCCTGCTTGCATGCCTTCTTAATATCCCTAGCCGCAACGTTGGGACCGCAGAAATAAACACCAACCTCTGTGCGTAGAGTGCTTTCTAATCCGTTCATGTATGTGCGGTCCAGAATACCATCTCGCATACCGCAGAACAGGCGCTGGAAGTCTGGACGTCCAAAGTTGGTGCGGGATTTGAGTTCGGTGAGTGGGTCCTTGTCAGTGCCCACTGAGTTAAGCACGATATTTTGCGCAGTGTTAACATCCATCTTCTGTGTAAGATATGTGTGGATCCGCAGGAATTGGTCTCCATCTGCACCACCGAGAGATTGAGCCTCGAGCGATGAAAGCAAGGTCTGGAACCATTCGAATGACGACGTGTCTTTGCAGACCCAGATGAACTCGACGCGACGGAGACGCTTAGGAGGGTTCGGGCTGAGGCGGAGGTGGTAGATAGATTTGAGGATCGAGGCCCATGGTGTGACACCAATACCGGTACCAATAAGAACTGCGACTTCGTTCTCGAAGACGTCTTCTGCGGGAGCTCCGTAAGGCCCATCGATACGTAGAGCAGGCATCTTTTGGCCGTGCTGAAGAGCGATCTCGTACATGCCCATAGGGTCGAGCTCGTCGTAGAGCTTTGATTGCGATTGACCGGCACCAAGGGCATCGGCGAGAGCGCGGGTAAAGTCACCGACTTGACGTACGTGAACAGAAATATACGGGTCATTGGGGCAGGAAGTGATGGTGAATGGATGCCACTGGTGGTAACTGACATCAGGACAATTCAGGAAGAGCCACTGTCCTGGCTTGTACTTCATGCTGGGCTTCGTGAATTGGATCTCGACAGCATCTGAACATTGTTAGCTGCGTTCTTTTGGGTTTGCTGATTGTGGTGTTTTGCTTACCGTATGGGTGGCGCACAACTTTGACGATTTGTGTCTGGCGTCTGCAACGAATCTCTCGGTACAAACGGTCGAAGAAGTACAGGCCGCCACCAACGAGCTCCCATCGCCAACCCTCGTAACCAATGCAGTGAGTCCAGAAATTGTCGCTATCGAAGGGAGACCAAGCTGGGACAGTATCACGGACGAAACAGCTGGTTGCGTGGGTGTACATGCCGAGTAGGAACGGAATGAACAAGTGATGCGTGTACCAGAACGTCTCGAATGACTGCTGTCGGATCCTGTGGTGCGCTGTAGTATAGATCAGAAGCATACATAATAACATAATGTGCCCTGTGATACCACCAGCCTCGGCGTAGTGGATTTGTAGCGCGATCTGAGGGCGGACCTGCACACGTTCAACATTGAAGAAGCTATGCTTGTCAGTACATGTCGAAAGCCTCGATAAGGTCACTGTCGACTCACTTGACATAATGCGCCGCCACGTGGAGGATAGTGAAGAACAGCATAGCGTAGGCGACTTGTCGGTGGAACCATTGGGACTCGTCAAGTGGCAGCACGCGCACTTTCGGGCGGAGCCACCGGAGGATATTTCTGCACATAGGCATGACGATAACCATTGTGTCAACAGACAGAACAAGACCTGCACCCCGAGATACCCATACTGAGTACTGAAGGGCATTCAGTGGCGCCAAACGTGCATCACCCTGTTGTTTCCACCTGCATTAAGTCAGTAAATAGGATCAACAATACAGGCACAACCTTCCTACCATCCTATACCGAAAAGGGCCCAATGAAATCCCCAGAAGAAGAAATGAAAGGCTATCTTTTGTGGCGTAAAGAGCCTAGCGAACGATGTGCCTCCGCTTGCTCCCATGATGGAGTATCTTTTGCGGTAACCGGTTTATGTTTCGTCCAAAGTCTGCGTTGGGTGTGCCGTTCAACGGTTATTATGAAAAGGATTAAAGAGTATACGCGTGGTATAAGCGAACCTCAACCAGGAAATAAACGATCCAGTCGAAGTTCGACCCGGCCAGCCAGATACGAAGTGAAGAAAAGAATGTCGGTGTCCCGGGACGAGGGGAGTGATGTAGGGAGAGAGCGTGCGGATGTGGAGGACGATCCAAGGCTGCCGGGCACCAAGGGTATTATTATGTCAAGCCTTGGAACAAGCCGAGTCAATGTGCGCAGATCAGGTGGTAAAAGCCGTGGAAACCTGGATAGAGCGGCACGCTGTGCTGAAACCGACAGGCCCTGTTCGGTACGGAAGTGGCTCAAACCGATGCCCCACGAGTCTGCCGTATACGAGGTGCGTTAAGATGGATGACTGAAGAGATGACCAGGAAGAGCAGTGATGCAGAGGAATTCAGGTGGCGCCAAACCTGAATGAGCCTAAGGACTGGATTTGGGGTATTGAAGTTGGTGGAGGGGCTTGCGGCTATGCGCAAGCAGCTAGTGTGTGAAGAGCGTCTCAGACTTGAAGCGCCAGGCACAGAACCATGTTTTCCTTGCAAGGACGGTGGTATGTTCGGAGCCTCAAGATGGACGACTGATCTTGGACAATGCGCAGTTCAGTCTATGCCGGTATGCGGCGAAGCGAAGACCGTTTCGCTAATGGGTTTATTGGGGGTTGGTGTTGGTGAGGCTGCTGGTAAAAACGGAGACAACCCTGGAATGCTGCAACTTGTACGATCTGCAACTGTCAAACCTTAGACTTGGATGCGATCTGACAGATGAGCCTGAGCCGTCGTAGCAAGGTTTCGGACGGTGTTCTTTGAGGGGTACAGATGACAGATGAGCTCAAGAGTTCTGATGGGGTGTACAAGGCGTAGGCGGGGACGTGCTGAAACGATGTACGTTGGAAGCCGTGTCCGAGAAGTAGAGAATTCAGGCCGGGTATCTCAATGAATCGCTGAAAGTGGAATTCGCTTCGTAAATATCGTTAGATTAGACTGCAGAGGCTGGTAATATGACTGTGGTAGGCGGGGACAGTCGTTTGTAGGTACTTGTCTGGGTGGCGGATTTGCTCCTAAACTACCGCCCCTTGCGCAGAAGACGGCACCGAAGACGCGAGAAGAATCATGGTATGAGCCTGCCGTGGCTTTTGCGTTAGAGGCGCCGAGGCTTGAATTCATTGCTGTTGAAGGCACTCTGTGCTTGTGGTTGGTAGCACCAAATCTAACGGGCGAACATTGGCGTGGCGCGTGCAGCCAATGGACGGCTGTCTCGAAGCGCTCGAGTACCCCCACAAAGTTTGAGCCCGCTACTGCGCTGTGCTGGGCTGCAGGTGTACAAGATCTCGCCTCTATTTTGGGACCGACTCCATCGAACACGGCTGGACGAACGGCAACATGCGAATTGCCGGCCTCGTGGATGGCCGATTTTGAGTATCAATTCTCATTAGTCCCACCTTAGGGCCGTGATGTGAGAAGCGGTGTGCAGTGCGAAGAAAGCCGAGAAGAAGTGGTTCTGGGCGATGTGATGAGAGAGCAAATGGTTGCGATGCTGAGTGATGGTAAAGGGCCAGACTGCCTGATTTGTAGGCAAGTATGCTTCTATGATTCCAAGACTCGGTGATGGAATATCGTGGTTCTCCCTATTGGGAAACGGCGTAAACACGTCTGGTAGCAGCACCTTCCTTTTGCTCGACGATGGATCAAAGTACACGTGCAGAAAACAACATCAGGCCATTGTTCTACACACAATCGCACATGGACTCTGATCGACGCCTCGTTAACCACAAGTAATTCTCCGACAGGGCCCTGTGAAAAGCTTCACTGGCACGACGAACTGATACCGAACGAGTATCGTACCACTTTGTTTGTCTCAACGTCTGCCATGGCTGCCAAACCCCACCGTGACGGCATTGAAAGCCACGAGGTGCATCTGAAGTAAACTTTGTCGTATGATGTTGTTTGATGAGCGTGCCTGAGTAACCAGGAGGGTCCTTCGATACCATCTTCCATGCAGATGGCTGATCGTCATGCGCCAGGTTCGCGGTTCGATAACCTGAGGCACAGAACAGAAACCGGGACTCAGGCATCCGTCGGGACGGATTTTTCGAGTACTGCCGTGCCGCACATGGCGATAGCTGTGGAGAACAACCTACTCGATGAGCAGAATTCACGGCACACGTTTGCGCGGCGACACGGACATGGCAGACCGGTTTGCGCAGAGCGCGCTTTTCAAATCATCAACGACCTAATCACCACTACCGAGAGAATGGCGGTATGACCATCGAGTAATGTCCAAGCCGTAGAACAGTCATCAAGTCTTCAACAATGGCAGCTTGCTTTCGCCATTAGCCACGTGAATGCAAAGATTCACACGCCTAGCTCCGCCCACGCTACACTACCTGTGCCAAGCGGGTGAGCATCAGCCGTTCATAGGATAGACTAAAATGGCGGCGCGATCCAGGATGCTGGCACCGTGGCTGCAGAGAGGCTGGCGTCGCATGCAGCATCACAGCAGCCAGCCAATCAAGTGTTGCACACGCACAATCATTGGCGAAGCGGGTCAAGCGGCTGCGAGGGCACCATCTTCGACCCCAGCGCTCGCCGAGCGAGAGCTACAAGGGTTGAGATGCAAGCCCTGGCGCATAAACTGTCTCTACAATTGCGGTCGACATCCGCTGTCGCTCCCGACGTACTGACACACCTCACGTCGCGAAGCTCAACGGCAACACCACGCTGCCTGAACACCTAACACGCCTGATACTCGCCTACGCCTCAGCCATCCATAATACCTGTCCACTATCAACTCCACTCGTACTGCCCGTGCCTGACCACAAAGAAGCCTTGCCGTTTTCGCACTGCCTGGGAACCGCCGCTGCGAACAAGGCATTACTATAACAAAACCCGCCCTGCCACACCCAACCAAAGTCGATGCTCATCTGTCGTTGAGGCTACTGGTAGTCGAAGGGACATTTTCCGTTTACTTTCTTTCTTCACGTTTTTCTATTTTATTTTCCCTTTCCTATACGACCGCGGGCTCGGTTTATTGCTCGTATCCTTTCTTTTTAATCTTCGACAATGGGCAAGTTAATCAAGAACCACTGGGCGCGCCTAGTCATCCTCACGGCTGCTGCGTGTAAGTCATAATCTTAGCATCGGACCCCACTCTCAGCAACAGTACTAATTCTACAACTAGATCAAATAGGAGCTGCACTTGAATGCTTCTTCTGGCCCAAGATCTTCTGGGATTTCCTCACCAAGAACCTCGATGGCGCTGTCAAACCTGTGCCCGTACTACAAATCATCAACATCATCCTCGGCTTCATCGGTCTCGCTTGGGAATGGCCATTACCGCTGCTCGCAGGCACCGGACTACATCGTTCAATCGAAGCCCGCCTGATTATCTACCCACTGAGTGCACTATGTGCCCTTCTGATTTACCAAGGCACCAACTCGGGACTCTACTACATCATCGGCATGGGAGCGTACTTCTGGGCATTTAGCGAGGGCGAGGTATGAACATTTGCCTTTCAGCTGTTCAACGAATTCTCCGGCTAACATCAATACAGGTTGTTTGTCCCGAGCCATGGACTCTACCCAAGCGCGGCTCCACAGCACGCAAGATGACCGCGTAGTTCGGCCACTGTAGCAACAAAGAACCCCTTCGCTTCACACAAACTATACCCTCAAACGCATTTCTCGCATTACCATGTACCATGTCCACGTAGACGACGTACGCCCCATCTCTCTGGCAGACCCTGATTTAGCGATTGTATTTTTTCCCGAACCGCTTACGAGCGGAAGGCGCTCATTCCTAGCGTCAAAGAAGAGCAACATCACCACCTTACGATATCAACCAACCATATCAAACGAACGAAACCCAAATCAAATGAACAAATTAAGAATAACCCAAAGAGAAATTTATGACAACTATGCTTGAAATCTGTTCATCTAACATCCCATACATTCATTCTCTAGGGTCGAAGTTCTACGCGCCATGCTACTAAGAGACCTGAGGCAACCCCTCGTTTGATCCCCATCTCCATCCCCACTTTTTTGCTACTTCGCTCAGCCGTCTTTATGCCTTGGCCTAACGGCCCTCTAACAGCTTGCGCCTCAGGGCCTGGGTTCCTACTAGCCCTCTTTTTGTCTTACCCCGGGAACAGCGAAGCCATAATTTCAATAGCTAGAACAAGCGACATCGCTATCACACTACATGCACTTTTCGTGAGGCTTAAAGTGGATTTGATGATGACATGACCTCAGATTCGTCTAGCGGTCCTACGATATTTCCTTCACAACCTCCCTGCTCTGTACCCCAGCACCAATGCACACCACCGGGTATGATACCCATTGACAAAAGCCTTCATAGAGAAGCCTCTGAACCACTACGACTAAAACATCCAAAAAGAGAAGAGATTTACTGCTCAGCAGGGCCTTCGATCAATATCTTGATGCCCTTGCCACCCTTGACATCTGCAAACGCCTTCTCCGCCTCATCGAACTTGACCTTACCGGTGATGAGTTCCTTGACTGAGATACGTCCGCTAGCCACGAGGTCAATAGCGGTTTGATAGTCGCCTGAGCCGTAACGGAAGGAGCCCTTGACATTGAGTTCCTTGGTGCACATGGCCATGATGGGGAAGTTGATGTCGGGTTTGCCCATGCCACCCTGTTAGTTTTTGATTAGTATCGTTTTATTGAAGATGGACGAGCAGACAGAAACGTACCTGAACATATGTTCCGCCCATGCGTAGCGCGTGGATGGCGGTTTGAATACAGGGCTCAGCACCCGACGCATCGATAATGACATCTGCGCCCGAACCCAAATCACATTCCTTGATCAGATTCTCGGCGTTTTCTTGTGCGCTCACTCTTTGGCTCTTGAAGCTTGCGTTTGCGGCGTACTTGAGTGCAAAGTTGAGGCGTTCGTCGTTGATGTCTACAGTCACAATCTTCTTTGCGCCGTATGCCTTTGCGACAGCGCAGCACAGCAAACCGACGGGACCTGCACCGAATACTACGACCGAGTCTCCGGGCTTGATAGCAGCTTGCCTTGTGATGTGTACAGCGACAGCGGTAGGCTCGATAAGCGCACCCTCCTCCATGCTCATGTTCTCGGGAAGTTTGTAGCAGAAGTCCTCTGGCAGTGTGTAATACCGCGCGAGTGTGCCATCGTATGGGGGTGTGGCAGCAAAGGCCATGTCAGGGCAAAGATTGTATTTTCCATCTTTGCATCGTACGCAACGGCGGCAAGGCACACCGGGCTCCATAGCAACCTCGTCACCAACTTTCAGGCTCTTGACCTTGTCGCCAACTTTGTGTACGACACCAGCTGATTCATGGCCGAGAACCATGGGCTTCTCAACTACAAAGTGACCGATGCGCCCTTCAACCCAGTAGTGCACATCCGAACCGCAGATACCGGTCCATCGTGGTCTGATGATGACATCGTATGGAGAGGGGAGTTCGGGAATTGGTCGGTCTTCGTAGGTGAGCTTGTCCTTGGCTTGGAGGATGAAAGAAGGGTTCTGAAGATTTGTTAGTTACTGGTGTATACAATCGACGCGTCAAGACCATTTGTTGTGGTGTTTTCAAGGTAAAGCATGTATGGAGGGGTTGATGGTGGGGCATCATGGCTTTACCTTCTGGGTCGCCGTTTGTGTCGCCATCATGAGGTATTGAAAAGATTATAGATTTATTCGCAACAATGTTCCGGGCAACTGTATATGAAGAAAGAAGTGAAAGTCAATTCTCAAAACCCGCGCGCAAGTGAGATGCTAATGACGAAGGAAACGGTGGATCCTGGTAGCTCGCGGCAAGCTATCCCGCCCTGGTTAGGAGTGCCCCTCCACCGAAAGGCGGGAGTCTGGAAGCAGTGAAATTATCCGTCAAAATTATCCGGCGCTTGCATCACTGTTCTTGGAAAGTTCGTGTGGATATCTCGGCATTGCTCCGAGGTCGCTATTGAGCGCCGTGGTTATGCGAATGACCAAACCAAATCGCGGGTCATGCGGTTCGTGGGGGCACCTTGCCATTTTGCCTTAGCTTAACCTCGCCGGTTCTTCTAGGAGGGTAATGTGCGGCAATGTTGATAGCATCTCTCAGCTGGCCCTTGAAATTTGCCTTTTCCAACATGACCACCAGCAAGTCACGAGCGCTTCATCATCTGGATCTTCGCTTGTCTCTGACGGTCCCCAGTCATCCCGTCCCCTCTCCTCTCCCTCTTCCAATATCTCTAAGCCGAGCTCAAGCATCCGGCGACGGAAGTCCTTGATCTCGGGCAAGTAACAGTCTCTGTATGGAAACTCGATGATTACTCTAGCGTCGTTGTCCGGAGAAAGCCAAGCGGCAATGGTATCAACTAACATGCGTGGGTGATCTGGAGAGTATAGTGAATCTGCGGCCAAGATTAAGGGAAATTTTGCAGGAATGGCTAGATTGTCGCCAGTACCGTTGACGTTTGGCAAAGGTTCACAGTGAGTGGGATGTGTCCAGTCAAGCACAGCTGTGCGGACTGCTCCACCATTGAGACTGACAATTTCTCGATTCTGCTGCGCATTGTAGGCCAGGTTCGGGCAAATGCTGGGCAGGTCTGTCAGAACAACGTCTGCGCCAAGGCCGGCCATTGCTAATCCTACTAAACCGGTACCAGACCCAAGCTCCAGGACCTGTAGCCTCTCATGTGTATCTGGCAGCACGAGGTTGAAGCTCTTGAGGCGCTTAGCAAGCATGTATGAAGCAGCCCATGTCTTCAGGCCTAGATCGTCGCCTGTCATAGCAGGCTCGTGAATCTTGAGCTCGAAGGATTCAGAGGCGGTAGGGATTTGGAATGTGCGAGACATGGTGCTCATGGCAGATCGACCGGAGCGCTCGCTCAGTCGGGCGCTGGCCTGATCCCAGATGCGCTCCTTGACCTCATCGTCTTGAATCCATTGTAAACCGCTACTGATGATGGTAGTGAGGTATCGTGTGACGCCCTCTGGGTTGACCTGGACAACAGGCTCACCAGAATCCACTCGATTACCGGCTTCATCACTCGTGCTTGTGTATTCCCATGACCGCGGACCGGTGGTGAGGAGCGCGAGCGTGTCGAGGAGGGCCTCTGCGGAGGGCTTGGTGTAAAGCTGGGGTAGGTCGAGGACTGCATGCGGATTTAGCACCAAGACAGGTTGATGCAAGGCGCAGGTGTATACCGTCTAGCATGGCCATGTTGGACCGACTATGGCGAAGGCGCGGGAAAATTGTTGGTAGGCGGGGCGGCGGTACTCACCAAGGTCCAACGTGGGCCCGAGCTAGCCATGGCGGGGCTAAAGTCAAGGCACCACGAGCAGCGCATACACGAGAATACAAAGAGACATGTTGCCAATCCTCTAAGCCTTCTTCAGGGTTGTCTTGAAGCCATAGTAGGCCGAGTCCATGTCAAATTGGAACTCGCGCGCCTGCTCGTCGCTCAACTTCTCGGCCGCCCGCATCTGGTTCAGGGTAATCAACCACTGCACAATCTTGCCTTTGCTCTCGAAATCGACGTCCGTGACCTTGTTGACAGCTTGTATGATCTCGACAAGCAGAGGATGCAATGTGTCCTTCTCTACCAGCCCAATCTTGATGGCATCGAGCAGAGTGATGAAAGTCTCGGTCGCGTTGACGACGAGCGTCGCATCAGCAAAGTCGCCTCCCTGAGTTGGTCTCGATGGACCTTGTTCGATAGTCGCGGGTATGCCAACGCGTAGTCGCTCGATGGCTCGGGGACATTCCATCTGCAGCCGTATCAGCATAGTGCAGAGGGAAGCAGCTCAACGTGCCATTACGTACCTGCCACTCTTTCGCAAACTGGTCCAGAGTGCCAAATGCTTGCGCGACCGTCTCATTGGCAAGATTGGACTTGTACTGCTTCATCAACCGGTTGCATGTCTCGGTGTAGTCGGCTTCGGCGATGGAGTCCTTCAGGTAGGCCTTCTCTATGGCATCGAGCGTGATGATGATGCTGTAGATCTCGGCCAGCGAGTCGTTCAAGTCGCGCTCTGCATTGGTTGCAGACAGTTTGACTTCCTAGAGCCACGGTGAGCATGCGCATCGGGCGTGGGCTGGGCGCGTCATACCTCATCAAGGTTGATGGTCGCGGAGAGGTTGGAGCGCGGGATGTAAGGCGTCGGCGCGTAGGCCAGCTGCCTGCCGCCGTAAGACATTCTGGATGGCTGGAACAAGGCAGTCTGTGGACGAGGGCAGCAAGCTCCAGTTGCGTGTCCGTTGATGCGTCGGCGGCGCCAGCTCAATCAAGCATGCATCCATCCACCGCGTGGGGAAGGCGCTAGTGATTGCAGGGTCCTTAGCGCTGGAACTTTTTCGAGGCCCAAGTTTTTCAACCACCAGCTGCACGCTCCGTCAACACCACTCGCCCGACTACCACGAGACGCCAGAGCCCGCCGAGATGCCCGTGTCCAAGGCGACCAAGAAGTTCCAAAAGGACAAGCTCGGCGACGTCATCAAGCGCCGCAAGGATGTCGCCAAAGTCAAGCAGAGGAAGCAGATGGACGCCAAGAAGAGGGAGCGCAAGGCCAGAGACAACGAAAAGGCCGCCGACCTAGAAGAAGAAGCTGCGAAGAAGCCAAAGACGAATGGCGCCAAAGACGACAAGCTGGGCGAGATGTCCATGGACCAATTCTTCCAGGGCGGCTTCCAGATTCCCGAGATGAAGAAGAAGTCGACCAAGCCAAAGACGGGCAAGCGCAAACGCACACCAGTCGACGAGGATGCCGACCAAGCCTCAGACGAAGACATGCAAGATGCGCCCAGCGGCGCTGACGAGTCTGGCTCCGACAGCGACTCAGGTGACGATGTCGACACACACAAGGAGCAGCTTGCTGGTTTGGCAGAGAAGGACCCCGAGTTCTACAAGTACCTCAAGGAGAACGACGCGGAACTCTTGGACTTTGCCGAAGACGCCGACCTTGCAGAGATTGACGCTCTGTCCGCTAGTGAAGACGAGGCCACTCCGAGAAAGAAGCAGAAAGCCGCTGTTGAAGACGACGACGACGACGACGACGAAGATTCGGGCAATGAGCTCAACCTGAAGACGGTCCAAAAATGGAAAGCCTCCATGGAATCAAAACATTCCCTGCGCGCCATGAAAGAGGTGGTTCTGGCCTTCCGCGCTGCATCACACATGAACGACTCGGAGAGCTCCAAAACATACAAGTACTCCATAACTGACCCAGATGGTATGCAGCTCACTTTCTATATATGACACGAGGCTGACAGCACACAGTCTACCACCAAGTGCAGGTAACAACTCTTCACTTAGTACCCAAGGTACTCCAACATCACTTGCCTGTCAAGGAGAGCGCTGGTGGCAGGATGTAAGTAACCCACAGCAATTCTTCCGTATGGCCACTAACAACCACAGTCGCGTTCCTACCGACTCAAAGAAGTTCCGCACCCTCACGCCTCTCCTCAAGTCGCATACCGTCTCGATACATCACCTCCTTGAGAACCTGTCCGATTCCAAGACCCTACAGATGACACTAGACTCGCTCTCCAACATGCTCCCATACATTCTATCCTTCAAGAAGGTTGTACGTGAGGTTATTCGGTCTGTCGCGTCGGTCTGGTCCGACAGCGCCAACAATGACGGAACAAGAGTGTCGGCTTTCTTGGTACTGCGAAGACTCGTCGTCATCGCAGACCCAAGTATTCGCGAGGCTGTCTTGAAGCAGGTTTACCAAGGCCTTGTCAAGAGTGCAAGGAATACCACAATCCACAACATCCAGGGTATCAACCTGATGAAGAACACCGCGGCTGAGCTTTGGGGCATCGATCCTACCGTCGGCTACACCACCGGCTTTGGCTTCATCCGCCAACTCGCGATACATCTGCGCACAAGCATCACCAACAAGACAAAGGACTCGTACAAGACCGTATACAACTGGCAGTACATTCACTCGCTAGACTTCTGGTCACGAGTCATCTCAATGCATTGCGAGTCGCTCAGGGAAGCAGAGGCTGGAAAGCCATCACCTTTACGACCCCTCATATATCCCGTTGTTCAGGTCACGCTAGGTGCCATGCGCCTTATTCCGACGTCGCAATACTTCCCTCTCCGTTTCCAGCTCATCCGATCGCTCCTTCGTATCGCCCAAGCGACATCGACCTACATACCCTTGGCGCCTGCCCTTGTCGAAGTCCTCAACTCCGCAGAGATGAAGAAGCCCCCAAAGCCCAGCACGCTGAAAGCTCTCGACTTCAGCATCAGTATCCGCGCATCAAAAGCCTTCCTCCGAACACGCATTTACCAAGACGGCATCGGTGAGCAGGTCGCCGAGCTTCTGGCCGAATTCTTCATCCTCTGGACCAAGAACATTGCTTTCCCTGAACTCGCACTTCCCGTCATTGTTATGCTCAAGCGATGGGTGAAGGCGATCACCAAGAAGAGCAGCGGAAACAAGAACACCAAGGTATCCTCGCTTATCGCACTCCTTGTCCAGAAGCTAGAAGCAAACTCTCGATGGGTTGAAGAGAAGCGCAACAAGGTCGAGTTTGCGCCCAACAACCGCGCAGGTGTGGAAAGCTTTTTGAAGGATGTAGAATGGGACAAGAGCCCACTAGGTGCATTTGTGGCAGGACAAAGGAAGAGCAGAGAGCAGAAGCAAAAGTTGCTCGAGGAAGCAAGGAAAACGGAGGACAGGAAGAGGAAGGAATCTGAAAAGCACGAGAAGAGTAACGGTGAGGTATTTGCCGCGGAAGATGATGATGAAGATGAGGAGGAGGAGGTTGATCTCGATGGCCTAAGCGACGAAGACCTCGAGATGGATGATGACGACGAAGAGGAGAGTGACGACGAGTAGATGGTTTTGTTTATTTAATCGAATACTGTATCGGATGTTTGGTGTTGGGTATCGCAAATTTGTCGGTATAGATACACCATATGCGATAGCATCACTGCAATAGAGCGCAGAGGTTTTCCCAAACAACTCTTCCGTTTTTGGTCATTATGTGACTAACGCGACGGCAAGCAACGTGATCCAGATGATATCAGTAAAAGGATCCATCTTAGCAGATTCCTTACGAGGTGGCCGAAGTTCCTATCTATAGACGCCCAAGAAGAAACTTGTTTTCTTTTAATGAGGTGTACCTAGAAATATATCACGAACAGTCTATTCTAGAAGTATACGTTTTTTCTTGTTGAGGCGGTAATGAAGATGTTTGTATATACTATTAGGGTTCCAATTCTGATAAGAGAGCACAATTGAGAATGAATGAGCTACTTCATAGATTAGCAACAAAACATGTGTGCTGTCGACTAGAATATCCTCTCGCTTTTAGAAAGTGGATAATTGGTATTTTGAGTAGGAAACGGCACAACCAACAAAAGAAGGAGACAAAAGAGACACCACACCCACCAAACCTACAACCTTGCCGGTCCAATCCAGACCAAATGTGACAGTAGGGAGACGGTGAATACCACTCGAGACAAGTCAAATTACGCCCTCACCGTGACCGATTTACCTTCTCATAAGCAAACATGTTATCCATCTACTCTGATAGTCCTATCACACTATCACACCCTATCCTTCAGTCTCTCATACTCCTTGACCTCGTAGAAACTCGGTCGCTTTGCCTTCCCTTCGAACCGGATTGGATCCTGACCTTCACACCTCTCTAGCCGAAACTTATACATCGCCGTTTCCTGATCAGTCTTTGTATAACTCGTCACCCGATACAGACCATCATACCTCAAGCCTAGCTCGGGCCGGTACTTGTTCTTCTTGTTGAGCTGCGCAGAGCGAACAACTCTGATCTGGTTACCCAGATCAGCGGATTTGAGGAGATGGATAGTGTTCTCTGTAGGCGTGGAATTCTTGCCTGGTGTGCCGGAGTAATCGATGACGTCGCCGTTGTCGACGTCCTGATATCCATTGCCGCCTGAGAGGACAATGGAGTAGGCACCGCGCTCCTTTTCACCGTAGATACCGCCTTGGGCTGAGCCATGAGCCCCATCACGGACAGTACAGAGCTGAGTTGGCCACCACTGCCCTTGGACGAGGTCGCCATTCCCGTAGTGTTTCGCATCGATGGAGAATCGTTTACGGTAGGTTTCGTCGAGGCGGTCACTCGTGCGGTTTCCAGTTTTGTTAGATACGATACCGCGGAGAATATCTTGGTTCAGGTCGTTCTTCCACCAGCGGTTGTACAATTGATATGCATCTGCTTTCAAATCCCATGGAAAATCTGTTCCCGCTCTGAAGATGCGAGGAAGTCCGTATTCAGGGCTCAGCATGTTAGCCTTCCTGACGAGGAAGCGATTGACCTCAAGTCGTATTTCAGCCTTGTGTACATGGTCGCGAAGAGCATCATATAGCTTGTCAAGCTGAATAGCGGAATTCGTGTCTTCGCATTGTCTTATACAAGTTTTGAGGGCTTCTAGTGAAGTGAGCTCTGGGGGTCGCTTCTTGCTCATCGCCTCCATCATATGACCCTTCATGGAGATAGATGTATACCATTCTGGCAGCGGTGCTCGTACGGCATATCTGTCTGTATTGCTTTCCGAAACAGGTAAGGCGTTTGATGGTATGGTGTTCGTGGTATCTGGCTTGTTTGCTGCTACTATAGCCGTTGTTGCTTGTGCAGCCGTCCGGTCCGGTGATGTGCCTGTAGTCGACGCTTCGGCAAAAACTGTGCTGGCTGGCTTCTCTTTGAGAGTATCCTTTGGTCTTCTCAGTTCCTCAACCTTATCCGCTCGCTCCTCCACGTTTTGCATGGATTTTTTGTACGCATCGTCTTTCTTCTGCTGTGCGTCTCGACATTTCGCTTGCTTCTCTGCATCTGCCTTCGCCTTTTTAGAGATGTCTTCTTGCGATGACTGCGTCTTCTGAACCCTTGGCTTTTTAGCGCGAGGATCCTCTGGTATATGGGCTTGGGTTGAGGCTTTACGCTTGATGCCATTCTGTGCTGGTATGATGGCTTTTGGCTGCACCACGAAATCATCTGACGTAGATGGTTGTTGCTCCACATTCTTGAATGGATTCAAGTCATACTTCGCTCGGAGTTCGTTCATCTTCTTGCCTAGCAAGCGCATGCTGTTCTGATGCTCTTCGCTGTTCGCTTCAGCATGTGCTCTCGTCTTTTGTATGATCCTCGACCACGCGTCTGGCCCTACAACGGACGCCTTTTCAGCATTTTGAGCTTTCTCCAACAGCCATGCTGGTGGTTCTGCTATATTCTGACTTTCTGGGGGTGGCATGTTGAGTGTGGTTGGTGTCTTTTGAGTTGTAGTGGTCCTGTTTGTTTACAATGTTAGGCGCCGAAGTGCGTTTGTTACGTAGTCCGCTTGCGCTGGTAATAGGCTGCTAATGGCGAAGTGCGGGGTAGATGAGAAGAGCAACGATTGTAAATATCTGAAGCCCCTCATAGGTGATACAGAATGCAATAGACCTTGGTCGTGGTTGTCTTACAACTGCATAAGGGCAGGTAATGTTAGGGATTTTGCTAGACCTAACTTGAACCTAGGATTTATGGTAGGAAACGTTGAAACAGTTGCTGTTGTCAACAATTCAGATTGTGTTTAAGAGTTCGGGATGACTGTTGACTAGATTGAAGCCGAAGCGATAATGAAGTTTGTGGGACATTTGTTGAGCGCAATCGTTCCCCAGGTCGCGATGACAAGTGTCGCGCTAGCCTTGTATCCCTGAATTGTGATTGGCTTACATGTTCAGGACGTGTTTTACGCTAAAATCACTGATTGGGCAGTCCGCAAGGATGGAGCTGCACCTTTAGGTCTGCTAAAGGCACACGATTTGCAGAGCAACGTTGTTCAGTTTTGTGCTTTAGTGAATTATAGGAGTGTAAGAGCTTTATTTGTGTTTCGCTGGAGTTTACCCGGTCACCGAGGTACCGTGGTAGTCGTCGTGGTACCGTGGTCAAATTGGGCGCACTATATACATGTTGGAATCATCATATTGCGTGTAAAATGATCTCAAAAACCGATACGTATGATGGATCGTCAGTGCAGGCAGTATTATCGTAGTCCGCGCAGGAAAAGAGCCGAACTGGGACAGAACCAAAGCAAGACATGGAAGCCTAGGAGGGCAGCCATGTAACACATGATAGCAATGCTCATATCCTACTAACATGCAGACGGAAGGAAGGCTTTCAATCCCAATAAGTGTAGCCTTACCAGTTGAACTGTACAGCGCCTGGGCAAGCTCACATACAACTGCCTGGGGAATGCCTAGGTAATATCGACCAGACGATACACTTCGAAGACGTTACAGGTGATGCTTTCTGATAAGATATCTAGAGTGTGTCTAAGATACGAAGAGGGCAGCGGCATATTAAACGGACTGGTGTACTCAGCATATCGATATATTCCAAAAAAAAAAAAAAAAAAAAACCACGATATGCTATAATTTGTGTAAAAACTGAACTGGGAGCAGTCGACCACATTTTGAGCTGTTTGAACTAAACAACATCGCTTACCATTTCATCTCTATATGCTTGGGTATGTCTATCAACATAACAAGAAGGAAAAAAACGCTATGCGAAACGCCACGCCGAAATGCATCCACCAGAGAACACTTATTTTTCATTACCCTCAACGACCTGTCCTAGTACCTCGCCCTCAACCATAGCCTCTCCTGGTCCCTTACCATCACTACCGACCTTCTCCATTGGTGTACCCACCAGACTCTTACCCTCAACCCTGTCAGCGCCAGAAAGGTCGAGATCTCTCTCCATGTCCGCACTTAGGTTGACCCATCCACGAACACTGTCTTTCGCTCGGCTGAGAATAGCGGTGTCTTGTGTTAGGCTCTTGTTCTTGGCCATAGTTTCGTCGAGCTCTAGATCGCGCGCGCTTGTGTTTGCGACACGTATGCCATTTTCACGCATGACTTGCAAGATGGCACGGGTATTGAGTCTGAGCACCCTCTCAGGCTCCTTGGCGCCGAACACTTTTGTTGTTACCCAGGGGAACAAGACGCCGAAATCGCTTTGAGAGAGATGGGCAGAAGCAATTGGATAGAAGATGTGTGGACCACGCTGCTCGGGGAATCTCGATTGTGAGGAAGCAGGCTTAGCGACGATGCGCTTCGTTTCTCTGAAGTTCGAGGCCCAATTGAAGAAGCCCTCGGAAGCGATGGCAAGAAGATTATTGCCGCCGGTAGGAGAGTCATAGCATGGCATTGTCTGGCTTCGTAGCCAAGCAGTATCAGGACTTTGGATGGGTAGGGTCCAGAGATCTAGAAGAGTGACTGGGTTTCGTGGCGTGATCTGGCGAACTAAACTCGAGTCCGCGGATGGCGTGTATAGCGGCTTGTAGCGTGGAATATGTGTCTGAGGGCGGTGGTAAACTGATTTGACGAACTGAATCATTGTGCAAGCACCGAAAGAGTGGCCTGAGAAACTGATCGCACCCGGCTCGTGAACGTTGAGCAGGTTCGAGAACATGCTCAGCATGCTCTTACCATTGGGTAGGTCTTGTGCTACGTTCTTCAATTGACGGCCCTCATCGATCTTCAACACTGCATCGTGTACCATGCCTAATTCCCATAGCCGTATTCGCAACTGCTCGTCTCTTGCCTCGTATGTTTCTGTACTCGGCTTGTGGGCGATTGACCTGTATTCTACACGCTTCTTCTTCTCCTTTCCTTCTGGAGTATGATGGATTGCGAGAGGTGAACTGCCATCACGATGGTCTGCCGCAACGACTACGACTCCATGGCTTGCAAGCGAGCCGCAGATGTGCGAGTATGCATTCCTTGTTCCACCTAGACCATGCGAGAACATCATGACAGGCCATCGTTCGGATTTCGGTGGAGGTGCGAGGAGTTCGGCGTTTTGGTGTACAGGCATGGAAATATAGTACAACAACTGGGGTAGTGCTCTACAAAATTGTCAGCGACATGTTCAGCTAGCGACTTGTCTCAATTTGCTCACGAGAATACTCCAGCAAAGGCGCTGTTCGCACCCAAAAACCTCGCATAAGCACTAACATATTCCCTCTGTGGACTTGGGATCCATCTCACAGCCTTCTCATTACTGTCCTGCTTACACGGATAGAAGATGCGGAAGGCTATAGTTGGCAGGTCTCCAGGAGGCGCATTCACACTCGGGCTCTCTAGGTCGCTTGTGGGTATTTCTACATCTACAGAACCGACTTTGTATGGCCCCGTATGCGCTGGGAAGGCCGGTGTTGGGTTCAGTCGATTAAGCCAGGTCATATTCGCGGTCGTAAGCGGGCTTGCTGTCGCGGTCGGGAGGCGCGAGGGCAGGCCGCGTGTGAGAGATCTAATAGTCCGTAAGAACGACAGTGTGATTGAGGAAACTTCAACAAATGATGGGTCGATGGTGGATATGCAGAATAAATGGACGGTCAGAATGAAATGCCGCAGTAATGCTATGAAAGTGTGCAACAGAATGGGAATGGAGACTGGATGGGAAAGCGGCCACACTCGCGCATATATCGATCATGGAAGACATGCCAGTGACGCAAATGCCCATGCTAACACGCAGCGCTACTGCCAGGGACATCCTCGGAAGCACGCGACCTCCGAAGTTGGCCAGTGAGATCCATGCTGTGGCAAAGCAGGTGGAAAGCCGAGGTTTCGGACGCGTTCCGGCGGGTACAGAGTTTTCTCTATCGTCTTCAAGCATTTCTGCGCGTTCAAGATTTGTCCCGAGTGTTGCGAACTTGTAGTTCGTCGTACTGCTGGCTTTTTGCCCGATGCGAACAGCGTTGCTCCAATGGTGAGAGTGGTGATGGCGTGCACGCATGAATCTCTCGCCAAAATGACGACACTTCCAACGTCACGATCGCTACAAGATCGCGCTAAGCCTCAAGCCGCCGCGTCCCGACATCGTGGGCTACATGTGATCGACAAGTTCCCGAGTAGCGTGCAATCAAGAGGTATAGTAAACTGGGCGCGATCCAGCATATCGCATAATGTCAAAGTGGCTCGTAGATCTGAGCAAGAAGACGTGTAACCTGCAACAGACCTACCGGGATCTAATGTGGATAACAAAGGTGAACATCTTGTATTCCACATTACATCGTCAATCGATCTATGAACGCACATATAAACACCTGGGGTATGCTGCATGTATAAACCAGAAGCCAAGTGATGCCGTGTTGCAGGAAGGCCTGCATCCCACTTCCCAATATGCTAGCAACATCCTCCTCTCCTCCTACTACCCCCACCAAGCCTGAACACGTCTTCCCATTCGCCCAACCCACCAGTTTTCTTCCCTCGTCTTCGATACCTGACGCCGTCATCTCCAAACCCACTCTTGATACTTCCACCACCGTCATCCCAACCCAAGTCACCATACTGTATACCACTCGCAGGATCATCAGGATCAATCTCGCCGAGCTCAATTTTAGTCAAGATCATTCGCGCTAATCGGTTGAATAGCTCCTCCACGTTCTCTCCATTCAGCGCGGAAACTTCCACTGCTACCGGTATGCCATTCTGCCCCGCCCATCTCGATGCGACTTCAGCTGGAACTTCGCGGCCATCGGGCGCAACGGTATAACTCGCATGTAGATTTGCATTTAGACTCGGTGTCCGACTCGATTGTGATGATGGTGTGGGTGGTGGGAGTCCGCTTTCTGAACCGGGTGTACTACCATAACTGCTGTATCCCCCACTCATGCCTATGGGCACACCATCTTCAACGTCGTTCTTGTTGCCGGCAAGTATGATTGTTATGTCCGGTCCAGCCAGCGCTCGCGCATCATCTAGAAACGTCTTCAATTGCTCGAAGCTCCGCCAGCTGCTCACATCGTACACCAGGATCGCGCCAGCAGCGCCGCGGTAGTAGGATCGTGAGACGGAGCGGAAGCGTTCTGTGCCGGCGGTATCCCAGAGCTGAAGTTTTATTCGTTTTCGCGAGGCCGAAGAAGAGGGCGAGCGACGGCGGTCGGCGATATGGACGATTTTAGAAGAGAATTCTACCCCGATCGTTTGGCTGGATAGTACGCGCCCTGGGGGTTGTTAGTGGGGGCTGGAGGCGGCGGAGGAGGGAAAGTCGCGTACATTCAGACTTCACGAAGCGGTGGAGGAGGCAAGATCTATGAGGCTTGGTTATTCGGCATGCATCGTTGGTGCTACTCTTATCGTGAACTTACTTGCCAGCTCCGCTGGGACCCAGCAGTACAACCTTTGCTAAGTAATCATACATGCTCCCCAGCTCCTGTGTCTGCTCAGCAATGCTCTCCCAAGCTCAAATCATGTCCATACCTACTTGTAACGGCGGCTCGCTGCTCCGCGTCGAAGCATTCGACACGGCTCGATTCCTCCCCATATTGACAGGCCTGTTTGCGTTTCTGTGGGCGAATGTGGAGGTTTATTCGGCACTATTCACGGTCGCAAGTGTCTTCCGGGCAGTCCTTGGTAGCGAATAGGGCAAATAAGGCTTCTAGTGGGAATCGATGCGGTGTTGTGTTGTTCAACTTGGCTTATCTTTGTGACGCCAATTGGTGGACCCTGGCCGCCGCGCTTCGCGACATCGTCACGCGCACGGCAGCCATCCTTCATTTAACTCCATCAGGCAAAGACTTTGACTATCACATCACGATCCTCTAGTAGATCTGTCATCTTGACGATTAATCCCGTTAGAGTGAA